TTTGTTGGTAGATTTTCTTAATGTGCGGTAAACACAAAAGTAACGCATGAAGTTGGTCGCTAAAGCGACCAACTTCATGCTGTTAAAATTTTGTGTTACAGTGATGCGCGCGCATCTTAAAATTTCATTCTCATCATTTTTTCATAACGCGCCTAAAGAAGTATAACTTCAAAAATATTTCAAATTTAGTATTCTTGATAAAATCTTTCAAATTTCGTATCCTACATAATCTCTGATGAACATAGGCTATAGAGTATTTTCAAAAAAGTTAGGGTTTCGTTTGAAATCTTTGTTAATTTAACAAAACAGTATCAAAGGCAACGTTTCCAAAATAATGTTCAAATTTTCAAGCATGTTTGAGAAAACAAATGTTACTTCATTTTCCGGTTCCATGAGCTCCTTTTTTTTAGTGACTTCTGTTCGTGTGTTTGCACACCGGTTTTTGTGGTAATAATATCACAGGGGCCTCAATCTCGATCCCTCTGCGTATGAATCTTTAGAAAACCAGCTTTTCTTATTTTTTTCGGGTTTGGATATTACCGATCATCATCATCACCATCATTAGCCCGTTAAGACTGGTAGGGCATTTGTATTCCAGATACATTAATTATGAAATAGGAGTGCAAAACAGATTTCCACACTGTAGAAGAGGTAGATGGTTGACTCTGGAGTTGTTCTATCTCTGCGGGATAGTCTTGATTGTAGATTTTTTTTGACAAATATATCATTACTGTCGCATTTACACAACATTTTGTTCATCCCCAGTATCTTCATCAATATTTAAATATAATAACTAATGGCAATATATATCTTTTTGTTAAAAAAATCTATACTCTGGTAATAAACACCTCATGTTTATCTTGATTTTCCAAATTATCAATGATCTAATTGTATTTCAGTGATTTATTACGAAAAAACCTAAAAAACCTACCGGATGTTATATAGCTCTAGAGCATAATCCTAAGATTTATCCTTTTTTTTATCACAATGAATATACTATTTAATAAAAAAATGGGTGCGTGTACTTATGTAGGCGCGTGAGAAGTTATCCTTCTTTGGCATCGTTTAAAATTAGTTTTTAATTGCATGCAAATAATTAATTACAATAAATTAATAAAAAGTCTGGAAAAGGACACAATCAATGAAGTTCAGTTTTAATTTGAAAAAATAAATAAATAATCAAAATATTCAATTAAAATCGCTACTTAATATAATTTATTAGAACATATGTGATTTGCACTTGTATGAAACTCAAACACGTATTCCGAATATACAAACTAGAAACATGTGGATAAATATTATAAATATGAATACCTATAACTGTTACTTTATTACAAAAAAATAAAGATGTGGTTTTTGGTTCTACTACACCAATGGTCAAGAGATGGCGCTGTAGTCTTCTGAATCCCGCTTTGGTTGCGTTGTTCCAGATTAATAAATACTTTTGATATTATAAATATGAATACCTATAACTGTTACTTTATTACAAAAAATAAAGATATGGTTTTTGGTTCTACTACACCAATGGTCAAGAGATGGCGCTGTAGTCTCCTGAATCGCGCTTTGGTTCCGTTGTTCCAGATTAATAAATACTTTTGATAGGCCTTCACAATGCAGTCGTTAGCACCCACTAAATAGAGATTCTATGTTGTTGGTAGATTTTCTTAATGTGTGGTAAACACAAAAGTCGCTAAAGCGACCAACTTCATGCTGTTAAAATTTTGTGTTACAGTGATGCGCGCGCATCTTAAAATTTCACTCTCATCATTTTTTCATAACGCGCCTAAAGAAGTATAACTTCAATAATTTAAAGTTTATATCCAGTATTTATTTATGTAACCGCTTCATATCACACCTTTTGGAAGTCGGCGTCAAGTAGAAATACTTTATTACAATTTGGAACTCAATTTTAGTAACAAAACAATCGTAAACTTTTTGATTAGTAGTTGCACACATTACTCTGTGGCTTATACATAATAAATATGACAAGAAGATAGTAAAAACTTATTATCGAATTCGAATAGTTTGCAAACCGAAATGTCAATGTCAAATTTTGTATGGAAACTTGAACAGCAGCGGCACAAAGTACGTAACGAGAACTAAAAATCAGTACACATTTGACAATGACATTTCGGACTCGCAAACGATACGAATTCGATATTGGTTCGTGCTAGGGGTACTGTTCTGTATGACATTCCGTCACCAACCAATAATAATAATTTTGATTTGAAAGCACCCCAATGGTAAAATTTCCAATGCACTTGCCGCACAGTGGGGCATATCAAACGGTGTGTTGTGTTTCTCAGAAATATTTCTCACCCCTGTGTGGGGGTTTTCTCCCTTGCGGCTGCATTTGTCCGATCTACATAGGGGACTGCGGTGATTTGTCAGTACAGTAGGTTAATTTAGAAAGAGAGAGAAAATACATCCTCATTCAGTAGGTATATTAATCAGAATAATAGGGATGATGACTAATTTTTTTTTCTTCGTTTATCAGGTAGATTATCAAAAAGTATTTTTTCTTTTTTCACATAATTTAAACATTGCAGAGATATATTGATTTGAAAAGTCGCATGACGTCACGTCGACCAGCAAGAGTTTGAGAAAAACATCATCGCGGTGTCTAAATATAATGGTATGGTATTATGGACATTGCTTTTATTGACATGCAATAAACATGCTATCAAAAACTAATTTCAACTAAACTCAAATAGTCTACGATACTAATGGCCTCAGTCTAAAACGACATTTAATTTCCCCTGTTCCTAGTAATCTTAGTCTTACGGAGTAGTCTTATCAGTTGAACTACTGGGAATTTCCTTCACAATAGACTTACTAGTAAGACCACTGGGAACTTTGTCCCCTTATTAATAAACGCCGTGTTTTGTTCTTCACACAATTGCCATTTGTCATTAAATGAACAGAGACCAATTATAGAGTAACTAATCCAAGCTTAGTCTTCGTATATTAATAAGGGGGTGACGGTATAAAGTTCCCAGTGGTCTTATTGGGAGTTTTATTTCACTGGTAAGTTTACTAACCAGTGAAATAAAAAATAGTCTTACTCTTATGTAGACCTAGGTAATATATAGATAGAGTACCTACATAGTTTGTGAACTTGAATTTATGACCCAAGATAAATGTAATGGAAAAAATTTCACAAGCGAAGTCTTACTATCAGTAAGTCTATCGGGATAGAAATTCCCAGTAGTTCAACTGGTAAGACTACTCGGTAAGACTATTGGGAACGAGGGATCAATTTAACCGCTCGTCAAAAACTATTTCATCACAAGCAAGAAAAATATTAGAGACATTTAAGGTATGTAGCATGGATCTACTGAAAGTAAAAAAATCTCCATTGATCCATAGCTTGAACGGAATCTAGTCAATGGATCTACTGAGAATGATCGTATTCCCTATTGTTATCTCAAACATAAAGTGCCAATATTAATTCTTAAATTACTATCTCTGAGTTTGCTCTTAAAAGTACTTAAGAAGAGCGTAGGCACTGAAAGTAACGGAGTTCATTAAAAAAAGTTTAGTTCATTAACCTGGCTCTAGAAGGCTCCTCTAATTGGTCGTTTTTGTTTTACGACCCCAAGTATGGGCCTTGTTAAGTCTGGGTGTACACTCAGTCGGCACTCTAATGATTTTCATGCTGCGTAGATGTCACTTAAGTGTTATATGAGTGGATTCTAAGTGGGCTTTAATAATTATTAAGCAAAAAAAAACTAGCTAAGTGCGATTACATTTCACTCCATGATTGAACCTTATATTTATATTGTCTTTATTGTTTCAACCTCGGATATTTTTTACACCCACATCCATAAATACATAAAGCACCAGATTTATTTCTTTACACTACGCTCTATTTTGTTTTCAATTCAACAAATATAAAAGTAATTAGTTCATATTTGGCATCTAACACGTTATAATTATCAATTTTTTGGCAAGATTTAAGTCCGCTGTTTTAACATCCCTTGTTTTCTCTATCCGTCGGGCTTAGCATAAAAAATTAATGAGATAAAATATTTACCCTGTTTTATCAACAGACCTACAAGAAAATTTCGCATTTCTTTGGCATTCAATTAACTTTAATCGTCATGCCATTTGCTTTAACACGAACCAATTTATTCCGTTATTTTTTCATAAGAGTCAAATATTTTATCCCACAAAGAAAACAACAATTTACCAATATCGATACCATTGAAACATTGGCTGTCTGTCCCCCCATCCCCCCCTCTTTGCGACGTCCTCGACAACTTATATTTCATGGCAAGTTGAAAAAATACTGGTGGAATGCGAGTCAGACTTTCACAACCAGAGTTATGTATCAATATAGGTATCTAAGTATAAGATTTAACATTCGTTTGAGCAAAAATATATAACAATCACAATTGTTGCAAATGTCTCCTATTGGAATAGAAAAGAGAATTTCTCATTGTCCTTATAGCTATTAACGGGATTGTTACCATGTGTTCTACATGGTAACAATCCCGTTAATAGCTATAATGTTAGTGACCATGAAAGTTTAAAACAATATTCTCATTGTCCGTTGTAGAGTTTAGATGTAAACATCATTTTCCTTCGCATCTTTACTCAGTGTCCTGTGTCGCTCTTACATGACCCACTGCAACACGATGACATATAGGTAAGCGAAGGGTGTATTAAGCCTAGGGCCAAGAATACTATTATGGGACGGCAAAGCTATATAACGGCATTGGGGCGCCAGATTTTAAAATACTCCCCTTAAGCTATTTCTTTCATAAAAAAAATTAACTTGATCTCCACAAAAGAAAATCATCATTATCTATAAGGTCTTCCTTATCGATAAATAGGGAGATTAGACCATAATCCACCACGCGGGTTCAATACGGATTAGTTGGTGCTCACGAATGCACATGTAGAGTAGCTCGAGATAACTTTTTCTTAATACAAATGGTGTAGAGATAATTATCCCTTAATACCATAAGTATAAGGTCTCGTATCGTTTGTTTCAGGCGGACGCCAGCACAGCCTTCCTGCGCGCCGCTCGCGCCGGGCAGATCGAGAAGATTATCAGTCTACTCGAACAAGGCGTCGACATCAACGTTAGCAATGCTGTAAGTATCATCACCAGCAGTGCTATTCTGTAAGTACAAACCTACTTTTCACCGCCGGTATAATTTGATATTTGTATCTATTTTTGATTACAAAGAACACAGAAGGGTGATCATATACCTTTTGTATGGGAACCGATGTCGCTGGCTCGCCCCCACTACACTTCCACCTAATAGATATTAATAGCCAATCAGACGACGCGACAGCAAACAATCGAACCAGTTAGCGCTCACAGCTGAGAGCATCGACGCAATCAAAACATAACTGTGGCGCGCCGCCGCCGGCCCCGCCCACAAGGCCCTTCTAGCCTCTTTCTGTGTTCTGTCTTTGAATCATCCCGTCAATTCCGGGGAGAAAAGTGAGTTTGTTCTTATAGAATGACACGGCAAAAGGGACCTAGGGCCGAAAAAGGCCATAGCCTAGGGCGACAAGCTGCGAAAGGTGGCAGAGGCTGTATATAATCATTACGCTGCTAGCCTATATTTTGATTAAAAAAAATCTTTGTAATGAATGTAAGATTCAATAAAACGTCATGCGTCGTATATCCACAGGATTTTTTTTTTGGTGCAAATCTTCTGAGGGTCGGCGCGGCAAATTTTGAAGTTCTCCCCTGTTTAGCAGTCTGTTTAATTAATAGATAAAATAAAAAAACGTCACACTCTTTTTTCGACAATCGTGAAAAATATATCTCTCTTTATCTATAACAAATCTTGCTAGTGTAATTTTATCCACATCCATTTTTCTGATTGATTAGAACTTTGAATACATAATCATGTTAATAGGGTTAACATTACTATAACACTGACCTGACCTGAAGATGGAGCGAGAAGGTGGCCATCTGTAATTATAAAAAACAAGTTAGTCGAAATTGAGCTCGTTATTAATCTTGACAAGTAAGTAGGGACAAGTAAGTATTACTTTTGACAGAAGCAAGGGTTACAGAGTAACAAGAGGAATATGTCTGTATCATACCCGATCATTTGACGTCTGATTACAGCTTGTAAGATGGCAGCTTAGGGAACTATAGGTAGACCGCTTAACTGAGTCCTCGCCTGCTAGACGTAAAGGGTGGGGCGGTGGGCGAAAACGGGGACCGTGAGAGGTGCGGGCGTCAAGCACATTTTTGTCAAAATTACAAGTGCCCGCCGCCCGCACCTCTCACGGTCGCCTTTCTCGTCGGAGTCATCTTATACCCCGGAGAGGACTCAGTTAAGCGGTTTACCAATAATAAAACACGTCAATACAGAGTATAGAAAAAAAAGAAGAGGATAAATATAATCCTTATGTTCTCTCCCTTGACTCTACTATACCCAGGATCTGACGATGGAGCTGCAAATAATTCTTTTACAAAACGAGAAGTCATTATTATTCTGACTCCTGAAATATTAGGTAAATACAAACTAGACAGAAACAGCTTTAAACTTTTTATTTATTAGTTCAAAAATTAGCTCTGATTTTCCTTTTTTATTTTCTGTTCTCGTGACTACAATGGCGTGTTTTTATATCATATCCGGAAACTAGGACTCGCAATTTTCACACAAACGTCGACTCTGTTTGATTTTAGTAATAAGGTGCATTTTTGCTCGTGGCTAGTTGCATAATAGTCGGCAAAGAATTTTCGCAAATACATGTTGTCAGATTATGCTATGCAGCTTTAAGCGAGCTAATTGTTTTTATGACACAATTGTTGAAAGAGTACTATAATATGGAGTTTTCAACGCAAAATGTAATTTTAACGAAATTGTACATTTCATAGCGGTTATACGAAGCATTTTAAAAGAATGTCCTTACTTGCTGGTATAACTTGATGTGTGTTTGCGAAAACTGAAAGAACATCCATTCCATTATATTATTTGTAAGAATGATTTAAATTCTTAATTTTTTGGAATTAAAATTATGAGTTCAGTAACATTTTTTTAAAAAATCTTACCCACTAACACCACTCCGCTCCGACCCGACAAAAAGAATATAATTCAAATATCGGCTTTAATCATTGCTCTATAGATATACTTTACATTGACAACATAAATTAGAAGACAGCTCAATTACCGCGCCGTCAGAATACTCTGTTGTTGACGCCTTGCTTACCTAGCACGCGTTCCAAGCAAGCGGTCTGCGCGCTGAATGCTTAGGCCCTTTTCACATGCACACAGTCACGGCACGGCCGCCATGCCGTGCAACCGTGCTAGCTCTTTCACATGTATACGGCTTACACACGGTCGCCGGCTATGGATGTTGCAGTATTATCAAGAATTTTGGGGAACGACGACGTCTTTTATCATGGAACAAAAAAAGATTCTTTTCATTATCATCTAATTCTTCGAAACTACTATTTAAGCCTATACATACTTCTTTCCACGGTTCTTTTGTCTTGTTCCTGTTTTTATAAGACGCGATGGTTTTATCCCATAAAGTAGGACGCGCTTCAACTAGCGAAATCAACACATCAACATCGATTTCGACAGACATTCTGTAACAATCGTCCGTCCGTTCCCCTATGACTTTAGCTGACGAATGGTATTTGCGCTCGCCGTACCGTACCGCGCCCGTGTTCATGTGAACGCGTCTATACAAGTCCATACAATACTATAAAGACGGTTGCCGCGTCAAAACCGTGCTTATAGTGGATAAGGACGGCTGACACGCGGTCACGGCACGGTCGCCGTGCAATGTGAAAGCTCTCATTGTTGCTCATACATTACTATTTTACACGGCACGGCAACCGTGCCGTGTCCGTGTACATGTGAAAAGGCACTTACTGTTACTACCAAGCGATTCGCTGACAGCTAGCTGTCGGAGCCTAGACAGCTGGGTTTCGAAACTACTATTTAAGCCTATACATACTTCTTTCCACGGTTCTTTTGTCTTGTTCCTGTTTTTATAAGACGCGATGGTTTTATCCCATAAAGTAGGACGCGCTTCAACTAGCGAAATCAACACATCAACATCGATTTCGACAGACATTCTGTAACAATCGTCCGTCCGTTCCCCTATGACTTTAGCTGACGAATGGTATTTGCGCTCGCCGTACCGTACCGCGCCCGTGTTCATGTGAACGCGTCTATACAAGTCCATACAATACTATAAAGACGGTTGCCGCGTCAAAACCGTGCTTATAGTGGATAAGGACGGCTGACACGCGGTCACGGCACGGTCGCCGTGCAATGTGAAAGCTCTCATTGTTGCTCATACATTACTATTTTACACGGCACGGCAACCGTGCCGTGTCCGTGTACATGTGAAAAGGCACTTACTGTTACTACCAAGCGATTCGCTGACAGCTAGCTGTCGGAGCCTAGACAGCTGGGTGCCTGCCATGAGTATTAAAGGACCCTGAAAAGTTTCAATCTTTATTACCATAAAGACGAATATTCTATAATAGACTTTTGCTACCCAAATAAGTGCTCCTGTTTGCAACGAAAAGTTAACATACGGCCCGCTCCATCTAACCTCTACACTGTCAAGATTCAAACAACATAACACAAATTTGAATTTGTTTTCATTTTACTAACTTATATTTAAGAATCATTGTTACTGACAATATGGACTTGTATATTCTCCAAATTATTAATGATTTATTATTATTATATAAATATATTAGGAGGAAAATTTCACAAAAAAACAAACTCATTTTTTGTTGAAAGCAAGTGGAATTCTTAGCCCGTTCAATACTGCAATCTGGGGTCTATAAGAGTCTATAAGAGAGACATGAAGAAGCATTTCTGCAGGCCGGCAAAGTAAGAATGGTTGGCGTGGCAGTTTATAACTGCTGCACCAGCTATCTTCGCGTCTGGACTTTACCACCACTTAACATCAGGTGGGGTAGAGTCATTTGCCTAACTTGCTCAAAAATAATTAAAAATATCAAATGGGAAATTCTGAGCAACCCTCGCGTTTGTAGCAAGTATAGTACTACTAACAACTCCCAATGTTCTACTCGGCTCGCCCTTGAAAACGCAGTAGGCACCGGTAAATCCTAACTCTTCGTTGACTACAAGGCCGTCCGGCATAACGATACCTATAATATTACTTATACAGTTCAGTAGATTTTCAACCCGAAAGCTAGAGCTTTTGAAGTAAAATTGAATGGCGATTGAGAAAATTGATGTCCTCGTAGTAATATGATACGTTGTTCACGGTACGTAAACCAAGCCAAGTTCATTGAATGTCTTACCACAAAATGTACAAGGGTGGTCTTACAATTTCACGCAACGTGACGCCGTCAATTCGCGATCAAGTTATGACCTATGAAACAGCTGTAAGTGGATAGAATGAAATTCTCTGAAATAAATAATGTTAATGGCCTGCGCAGACTTCCATTTCTTTGGGGACTTTTGTCCGTAGACTTCTTTGCCAGCCAAAATAGATCGCTTTCAACTGCAACGAGCAACGCACATAGAGGACTTAAACGTCCCGCGTGCAATAAGTCCTCCGAATAACCGAGAACACCGAGAGAAAGGACAGGACAAAAGTACGCCGGAATCCCCGAAAAAATAAATCTCATGTCACTAGGCGCAGCAACGCATACAGAAAAGTTCCGCATTGCGTGCTCGATCCGATTTAAAAAAATGGACCCAATATTTTCATTTAAAATGTCTTCTTTAACTTCATGTTTATTACAACACAACGTAAACTGAGAATATGTTTGCCATAGCGTGCGCTTCTCAAAATTTTCGGGCATCAAATGTTCGCACATCGTGTGCGTTGAATCCGTGACAAGTTTACGGCGGACATTTTATATCACGATTCAGGGACTTTTGTGCTTTTGTTACTTTTCTGCGCTGGCCATTATAAATATTGCCTGAGAAATATGCCAGCTGGTGAAGACTATATTGTTTCCTAGTAAAGCGTAGGCGTAATACCTATGTATTATTCTTATAATAGAATAATAATTCTCTAACCAAAGAGTATATTTTTGTTTTAACACGATTTATAAATTCAAATTTCACATAAATATTATAACATATACCTACAAATGATTCGCTTAATAAAGAAGCAAAGGATCCATGTTTTCGCTATGATACTAGGTTCATGCAATGGCTTTTTGTAATTATTGTTACTAAATATGAATGTACGAGCCTGAAAGTCAACTGGGAAATTTAGTACATACAAATTTTCTGAATATCATGCCTTTCCTTGAAGCATAACATTCCAGACAAAATTTTGTCAAATTTGATAACGTCGCGATTTGCGACTGCATAGATAGGGCCTTCTACTGATATGCTTTGGGAACCTAGTTTCTGAGATGTGATTGATACCCATGGAACTCAGAAATTCAATTCGTTACCTCGATAGCCTATCTTGGCTCGGATTCGAGCATCATTTAAGGGTGAGTACAAGCACAGCCTTGATTGAAGTTTACGCCGCATATACTTCAAAATGCATATAAACTGAGCGTGTCAGATTATATTCTATAAGTACTAACTACAAACAGTTACGTTATCTACATAGATCTATGTCTGTGTGTACCACCCACTGGACCCCCCTCTATGCCAATGCTCGAAAGTAAATCGACTTGACATTGCCCACTAATGGATTTCATACATTTGGCCATGCTTTTACCTATGTTTTGTAAACTGATATAGTAAATATTGTAGGAAGGCCAAAAGGGAAGATCTTACTCCGAGCTGAGTGATGGTAGCTCGGGAGCCGCGGTCCGACTGTTTTTTTTTTGAGTGTATGCTGTTAGTCGCAGATGACCTTTACAGCGTCACCGGGTTTGGGGACGGCGAGATCCTAAGGGGACCTCAAGCTGAGAATTGGGGAGTGCATCTAGAGATATTCCAGGCGGATGGCATCTCCCCACAGGGGGAGTCTCCTCTCCGTCTGGAGCCTCTAGACCACTCGATACTGGGGGGGTCGGCTCAACTAGCGGGCGTCTCTGAGACTCGGATCTCGGCTCTAGTTAGCCATTATCGGGGCCGCGTTGGCGCAGGTGATTTCGTCTTCGGGGTATTCTAAGAGGTGCTTAGGCTGACGGAATCGGAGGGACCTATGAGTGGAGGATGGGAGGGCGGACGTGTGTTAACTAGAGACTTTAACTACGTCCTTCATGTATTTCGCGATGGAATCTAACTTAAGATCACGATACAAATCGATATGGCGCACGTAACACGGGCAACCTGTGGCACCGCGCAACAGACGATTTTGCAGCGTTTGTAAGTGTTTAAGTCGCAAAGGAGGTACGCGCGCGAAGCAAAAACTCGCGTAAGTCATGATATACAGATGCCCTGTAAATCACGGGTTTGTCACACGGAGGGAAAGTATATTAAATATTGAAGATAGGATATTTTACTGAAAGAAAACATCATTTTAATTTTAATAAAAACTAGAACTGCATTAACTGTTTTTTTTTAATCGCCTGCTACAACTGGGAATCAAACTCGTAAAATTTGAAAAAAAAGCACATGACATATTTTATGATTACCATCGGAAGGGTTAATCATAAGGATTATTTTTTCCTAAATGAAATAGTTTCACCTTCGTCCTCGCCCACGCCCTTAACCCTGCAGGCGAGGACTCAGTTAAGCGATCTACTCATAAAATTAATGAGCTAATAAAAAAAATATCCGTTCATATTTTTACCATAAAACAGACTTTCAAATGATATATGTTTCATCGTTGCCATAAACCAACTACTACTTTTGAACCGTCTCCTTTAAGAAACAGTCAATAAATAGATATTTATCTATGGATAACTATCTATTTACTCTAACGTGATCGATAAAACTCTAACGTGCCCGATAACTCTGAACGTGCCCGATAAAACAGGATTTTAGAACCATAGTTCTAAAATCCGATTCCTGTTTCATCGGGCACGTTTAGAGTTCACGGTCTCTAACCAAAAACTAATAAAATTCACTCTTTCTACCACGGAGCCTGTAAAAGATGTTCTTAACCAGCTCTTCATTTCAGAACGGCCTGAATGCCATCCATTTGGCATCGAAGGATGGTCACGTGGAGGTGGTTCGAGAGCTCCTGGATCGGGGGGCTGCCATCGACGCCGCCACCAAGAAGGGGAACACAGCTCTCCACATCGCCTCGCTAGCCGGACAAGAGACTGTCGTCAAGCTACTCGTCCAAAATGGTGCACAGGTTCGTATTGAAAAAAGTTCTATGATAGCCTGGGCTTAGTACAGTTTTTCAGGGCGATTCCACACTAAGTCCTAATTATTGGACTATTGTGTCTAGGCTTAGTTTCCCTACCGCGTTTTTATTTTCTTGTCTGGCAACACTGATTTTTAGTAACATTGTCAGTATTACCCCGAAAAGTAAGCCAAGCGTTCAACACGAACATCAGTATAGCATAACCCTACAAGTCTAGCTCCACGAAAACTTTAAAAAGATGGTTGATTTGGCGGAGTAACTAATTTGATGGAGAGTCCAAATTAAAATCAATTGAAAACGGAAATTATATTTTATTATTAATATGCGTGTACATTACAGTGCGCTACACAAGTTACTCTCATACTGAGAGGGCTTTCTCACGGTCTTGACGGCCGTATAGGTAGATCACATAACTTGCATCTACATAGTATAAAACATGTACATTACAATGTAGTTACACCATTCCCCCCCAAAAACATTTTTTAAAATCAAAATATTGTAAAAAGTAATATAAACATGTTTAATATAAAATAAAAATGCGGAATGGAACTTTCGTTAACAACAATAAGTATCGTTATCTACGTCTCAAGTATCCTGCTAAAGCGAATGACAATAATGCTGATTACAATTTCTTGTCGAAGCACTGACCTACTTACAACGTTATGTTAATCAAATGCAATGCAAACATAAAACATAACTGGAATGTTATGATCACATAAAAATATTTTACAAGTACTTAAAAATAATCAAACCAAATTTAGATTATGCTATTATGCTTCCATACATAGTTATTTTCTAGCAAATTTGTAAATAAAATTCTGTATATAGTTTTGTATAGTGTATAAGTATAAAATATAGAATTAATATTTATTACATTAGTTATATTTTTATTCAAAATAAACATAGACACATACCAAACAAATTTATACCACAAATAACAATTTACATATTAAACAAACATATAGTTTTACAATCAGTAAATACATACTATAATTGTATACCGATTTAAAATTATCTGATTATAAGTTGCACTGATATCAACAAAACGAAAGGATAGCCCACACTGGCTGAAAAAAATAATCTATAAAATACTTAACTAATTTCTATCTTAGTTGGCGGCTGAGGCGCATCTTTGGTTCTACGGAAACTTCCTCTAGTCGTACGCGCTATTTGCACAGCATGGTCCTGTATAGTTTCCACTTGCTTTAGGAGCCACTTCTTTACTTTAGCTGCTCCATATCGGCAAATAAAATAAGTGATTACGACGACCAAGATAACAATCGCCACAGCCCATCCGATATACGATCGCATTGTCATTTCCCTTCTCTCTGCTTCAGACTGAGCGATTACTACTTCATCTTTATTTATTGTGTTGCCCATTATTTATTTATGATAAAATTATTATAATGTAAAAATTCAAACAAGTGAACTAATCGTGTTTAGACGATTAAAAGAAATAATTTTTACAAATGCTTATACCTAGTATATATATCATTATAAATTGAAACGTACGGTCTTTTTCGATATACGGCCGCTACGCGTAGTGTAGCTGAGCGGAAGAGTATTATCCGCTGCTTTTGAGCCATTAGAATCAACACCGTAATTTTTGTTTGATGCGTTCGTATCCGGATTCTTGTCAATGTGACAGGGTGCACTTGGGGGTTCACTAGTGTAAGCGGGTTTTAATCTATCTAAGGAAATATTAACGCTACGACCAGGCATCTGAATCAAATAAAACTTATTTTTTCTTTCTAAAACTCTGAAAGGGCCGTCGTACGGAGGCTGTAAAGATTTCCGTACGAGGTCGTTTCGAACAAACACGTGGCTGCAGTTACTCAAATCTGGGTGCACGAATACTGTGTGTGCATCCTTACGTGACGCAGGCTTGGGCTTTAATTCATTTATTAATTTACGTAAATGCTCAACATACTCACTATGATTCAATATAGATAGGTTTTTGTTATCAAAAAATTCTCCCGGAAGCCTTAGTGTCTGACCGTATGTCATTTCAGCTGCGCTTACACTAGTGTCCGACCGTGGTGCTGCCCGAAGTCCTAACAAAACTATAGGTAACTCTTCTACCCATGTTTTAGAATCTAACCTGGCCATGAGCGCTGCCTTAAGGGACCTGTGCCACCTTTCAACTAATCCATTACTTTGAGGGTGGTAGGGCGTTGTACGAGTTTTATGAATGCCTAAATATTTCATCAACTGTTGAAAAACGTTACTCTCGAATTGCCTGCCCTGGTCACTAGTGAGTTGAGCAGGACAGCCAAAACGTGAAATCCATCCTTCAAAAATAACTTTCGATACCGTTTCAGCCGAAATGTCCCTCACAGGAAACGCTTCAGGCCAACCCGTTTGACGGTCAATTACTGTAACGAGATACCTATAGTCCTGCAAGGAAATCGGTAGGGGACCTACTATGTCAACGTGTATATGCGTAAAACGTTCTGCCAAAGGAAATCTACCAATATCTGATTTAACGTGCCTATATACTTTGGCACGTTGACATGCTATGCAGGTCTTCGCCCACCTGCCTACATCTTTATTCATATTTACCCAAAAGAATCTTTCCCACAATAGCTTTCGCGAGGTACGTATTCCCGGGTGACTAAGGTTGTGAATGTAATCAAAAGCTTTCCGCCTAAATACTTCAGGTAGGTAAGGTCTAGCTCTATCGGTTGACATTTCACACCAAACAGGTAAATTGCTACCAGGCAACAATATCTTTTTAAAATTCAAGTTATTGTTCGGGTTATTTCGTAATTCAGCAAAAACTTCGTCTTTTGATTGCGCGTCGCTTATACCTGAATAATCTAATTCTGTCGAGCAACAAACGGACTCGACACGTGATAACGCGTCCGCTACTACATTGTTATCCCCTACAACGTGGTTAATGTTCGTAGTGAACTCGCTGATAAAAAGTAATTGCCTTACGCGCCTTGGCAGTTCATTATCACTACCAATTTTCGAAAAAGCGAAAGTTAAGGGTTTGTGATCGGTGTAAATTTCCAAGTTTTGACCTTCTACCATATTACGGAAATACTTTACTGCTAGGTATATTGCCAGCAATTCCCTATCATACGTACTGTACTTTTGCTGAGTTGGTGACAATTTCCTAGAAAAATAACCAAGTGGCAACCATACCTTACCTACACGCTGTTGCAATACCGCTCCCACGCTCGTATTCGATGCGTCCGTCATAAGTGCAAGCGGAATATCGGGTTTCGGATATGATAACAGCGCTGCATTTTGTAATTGTAATTTACATTCAAGAAACGCGTTGTTAGACTTTTCATTCCAATCTACTTTCGTTTTGTCTCTTTTCTTAGAATTTCGTAAATATGAATTAAGATCTGCTTGATATTCGGCGGCATTAGGTAAATGTAATCTGTAAAAATTTAACATCCCCAAAAATCGTCTCAGTTGTTCGACTGTTTCTGGCTTTGGAAATGCGCAAATTGCGTCAATTTTCTCTTTCAAGGGCCGAATTCCTTTAGTTGACACTTCAAATCCTAAGAAGTTTATTTTAGATTGACCAAACACACATTTATTTAAGTTTAAAGTTAAACCGAACTTATTCAATCTCTCAAAAACTAATTTTAAATGCTGTTTATGGGACGTCATATCTGGGCTTGATATTATGACGTCATCAATGTACGTATATAAAAAGTCTAAACCCTCTAAAACTGTGTGGTTCATAAACCGTTGAAAAGTTTGAGCAGCGTTACGCAACCCAAATGTCATGCGCGGAAACTCAAATAAACCGAAAGGTGTTATTATAGCGGTCTTCTCTATATCTTCAGGGGCGACCATTATAAAATGGTACGCGCGATTAATATCAAGTCTAGAAAAAATATTTTTGCCTTCTAATAAATATGTGAAATCATGTAATCGGGGGATAGGGTACCTGTCGGGTTTAGTTACAGCATTAAGTGCTCGGTAATCACCGCAAGGTCGCAATTGCCCGTCTTTTTTAGGAACGACGTGCAATGGACTCGCCCACGCACTTTTCGACGGTCTACAAACACCCAATTCTTGCATGAGCCTAAATTCTTCTTTTACCTTTGCGTATCTATGAGGTGGTAGCGGTCTTGCTTTTGCATGTACCGGCGGACCATTCGTCTCGATATAGTGGTAAACAGAATGTTTAGGCGTCTCCTTAAATGAGATCGGTTTGGTGATATCAGGGTACTGTGCTAAAATATGAAAGAATGGATGACGCTCGTCAATAGTTTTAACTGATTGTTCATTACAGTAAACAATAGAAGCTAAAACATTTAAATGCGTAACTTCATCTATTAGGCGGCGCGAACTTACGTCAACCAATAACTTATAATATGCCAAAAAATCGGCTCCCAAAATAGGTTGATGTACGTCCGCGACGATAAAATTCCATTTCAATGCTTTACGTAACCCTAAATTTAAAATTAAAGTTTTTATGCCATAAGTATTTATTTTAGTTCCGTTTGCGGCATATAAATTGTAATCGCAACACTTATCACTTGAACGACTCCCACGCACTACATTTCGCGGCAGCACAGACACATTTGCACCTGTGTCTATTAAAAAACATAAATTACTAGACTTATCTTTGATACACAAGCAATGATTCGAAGATCCTATGCAGCTGCCCACCGCTGAATGCTGCACGGCATTTAGTTTCCCTGATGCGGAGCGGCAGAATCGGATGGAGGAACTCCTTTCCAGGCGCACGGCGGTATGCACTTATGGGCCTTCTCTTTGTATCGGAAATGGTAAAAACACATCCAATCTGCACGTGCTGTGGCGCGGCGCGGCGTGTGACCACGCTGATTTTGGGACCGCGGCCGGCTGCGATTCCGCTCTCTGCGTCGCGACATCGATCGAGATCTGGCCGTTGACATTTTGTCGAGGTGTTTATTGATTTTCGCTATTTCCGCGATTATATCAGTGTTGCTAGAAGAGGTAGCTTTAACCTCAGCGATGGTGATAGGCCTGATGGTCTCCATAACCTTGTCAGCGACTGAAGCAAGGGTATTTAAATCTTTGGTGTCGGTAACGACCAACACGGCACGTACTGAGGTTGGCAAAAGTTTTTGCCACAATATATTAAGTGTGTCGTTATTTACCTTATCTCTTGCCAGTTCCTTCATTCGTCTTAAGAGTTGGGATGGCCTCTGATCTCCCAGGTCCATCTCGCCAATTAATTTTTGTATTTGGCGTGACTCAGACTCTTCGTAGATGGCAAGTAAAGTCGACTTTAATAATTCATATTTTCCTTCGGCTGGCGGACTCACCAGGATGTCAGTTACCTGCTGGACGACGTTCTTGCCCAATTTTGCAATTACTAGATGGTACTTAGCCGCGTCTGAAAGCCTTTGATTGTATAAAACCGACTCGGTCTGTATGAACCAAGTGCGCGGCTGGTCCTCCCAAAAGTCTGGTATGCGCGAAGAAACTGTTATTTGCGCAACTTCCGAGTCCTGACTTGTAGACTGCATCGCGTAAACTGAAGGGTCCTGCTCATCCGGCATTATTTAAAAATGTCACTCACTAAAAGTCAAAGTCACAACTATTTGTCCGTTTTTTAATCACTGTTTAAAAGTAATAACTTTGTTCTACTTTTTAGCGCGGCACTGTATTTATAATAGTCGGATAGTCACCAATTTGGCGGAGTAACTAATTTGATGGAGAGTCCAAATTAAAATCAATTGAAAACGGAAATTATATTTTATTATTAATATGCGTGTACATTACAGTGCGCTACACAAGTTACTCTCATACTGAGAGGGCTTTCTCACGGTCTTGACGGCCGTATAGGTAGATCACATAACTTGCATCTACATAGTATAAAACATGTACATTACAATGTAGTTACAGTTGAAACCGTTGGTTAACTATCAGATATCGTGAATGTAAAAAAAGAACTCAAGTTTGTATATATTGCCTTGAAACAAAATCTTTGCAATCAAAACACTCTGCTATATGTTTTTGTCGTAAACATATCGTGATCGTGACATTGATAAATCGCCCATCAATAAAGATCCAAAATATAAATAGCTATAAATGTAGATTCATACACAATAAGAAATAATGGGACTTCAAAAATAATACGTCCTTGGCGTGTTCCCCATTACGGTATGTTGTGTTATTTATGTACAATATGTATGTGATAATGTATTTTTGTTGTATTTTCAATATCGTATAGGAATATCTTTCATGTAACCGAAGCTTCTACGTTATCGTTCTGAAGAAAAACAAATCATCCATCATCAGTAATTTTCATTTCCTCCTTTATACTTTATCGAGACGATCCTCATACTTCAATCAACGTCTACCAACCTAATGATCCATTAGACTGCTATTTAAGAAATGGTTCTTATAAATCAAAGGAACAAAACAGACTGTACATAGAGAGATAGAAATGTGCTAGAAGATAAAATAAATATTTCTAATAATAGCGTTGTCGTATATATGTTGCAAGATGTTTTGATTAATCGAATTGGTTATCGAATACCCACAAATAATTGTTCTGATAAATGACTCCACCCCACCTGAAATTAAGTAACGGTGGACTTCAGACGCGAAGATAGCTGGTACAGCAGTGTTACAATGCCACACTAGCCAACCTCATTTTACCGGCCTGCACTTCACGCGTTTTCTAAAGAATCCCGGATTATAGGAGGGAAGAAACACGTGAGCGGGCAAAGCATTCTATTAGTAGTGATATAGTGAGAAAAAGAAATGAGTCACAAATTTCTTAGTTTGTGTTGGAATAGTGGCCATAGTAAATCGGTAACAACGTAGGTCAGCGCGCGTGGTACTCTGAAGAAAAAGAAAAGATGGAGAAAGGGAGAACAGTTATTCTGAGTTCCTCAGAACACTTCATGGTTTTGACTGTAAAACGTGCTTAATGACGCCACATCCCGGCGTGATAGTAGAGGCTCGAGGTGTTTAGTCATCTCCTCTTCTCCAATGATGCAGATCACGTGCCTCTATAAACTATCCAACGCAACAAGTAAGTACTTGGCGGACTCATCCCAGAAGTGCAAGCTAATTCCACGCAATACCGCAGTTTGCCGACGTGAAAAAACTCCGCATCTTGTTCAAGACTCCAAGTTTTGGTAAAGCTGTTTTGATCACGGTTTCAATGAAGTTCTTTGGATTTAAGTCTGAGCGAGCGCCAGTGCAGTGCCCTAAATAGAGGGAAGGGGAAGCAATGGCGACGCTTTTGCTGTGAAAGCGCAAACCTGGGTTTTCTTAGAATGGCTTACCCTATTCGAAAATGTGGTCCAAAGCCTAATTGTGTTCAATGACAAGATTCTTATGTTTCTACCTGTCTAGATGCTGTGTGTCCGAAATATTCCGCGTGCACTGTACTATGGTCTGCATAGCAAATAATATTTTAAGAGGAATTGAATCATTGATATACAAAAGAAAGAGTGTGGGGTATAGGACAGAGCCCTGAGGAAAACCGGCATTCACGGAATTGAACTGCGAACTACAATCGTGCGTAGGGATGCGAATTCTATGCCCATGCTCCTGCGTCACCACCACCAGTCAGTCATCCAGGCACAGAACTGAGCACGCAGACCGTATGAAGAAAGCTTGGAGAGATGACTTTTGTGCCAGACTCCATCAAATGCCTTGGCGATGTCAAGGTTGATATAGCCAGACTTATCCGGCTTGTCAATATTTCCATCCCAAATGTGTGTCACGTACGCTAGATTTGGCCTAAACCCGTATATACGATCGTTGATTAGAAAGGGTCTTCTAGGTACCGAGTCAGATGTTTATTAAGGACCCTTTCTAAGACTTTGCATAATACTATGCTTTGGTGTTATGTCCAATATGAAATTGAAAGCTGTTTTTTCTATATTTTGGAAAATCAAATCGCAAATCAAAATGATTGGTGAATAAAAATATCTATGTTAGTGACCGTAGCTATCTTTGATTGGCATCAATCATAACAAATCATTCCATTCCGACTTCCGAGATGCTCCCGAACGTCTGTCAATCTTTTAAAAAAAATGGTTTGCTGACAATTCGCTGTATACTTAACGTTTTCCCACTATTTCCGAGTTTATTGGTATACTATATATAGATGAACTTTTTCTTAATAATTTTCTTGATTATATCCAACTGAGAATGATCTAGCAGTTAACTCTCATAATACAGAACGTAAATTAGGTGAATTTTTGGAAACTGCTGAAGGTGACATGCTTGTCACCATTGTTTCCGGAAAACATTTTGGATTCGAATGCGACTTAAAAAGCAGTTGTGATGTGATTTGGAGAGTCATGTTTATACTTATTTTTTCGTAACTAGCTCATCAACATGACCACATTAAAATTAAAGGACGATAAAATATTATCTAAGGAAATGAGTATCGTATTTTACTTATTCCACATTTTTATGTTCACGAAATAAATCAATGCTCTTTTCTAATGTCCTGTATTTGTCTCGTATTTATCTATTAGTACTAAATGAGAACAGCTGTTTAGGTGCCGAGAGACCAACTGATAGAAAAGACACTTTTATGATTGAAATATTAATATTTTTATTTTTACTCGTATTCCACCAATTTCGCAAATTCATAACGTAAGTATTGGAGAATAATGTACGCACTTAATTCGTATTTTCTTCAAATAGGTTAACATCCAGTCGCAGAATGGCTTCACACCATTGTATATGGCAGCGCAAGAGAACCATGATGGCGTTGTCAAGTTCTTGCTGGCTAATGGAGCTAACCAAAGCCTTGCTACAGAGGTGAGAAATTTTATTATTGTTAATTAATAAAGAGTTCCAAGTTATTAAAATTGTAGTTTTTCAGAAGATAAATACTGAAACTGGAATAACGGTGTTTGTGGTACTTTAAGAACTTTCAAAACATGGTACTTGTAAAATTTATGTAATCATCATCATCGTATCAGCCGAGAGACGTCCACCGCTGGACATGGGCCTTCTCCAAGGAATTTGAAACCGATGGTCCGGCGCTGCCCTCATCCAGCGGAACTCACATAATTTATTTTAATAAGAAAGAAAAAACTAGACCGTCTTCTGAAACAGTATCATCAATAACGTTATATCATTGTGACACACCGTTAAGCGATCCTAAGCTGTATAACTCTAAAACTGTATTCTATTTTCCCTAATTAGGATGGGTTTACCCCATTGGCTGTGGCTATGCAGCAAGGGCACGAGAAAGTCGTCGCTGTTCTCCTAGAAGCTGATACACGTGGGAGAGTTCGCCTGCCAGCACTTCACATAGCTGCTAAGAAAGACGACGTGAAGGCTGCGAACTTACTACTCGAGGTAAGAGCTGAGAAAATTGCTAGACTAATATTAGATTTCCATCAGGAGTCCCACCAAGTATATGTTCATTTAAAAAATAAAAGATTTGAGTGCGTTTGACCACAATCACACCTGAACGGTGTGGTTTAAGACGGAGGACGCAAACTCAAATAATGCCTATTTATTCTTGCCTTGAAGGTTTCTATTTCATTCCCTAGCGGTTCGCATGATATAAGTGGCTCATGTAAAACGATGATATTATTTAAATGTAAATTACATGACAACATATATTTCTTTATAGAATGAACATAACCCGGATGTGACCTCAAAATCAGGATTCACGCCGCTTCATATAGCAGCTCATTATGGCAACGAATCCGTAGCTAGACTGCTTTTGGCGAAAGGAGCAGATGTGAACTGTGCCGCCAAGCATAACATATGCCCCTTACATGTTGCAGCCAAGTGGGGTAAGTGGTTTCGAATTTTATAGATATTGTTAGTCATACATGGATGATGTTATTATATGGTCATAACTAAGATCAATGGTCATATCAATGGTACATTATTCATGGAAATAACGTGACCGATTGCTTTAATTCTGAACTGTATTCAACAGGTAAAGACAACATGGTCGCTTTGCTATGCGATAACGGTGCTAACGTAGAAGCCCGTACTAGGGATGGACTAACTCCTCTGCATTGCGCCGCTCGGTCAGGCCACGAGAGAGTCGTTGAGGCATTGTTAGATAGAGGGGCACCTATCACTAGTAAAAGCAAGGTAAAATTTAGTATTTTATAATTATTTAACAAACAACTACATATTTGAGAAAATTTTAATATATAAGACATATTTATATCAAAACTTGGTTACATCTGCTTAGACTGCATATTGTAATAGACAAGTCTCCTTTGTTTATGAAACAAGAGTGAACACCTGAAGGTGATAACAATACTGAAGTATTTAATTTTTTTCTCATTTCTTCAGTATTTGTTTTTTTACATCAAACCAATATCTATTAAAATTATTTCAAATACCCTTTTTTCTATCAGAATGGCCTAGCCCCTCTGCACATGGCAGCGCAAGGCGACCACGCTGAGGCTGCCCGAGTACTTCTGTCCAGGAGAGCTCCAGTCGATGACGTCACAGTGGACTACCTCACCGCCTTACACGTGGCTGCACATTGCGGTCACGCCAAAGTAGCCAAGCTACTGTTAGATAGGTCAGCAACATAGAATTTTGATAGAAGTAAATCCCTAATACCTTTAAGTGCCTTTAATTCTTCTCCTCTTCCCCCTCGGACGCCACTCGGAGTGGACGTGAGTGCATAAATCCGTATACAAATAAATTTAATAATTTTTTAAAAGTTCTAAAAGATTTTCGGTGCCTGAGGATTGAACCCGAGCACTCTGAGTAAGTGAGCCTGTGCATTTTACGCCGAAGCCACAATTGCTTGGCACACCGTTGTAAAATTAGTAGCCACAATTGATCCTTTCAACGTGCTACAATCTCTGCGAGCGACTACGAAGATAACAATCATTATACAGAGAACTACGGAACACTCAATTGCTCACGCCACTACGGAGTATATTATTAAATAAAAAAATTCAAGAAGAATAAACAAATCATTTCCATTTTGTAACATCTATTTCGATATATTTTTTTAAGATTATATTACGCAGTCGGACGGATTTATTGGATGAAATCGTTGATCGACGGCAAAAGTGAAACAGTGCAAGAAAGTGATACACCCCAAAAGATAATTTATATTATTATTATTGTTTTCTCCAAACGTTATATATATTTTTTTTTATTATTAAATTAAAATGCCATTACGCCGCTCACCTCCATCTACCTCTCCCGGCGTTCCAGTTCAACAACCTTTAATTATCCCATCATGTGACTCAGATTCAGAAAGAAGTGGCGGCGGTTCAGCACCTCTGCGCTTGAAGCGAGCGCATGGAAATGACGACATACGTGACCTCAGGACGGAGATGCGAGAGTTGTTTTCAAGCTTGTCTAGCTCAGTAACTCAGCGCCTTGGTGAGATTAAACAGCAAAACACTGAATTAAAGGAAAGTCTGCAATTTATGTCTGACAAATATGACTCGCTTCTTCTGAAACTCCAGCATATGGAAGATGAGAGAATACAGGATAAGAAGTCTATATCACTGCTTGAAGACAAAATTGATAGCCTGGAGCGAAAAATAAGAGCTGCGAGTATTGAGGTCAGGAATATTCCAAAGTCTGTATTAAATGACAATAAGGCGGAGACAAAGGTAGACTTATATGCCATTGTAAAATCTTTAGGCGAAAGCATTGGCACAAATTTAAATAAATCGGAAATTAAAGATATATACAGAATTAACTCGAGTAAAGAAACCAACAAACCGTTAATCATTGAATTCACTTCTGTATTAATGAAAGAGACCTTTTTAAACGCCGTGAAAAACTTCAATAAACAAAAGGCAAAGGGAGAAAAACTAAATACAACACATCTTAAAATCCCTGGTTTACCAATTCCTGTATATGTCTCGGAAATACTAACTGCTAAAACTCAAAAAATATTCTATTTGGCGAGGGAATTTGTGCGCAACAACGGCTACTCCTACTGTTGGACCTCAAAGGGAATAGTTCACTTACGCAAATCCGATGGTCAACAGCCCATTCGTATCATTTCCGAAACTGATTTAGCGAGACTCAAAAGTACAGAATGACTATACTTGGTGAACTTTATTACAGCTATCTTAATTTTTATTATATTTATATTATTGCATGAAATTAATTATAAGGTACAAAAAAATAGAAATCGTTATGGATCAATTCTTATATATTATCGTTTTTATATACCTTGCGTTGCGGCGACAGATTCGTTATTTATAACAAACATATTATTGTTTTTATACAGGATTAGCGGTTACTCATATGCATTATGTAGATCAATCCTTTACAACATAGTTATCAAATGGCAGTTGAGCTCAAGGACTCCAAAGTATTTTTTGGTGCACGTTTCAGTCATTGCTATAATTTATCATTATAATTCGATCCTATAAATGACATAGCTAGCAATTTAGATCTTGTTTCTGTGTCTGATGTCCACAGTTGTAATGCCGAAGATTGCCAAGAACTGCTTAAATTTGATCAAATTAATTTAAATATCATTTCACAAAATATACGCAGTGTTTCCTCTAACCTTGACTCCTTCCTCGTACTTCTTAGTCAAATGAAAATGAATTATGATGTCATTGTCCTAACTGAGTGTTGGCTGTCCAAAAATCCTTATATACCAACTATAGACGGTTTCTCCTTCCATAAATCTAGCAATCCTCATAATCAAAACGATGGAGTCATAGTATATATAAATAATGAAATTTCTAAAGTTACTGTCTTTGAACCTCAATTTGAGGATGCTAGTTGCTTAATAGTGAAAATTGGTGAAGATATGGCAGTAATAGCCATCTATCGCCCTTGTGAATTTGTAAATACTTCGAACTTCATTCGATCATTAGAGAAAATACTGCATAGTTTGAGATCAGTTCAGCATATCATTCTTACGGGAGACATTAATATAGACATAGTCCCATCAAACACTAGTGAAAAAACATTAGAATATCTTAATCTCCTTGCAGCAAATGGAATGCTTCCATCCCACAACTTACCTACTCGAAATAATGCGTGTTTGGATCACTTTTGTATTAAAACTTCTTATCCAGCTACAACATTGATCATTAACTCCTCTGTAACTGACCACTACACTATACTCCTCTCCCTAAAAAGTAAAAAACATGCCAGTACTACTAACACTCTGAACAAAATTAACCATAAAATGTTATCAGATGAGATCTCCAAATACGATTTTTCTCCGGTTCTTACTTCTTCTGATGCAAACGCAGCTGCTGAGACCTTGACTGATGCTCTGCGTGTTTTAATACAGAGAAATACTACCACCAAGTTCTTACCTAAACGTCAAAAACCTATAAAGGCCTGGATCACGCCTGGTCTATTAAGATGTATTAGAAATAGGGATCGCCTACACAAGAACTTTAAAAAAGCTCCTGGAAATGAAACGCTCAAATTAACTTACACCCGATATCGCAACTTCCTTGCCACCTTGATAAAAAAAGTCAAAAGGGCCCATTTCATGGATCTTTTGCGCAAGGCTGGAAAAAACAACAAACGTCTATGGGAGGTTATAAGAGATGTATCTTGCCTAAAAAATAGTTGTCTCTCGTCAGGTGTCCTGTTATCAGGTAGCTCTCCTCAACTGGCTCTTGATGAAACCAATAAATATTTCGTAAATCTAGGAACAAATTTTGCTACTAAATTTAACATTACCAACCCTAGAAATGCAACTTCATTACAATCTTTTCCCCGGTCAGCCTACTCATTTGTCTTGATCGACCCTGAAGAAGAGGAAATAAACCAAATCATATGTGGCCTAAAGACTGATTGTGCTGCAGGTTGGGATGGAATCTCCTCTCGTATCATTAAAAATAACAGTAATATTCTAGTTCCCTTATTAGCTCATATATTTAAACTTTCTATCTCACAGGGGATTTTCCCAAAAGTATTTAAAAGTGCTTTAGTACATCCAATATTTAAAGGAGTCGGGGACCGCACAAGAGTCGAGAACTACCGACCTATATCTATTCTTCCGACTTTGTCTAAGATATTTGAGCGCATCTTAAATAACCGTCTTATCAAATTTCTGGAAAATAAAAATCTTCTTAGTCAGAACCAATATGGTTTTCGAGCAGGGCGATCTACTTCTCAAGCTGTTCTTGAACTAACTTCCAAAATAATTGAAAACCTGGATAGGGGTAAGAAATGTCTTACAATATTCCTCGATGTGGCTAAAGCGTTTGATTCCGTTCCAATATCTATATTATTGCGCAAAATGGAAACACTTGGTATACGTGGTAATCAACTTAGCCTTTTTCAAGATTATTTATCAAATCGTAAACAGGCGGTCGTGATTGAAGGACAGAAAAGTTGTGAGTTCCAAATTGAATACGGAGTACCGCAAGGAAGCATTCTTGGTCCTACACTGTTTTTAATTTATGCGAATGATCTTTGCACCCTTAATATTCCAAATTGCTCTCTTCTTTCCTTTGCGGATGACACTGTTCTCTTCTTTTCTAGTGATTCTTGCCGTGATGTCTTTCTAAATGCACAATCTGGATTTGATATGGTTTGCGAATGGCTAAACAATAACCGTCTCACACTTAATGTTCAGAAGACCAAATATATCATTCACTCTATAAGAACGGTTGATCTGCCAAGTGAGGAATCTCTATCAATTACTGCACATACCTGTTGGGGTACAAACTCTTGCTGTTGTTCGTCCATCGAGCGAGTTAATGAAATTAAATATCTTGGAGTTTTGCTGGACAGCAATTTATCTTTTAAACTACATATCAATGTCCTTGCTGCAAGAATTCGCAAACTGATCTATATTTTCAAGTCACTTAGGACAGTAACTGATTCATCACTCCTCAAATCCATTTACTTCTCTCTTTGTCAATCCTTGATTCTGTATTGCATTACATCCTGGGGTGGCGTTCCTAAGACAACTATACTCCCACTGGAGCGTGCCCAACGCGCAGTTCTAAAAGTAGCTACATTCAAGCCGTTTCTGTTTCCTACCGATGCCTTATACTCATTCTGCGAAGTTTTATCAGTACGTAAATTATTCATCTTATATACATTAATACACTAACATTCCAAACTACCTTTAGATCCTTATAAAGGAGAGGTTCGTCGCAACAAATTGATTTTCAAGAGTAAACTATTTAATAAATCTTTTAGCAAACGATTTCTACTTTTTCTAGGTCCTTTTATTTATAATAATGTAAACCGGAGGTTGAATATATATTCACTAAATTATTGTAATCTAAAACGCATACTCACTCAATTTCTTCTTGCACTGACTTATGAAGAAACTGAGAAGATGTTACTACACATGACTTGATTCCTTACTCGTCTTGCATGAAAATTATTTACAAAATAAAACTAAATGTTGGTTCTAATTCTTGTTAAAAAAGTTTTTTTTTTTGTTTGTTAATGTAACTTAAATTTTCGTTTTTCATTTAAAATCATATTTTCTAATCAATGTGGTATCTTGTAAATTTACTTTATTGTGTCACTGGAAGAGAGTGGGTACTTAAGTCACAGGGTTTTCCTATTTTAAGTACCCACAGATCCTTAGTTTTAAAATATCCTGTGCCTGTATTTGTAAAACCATATTGTATAAAAAGTTTGGGAATAAATTATTATTATTATATTATTATTATTATCTTCAAACCGCTTTATTAAATTAATACTTTGAAGTCGGAAGATAAAAGATAATACCAAAGGTCTGCAAATATTTTTTTATCAGACTGCGGCCAAATATTAATCGTAAATACAAGAGCGTTCTGGCAATGAGCAAAGTTTCTGGAATAAAGAATTTGGAATCAGATTGCTTTAAATGGTTACAGTTCAACCAAAATCTACACTTAACCTAAATTAAGTATATAATGACTTAAATATATGTAACTTAAGATTATGAAAGAATAACTTGATTTTTTTTTGCAAATAGGAATGCAGACGCCAATGCTCGTGCTTTGAATGGATTTACCCCATTACATATCGCTTGCAAGAAAAATAGGATTAAAGTAGTCGAGTTGCTGTTGAAGTATGGTGCTAGTGAGTATAATTTCTCTTTGTTTTTTTTTGTTTTCCCCTTTCCGGGTTTCATGCTTAGATTAAAACAAAAAGGGTAGATACGGTACGCTCATACTTGCATCAAACAAAAACTGATCCCACGGCAGCGCGAACGGGACGGCGAGATCCGCGTCACTGCACTACCGAATAAGATTCAAAACAAACAGATATTTTTATGAAAAAATATATTTTAGAGTACTTACGAATGAAAAGTGATGCTGTGGGTGTTATTTTTAGTTCTTCAGCAATTTGAGCATTTTTTAAAAACACACTTAGGCATTGTTTTATCATATAAACACAAAATATTAGCAATATTTCTTTTTGGCGTTCACATGTACGTCGTTTGCATGTCAAGTTGTGACTAAAGCGATTAGGGTCGTGGACCACAATTCATGCGGATCACTTTTGTGAGGCTAGTGCCGTATCTACCCTTTTTGTTTTAATCTAAGGTTTCATGTGTATAATATTTTAGTTTATCTTAATTTGATATGATGACAGATGAGATTCCACATATTATTTGCAATTGTGATCTGAAATATTTTTTACCTCTAAGTAATTTTTAGGCTTATTACTACAAAAGCCAAGTTCTTGTTATAAGCTCACACTTAAAACCACGTGCTGAAATCTGAAAATTTATTTTAACAAGCTAATTTATTGAGAAAGTAAAAAATGACGCAACTGTATCTGAAAGAAAACTTTAAAATAACGTCCAAATTCTAAAGATTATCAAGGATTGCAATTTAAGAAGATTCTTGTCATATTGATATTTATACTGTTTTTCGTTAAGGTATCCAAGCGACTACGGAATCAGGGCTAACTCCCCTCCACGTGGCAGCGTTTATGGGCTGCATGAATATTGTCATTTACCTGCTGCAGCATGAAGCCAACCCTGACGTTCCCACCGTCAGAGGGGAGACCCCGCTACATTTAGCTGCTCGAGCTAATCAGGTAGGTAATAAAATTAGGACAAGTTGACTCGACCTTATAAATTATTAATGACCATAACCTTATGAGAATTTTCAAATCTTTTCCGTGTGTGGTATGTGATGTGGAAGGCCCAGCATGAAACCACGATTAAGACATTAATAGAGATATTGTCGGTGTAAGATAATGTAAAAGCAAAACTTAATCAATCACAATAAAATCAAGATACAAAAGTTTATCAATTGAACAACTAAATTATCCTTTAAGTAATAATAAATTTTATCCTTTCAATGTGCAATTTACCTATAACAAAACTTGCTAAAATATAATGTAAAAATGCAGATGTTCCTAAGAAGGCCAATATGTACGATATAATAATAAAATAAGCTCAAAAAATGTAGGTTATATGTCTTTAGAGATATGATTAGTGTTCTGTAGCTCAGGTTTTTCTGGAACCTCTTTCAGGTACTAGTACCTTCACTCACAACTCAGTACAGGTAAATTAGCCTAAGGCACCTACATCACTGAAGCCCGCACGCCGCCCGGTGAGGAAGGCATCTTAGAATCATTATTGTGAGGGAAAAGAAAGCGAATTTGTTAAATTATTATTATGTCACAATCTGTGTCAACAGACTGACATCATCCGCATTCTACTGCGGAACGGCGCCGCGGTGGAGGCGAAAGCGCGCGAGCGACAGACGCCGCTGCACATCGCGTCGCGACTCGGCAACGTCGACATTGCTGTTTTACTGCTGCAACACGGTGCCGACGTCCGCGCCATGACTGCCGACCATTACAACGCGCTGCATATAGCGGCGAAGCAGCATAATCATGATGTGAGTCAATTCATATGTAGATACTTCTGGCTACTATGGCCCCGCTTAGAACTCTATTTAAACAAGTTAGTGGAGTGCCACCAAACTAGCGCCGTATATAGCGGCTAAGCAGCACGACCACGATGTGGGGCACTTTATATGAAAAGGTTCGTGATGATTTAATTCATAAAGCTGCACATTGCCTCGGCAACGTCGACATTGCAGTGCTACTGTTGCAGCACGTGCTGACGTCCGCGCCATGACCGCCGACCATAACAACGCGCAGCATATAGCGGCTAAACAGTACAACCATGATTTGAGACAATTTGTAAACATTGACATCGCACGCGCCGACGTGATGGCGATGACTGCCGACCAGTACAACGCGCTGCATATAGCGGATAAAAAACACAATGATGATGAGGGTCAATTCGTATGCAGATACTTTTAGCTTGGTAATCTTCCTGCTTATAATCTTTTCTACGGAAACGAGTAAGTGAAATTTACCACGAGTTTTATCTGGGCAATGAGCGTAGCGACGATATGAACGCTTTCGGTAGGTTGAGATTTACGCTAGCCCCGTCGCTGCGGACTTCTCTTCGTGGCGTGCTTCTAACATTTAAGTAAATTTGTTCTCATCGCTTGGCGCTGCCGTTACTCATTGTGGCAAAGGTTGTGATCGAGCCGTTAATATGCTCTATATTATAGTGTTAATGTAACACATCCATGAAGTGAGTCTCTTGTCTCATATAACACTTACTGGGATCGATGGACTGTCCTTGCTTTGCTTGCCTTCTACTATATTCCCAAAAGTCAACATTTTAATGATTAGATCTAGCGATGGGGTTCCTCACCACCGGCTCTACTGTCGACCTCACACCTATGCAAATACCAATGATAGTGTTGCGATATAAATTTTCATCTTAACTGTTTCTCAGGTTGCAGCAGCTCTCATCGAACACAATGCTCCTCTCACGGCGACCACCAAGAAGGGTTTCACAGCGTTGCATTTGGCCGCTAAATACGGCAATCTAAAGGTATATTTTATACACATTTTATTTAACAGCAAAATATAAAATGTTCTCTGGCAATAAGCAAAAAGATTTATTCAGCAACTGAAGCAATAATTATGACGACTACAACAAAAATCTATTTTATTTCGGTGCAACACGAAGTCGCACTAGTTAATGCTGAGGCAGGGTTCTGGTTAGCCCTTAGATTTTAATATTCTATATCTTTTATTACCTGCTACACCTGTTTTAAGGGCTAATAAAAACGTTTTTCTTTCTTTCTTATTAATACTGATAGCAGACAATACACACTGATATCACAAGTTGCACAGCTATTTTTAAGGGTGGGACTTGGGTTGGAGATGACGGGATATAGATTAAGTTTAGACAACTTTTTTTTTTAATTTTTAGACAACATTATTAATATATGCATTGAAATATTTGCTTACTTGTAACCATCCATGTAACCACATGACTGCAATAAATTGAATTGAATTGAATTGAATTAGGTGGCAAACCTGCTGTTAGCGCACGGAGCATCTCCTGATCAAGCTGGGAAGAACGGAATGACACCTCTGCACGTAGCAGCTCAATACGACCAGCAAGCAGTCGCTACGACCCTTCTGGAGAAAGGCGCGGACGCTAAGGTATATGACAGGCCATTCTGACCTGATCCTGAGATGACCTAAAACGAAATTTGACAAGAGTATGTCCTTAGCATGCTGCATAGGGAATAAAAAGGAAATACTTTTGTGAAATTAAGATTTAAGTTTAGAGATTCCTGCCAGAATGTCTGACTGTCTACCCTTGCAAGAGTGACTTACACCATTATTTTGTTGTATTGTGATCAAATAATAGGATTCAAATATCAGGTCAGGCTGCTCCCTACCACTAGCCATCTTTCTAGTAAGTATAGGTTACCCCAGGCTCGGATCATCAGTTGTAACAATCTAGACCCAATGTACGATTAATGTATTTATTTGTAATTTTGACAAATTCCTAAAACCTACATACATGTAGTGGGAAATTGATGTCACAAAAGAGAGTTAGTCAGGTCAGAACATTTCCGTGATAGAGAGAGGTACGCCAAATAATGCCTAGAATTTAACTAGTTATGTTTTCGAAACATTTTCCTGATGACACTATAAAATACTTTGGTTAAGCATGCTATTTGGGTCTGTGTTTGAAATATAAGTAGTTAGAAGGTAGACTAGCGGACGGATCTAATTTTAAGCCTAATTTTATCAGCAATGCCAGTGACACAGCCATGCCGCTGCCTTTCATGGAACACTCGATTTAAGCCTCTCTTGAAGTGGACCATTTTCTAGTTCTGGGGGAACACCGTAGAGGGGAGCTCATTCCCTAATTTTATTGTCCGTGGAATAAAAGATCTCTGGCAAAGAACAGTGTTTGAAATTTAAGTAATATGCCAGTAAAATATATCTATTCTTTTAGGCGGTTGCTAAAAACGGGCACACTCCGCTTCACATAGCTGCTCGCAAGAACCAGATGGAGACAGCGGCCACACTCCTAGAATATGGCGCAGTCACTAACGCCGAGTCCAAAGCTGGTTTCACGCCACTACACTTGGCTGCACAACAGGTTAGTGGTTTAAACTTTCACTCAAATCTCCCCTTTCAAACTCCGGATGAGCTAATCCGTGCATAGAACTTCGTGATTTTTGTGTGACATTGTGCCGGACGACGCTCAGTGGGAAGACCCGCTACAAGGTGGACCGACGATCTAGTGAAGGTCGCGGGAAAACGCTGGATGCGGGTAGAGCAGGACCGATCGTTGTGGAGATCCTTGGGGGAGGCCTATGTCCAGCAGTGGGCGTCGTACGGCTGATATGATGATGATGTATAAAATGTAGTAATTCCTTCTTAGCATGTGATGTTCCTCGGTACTGAGGGTTATGACATCTCTAAGAATAAATCTGCTGTTGATTATTACTTTATCCCTGTTTACCCTTGTAAGAGTGACTTACACCATATGTTTTGTTTTCTCTTGATCAACAAATTGGATTCAATATCAGGTCGGGCTGCTCCCTATCTCTAGGCACCAGTCTCTAGTTGTTTATCAATCATGTTAATTCTTTATACAATGCCCTAATACAAACGTAAATTTTTATAGGGTCACACAGAAATGTGTTCTTTATTACTGGAGCATGGTGCAGAAGTAGACCAACAGGCTAAGAACGGCCTGGCTGCATTACATTTGGCAGCTCAAGAGGACAGGGTGCCTGTTGCGCAACTGCTGGTTAAAAATGGAGCTGAGGTAAGTTAGTATTCTACTTGACAAATAATCAGAAATCCCAACTAAAGACCCGAAAGAAGAACACACGTTATTAACGTTAAGCTTATTATTTAAAGTATACTGGAAAAGTTTTCGTTTAAAATGATATGAGGTTCGTAATTGTTCTTTCGAAAGATATGATTATAAACCTTAAATGTTGAGTTATCTCAAAGGTTCAAACGCCAGCCATGCACAAAATTTATATATAATAGCCGCTAGATTTACCCAAAACTAAATATTACAGGGCATTTTGTCTCCCGAAAACTCAAAATTTAACTCATCTGAAATACGATTTACATTTATGAGCATTTTAGATGTGACTTCTTCGTTAGTATTAGGATTTTCAGGTAATATAACTTAATTTTTCAGGTGGACATTTGTACTAAGGGTGGATATACCCCTCTACATATTGCTAGCCACTACGGCCAAGCAAACATGGTACGATTTCTACTTGAGAGTGGTGCATCTGTCAAAGCTCAAACTAATCATGGGTAAGTTAGAACCATCATTACATTCCTAAAAAATGAAATAATAAGTCGGAGTAAGTAGCATTATATCATGAAATCAAAGCTTACGATTTACTCAAAGGGTACTGAATTAGGTGCCATAATTTTTATACCCTATGATAATGTTTCTTCCATCAGGTACACAGCTTTGCATCACGCTGCTCAACAAGGTCACATCAATATTGTTAACATCCTGCTTGAACATAAGGCTGATGCGAACGCCACAACCACAGTGCGTATTGATTGTATTTATGAGCTAATGGAATAGTTAGTGCTGATATTGCTTAGGATCTTAAGAATAAATTAACTACATAAAAAGTTATTAACTACCTTGCTCGTAGTTTTTTTTAAACGACTATAAGCCTGGGATCTTGTTCTTTTTTATTTACGTTTTGGGACCCAATTGCATATAGTCTTAACAAACTGTACCGGGATTTTATCACTTTTAGGTAAATTTTCAGAAAAAACCCATTAGAAAATTTTTTAGACGATGGTTATACATACGATATAATTTAATTAGAACTTATTTCAACAGACTGACTTCAAAAAATAAGACCTATTAATCTTTCCAGAACGGTCAAACACCATTGGACATAGCGTCCAAGCTGGGTTACGTGACCGTAATGGAAACATTGAAAGAAGTTTCCGAACCTTCTATAGCACCAGCTTCACAAGAAAAGTACAAAGTCGTGGCTCCGGAGACAATGCTTGAGACATTCATGTCAGACTCTGAAGAAGAAGGAGGTAAGGGTTCTCTACAGTACTTTCTGCATTCATTTGTATATATTCTTATACATAAGTTTTTCATGTACCGATAGTTTCAATGTTATTACTAGTCTGCTGGTTTGTGATTATGGTGGACTTAAGGTTATTTCCGATATTCATGGTGAAATCAATGAATTAGACTTGATGGTATTTATGCGAGTTCCATTGGTTCAATACGACGTATAATTAATTGAAATCTTCCAACTATGAACTGTTCTGTTTTAGGAGAAGATGCAATTTTAAACGATCAGCCATACCGCTACCTAACTGCTGATGACATGAAATCGCTCGGTGATGACTCCTTGCCTATTGACGTGACCAAGGACGAGAGAACTGAGTCGGCTATGAGCCACAAGAACATTATGGAGATATCTCAAGGTAAAAAAAACTTTCTACTACAATCTTCAACATGATTGATCAGCCAAATGTTCCTTTCCTATTGTTCGGGCACTTGGGGAGGGAAGAACAGACCATATTCTACCTAGAGTAAATCAGTAAGTGTTAACAGTATAATCTTGCACTCCACATTAATAATTTACTTCATCCATCCAATGTATGGCTTTGGCAAAAGATTTAAAGCCTCATTCATGCCTACTAATATAGAAAATTTAAACTTGGAAAAAATAACTTTTTATTTCCAAGCAACATTTTATTACCTTATTTTAGTTTATTAGTGCACTATTTAAGGCATGAAAACATTAAAAGCAGTAATAGGTATCTTAAAAAAAAAGATCTAATATCGGAAACTCATGTACTTCAACAGGATCCGTGAATGGTATTCCATACCAGCCCGCCCAGGAAGTCGTAGTGAAGAGTATCAGTCGGTACAGCACAGCGCATGCGCCAGAGGGATACTGCTACAACGTCGACCCTACGCAACCTAAGTCAGTATATTTTATTACCCGTATGTATCAAGCAATTATGGACTTTGATAAGGCCTTTGACTGTATGGAAATCCGCAGCATTTATACTTAAAAAAATATCTGAATACACCGATAAAGATTTAGAAATATTTCTTTAATAATAAGGAATTACTTTGTTACCGTCATATAATCAATACAAATACAAAATGTATATAATTCTTTCTGACTACTATTCATCTAGAAATGAAAGGATTGGATGGATCAACCGAGTTGCATCGAATTTTGAAATAGAATTGCCCTCCATCTGATTTTAACTTTATTTACAGATGATTTCATGGTTATCAGTGTCTAATAAAACTATTGTCATGCACGCTCTCTGAACTCGGATTCACAGGAAAAAATTACAATGGAAAAAGTGAGTGTAATTTTAATTGTATTTAAAAGTTCCTCTTGAGATCGATTTAATTTGTTCATATCTTTAAAGTTGTTATGATAATAATTATAAAGTGTTTAAGTTATCCTATTTTCTTATAAATACAACTGCATTTATATATATATATATATATATATATATATATATATATATATATATATATATATATATATATATATATATATATATTATTTTAGTTGATACCAAACGAACTACCTGTTCTGATATCTTGATTTATTTTTTGTACTTCACACTAATGTCATCTACTAATAAAGAAAATGTGAAATTTACTAATCCTCGTATCTATTTACATACTCTACAAATTGCCGACTCTTTCTCAAGTAAAACTCTTCATAAATCATATTATGAGTATGGCAATACATGAGATATATTTGTAATGATCATATTGTCTTTTTGTCTCCAGCTTCCTGGTGTCTTTCCTCGTGGATGCCAGAGGAGGAGCCTTGAGAGGTTGTCGAGGTGGTGGTGTGAGAGTTATCGTCCCACCATTGTCAGCCCAGCAACCTACCAGGATTACATGCAGGTAAAGAATCGCTTCAATCAAGGCAAATAAATAATAGACTAATGTTGCAAGGGACAGTTGAGGGCAAAAGATCTCGTGGACGTTCTCCTATACGGTGGACAGACCTTATCAAATCGGAAATGCACTTCAACGTAATTAATTGCTCCCGCTCTGCAAATCCTCGAGCTACACGGCGACGAATTTCGAATGCATCAAGGCAAAGGAATCGACCAAGTCAGGAAACGACTCTGTCAAGAGTGCACAACTAGGAAGAAAGGATTAGACTGAGTTTATTTACTGGTTTTTTTCTTTAGCATCGAGAAGAGAAGTAGAATGATGCTTATATTTTGCTGTACCAGCTCATTGACAATTTAGAGGCATAGAAAATGTTACTGATTAATTTTAATGTTCGTGCATAATGTTTCAATTACGTATGGGGTCTCATATTTAATCAATTTTTGTTAAATTTATGTAGGTCAGGTCAGGTAAGCAAAAGAGGAATAGCTAATGAAGATATTTTGTGGATGTTGGATTACTACTTCTATATTAGCGAGAGATCGTATGCTTAAATATTTTGGACCACCAATTTAAATTATTGTTTTTTTTTAGATATTTGAAGCCGTCTCGTATAAATCATATGCCTCCCTTAATGGAGGGTGAGGCTTTGGCAGCTCGAGTGCTCGAGATGGGGCCTGTTTCTGCAAAATTTTTAGGGTGAGTCCTTAATTGAATTGATTTCTTGATCTTAAGACGTGGCATTTTTTTACAAAGTGATTTTACGTTATGATTATTCAATGAAAATAACAGACTATTATTAAATCAAGTTAAAGTTCAATCATGTTTAATATCAACTCTTTCAAAGATAAATAAAGATAGAATGCACCTTAAACTTTTAAGAACTTTGGTGCAAGTAAGCCTTATAATGCTTACTGCTCAAGTGTTATAAGGGGTCGATACCCTGATACTTTAGATACTTGAGATATAAGCGATGGTATTTTAATGCAACGGATTTTAACATTTATGTATTATAAATGAGTTGACTTTGACTAGGCCTGTGATACTGGAAGTACCCCACTACGCGTCCCTTCGTGGCAAGGAGAGGGAAATTGTTATTCTACGTTCAGACAATGGGACAAGTTGGAGGGAACATAACGCAGACGCCACAGATGATGTTGTCCAAGACATACTTCATGAAACCCTGGAGATTGAAGGTAAGTCCAGGCGTAAAGATCTGCATCAAATTTATTAAGGATTTCCAATTTATGAATATCGATTTACGACACCAGAACACTCGCGAGTTGCTCACCTTGGCCTGATTCCTTACCCTTAGAACCCTTACTCACCGAAAAAAACACAAACATAACTAAAAATGTAATGTTGTGTTACTGTGGTCGTCTATAAGAAATTGTTCTCTTCTCTTAATAGCAATATAATAATATAGTTCATAGTAAGTCTTTGGCCTGACAACAATATTAGTTTAACAAACACCAAAAGTTTACAATCACTATTTAAAATTAAGAAAGTTTTAAGATATTCTGTATTAATGTAAGTAAATTTTCGGTATATAATCTATCATGTCTTTCAGAAACCAATGAAGATGAGAAAGGTTGGGACGCACCGCGCGTCACTCGAATCCTGACCCACGATTTCCCGCAATACTTCGCTGTCATATCCCGGATTCGACAAGAAGTGCATGCTATCGGCCCAGAAGGTAATATTAAGACTTACCAAAGGTACAAGTAATATTAAAAGTCATCAAAGTTACAAATAAACTCACGCCCAATACCCATTAATGGTGATCATCAATGAGAGAGGTCACGGCAAAGCCTTATGAATATTAAGCATTTTGGGCTCTAAGACGTTAGCCAAAAATATACTACTGTTACTTCAATGACAACCAGTTATGGTTGCGTGTAATCTATCTTAACCAGTTAACTATTTTATAATTAATAGCGCCTAAGTTGCAACAATAGTAACATGTAATAGAACAGGGCGTATGCTATGATAACAGTAAAGTAAAAATAAAAGGAATTTTAATTCTAGGTGGCATGGTTTCCAGTTCCGTCGTACCTCAGGTGCAAGCCGTATTCCCGCAAGGTGCACTCACCAAGAAAATCAAAGTCGGTCTCCAGGTAAACCTGTTCAAACCACGCACAGGCGTCAAAGATAAAAATCTCAAAAAGATCACAGTTAATAACGTGTCTAAGAAAAAACGCTTCTCGTTGATATGGTAGTAGAACTACTACTAAGTTACCATGAGAGGTAACGGTAGTAATAATCCACTCAGGAGGACCATTCACACGTGCTTTCATCTGAAAATGAAGTATTATACTAGGAAACTTTAAAACTATCTTTCGCGTAACATTATCAGAATGTTATAAGTTCATTTTACCATACAACTGTGTAATTACGAACGTCTTTTAAAAAATGTTCTTCGTTGAAATCTTACATTCACTTAGTACGATAGCTTTAATATTGTATACTCCACGTGTATATAATTTTATTTATTGTGGGCTATATGTAGTTCTAGAAAGAAGACTGCGTTTTATTTTTTTACTACAAACCACTTTAAAGGGCTCAGTATTGTGTATAACGAATCAAACAGTTTTGTTGAAAATAATGAATTTATCAAATTTACCAGACAATAGCATTAATCTAATGACTAATCCATCATAGATCTGGAGGATTTATGACGAAATTGGTTATTTGAGTTTGGCAAAAACACAGCTTAAGTTTTCGTGGTCAAAATTTTACATTGTTGTAAGTGCTACGCTATTCTTCCTTCTTTGCCGGCTCAATTCTGCTCCTATACGTAGCACTTCATAGTTCGTTTCTTCCTCATCAAAAACTTGTTAGCTTCTGTATTAATCTGATTACTTTGTTACTTGATTTAATCTTAACAGTTGTTTATAAAAACAGGAACATTTTGTAGTCCCAAATTTTAAAGGTATCGATTCTCTGTCTTCTCGCAATGGGTATTTCTTACAATTTATGTTCTGAAGTTTATCCATGCTCATTTAGGATTTGAAAAGTGTCTTTTAGATGTTAAACAAGTAGTCTAGTATCACAATCACCTTCTCATTAGAATTTACTACTCTAATGTGTCTGTATGGTTTACAGATGTTTTTAAAATTTACCTCTAGATTAAAGAATATGCTCTAAAAGATCTGACTTCGAGACAATGATGACATGAATCACGGATTCATTTGTATCTCTGTTACAACAAAAAAAAAACAGTGAAATGTTCAATAGGCATGTAGTGATAAATAATAAGATATAATTAAATACATCTTAATTTATGCTGACAAAGTCGGTTCACCCTTTTTATATTTAAATAAAACCTATGTATAAGATTCTGCATATATATTTTTAATCCCTCGTATACTTTATGCAAACTCTTTTTTATCATATTTGGAGTAATTTTATGTACAATATTAAACATAGAAGTGATTCTATGGATTTTATCGCCAAAAACTTGTGTTCTCTTATCGATGAAATTTATTGAAATCATTATACTAAAGTACAAAATCAAATGCCAAATTTTAACTATGTTTTAAATTCATTAAGAATTGCTATTTACTACTTAGTTCACACTTATATCTTTGCGATCAATATATTTAGTTTTTAAGTCAACTCACTTCTGTAGCACACACTTTTGTCTGCTTTTATCATTAGAAAACAATTGATGTAGTGAGAAATGAACTTTTAATACGAAAAACTTTACAATTTTTTGAATTTATTGAACTCTCTGTTGCTTAAAGAAACCTAAGATTATTTTATTTCTTGTACACATTTATTAGGACTTTCTACATATCGTTAATATAACTTATAATCGCAATAATGTTCATTTGCGATTCGATTTTCAAACAATAAACGAAGATGTCATACAATACTTAGAATAAGTTGTATTCGTCGCTCCTATAGACATCATTTCATACCCAATAAATTTAGAATAAACCTCAAAGTACGCTATTTATAAAAATGTAGTGAGTACTGAAATAAAAATTATAAGAAACTATTTGTTTGATTTAAATTTAAGCATTAATGAATTATATGAAATCACTGTTTCAAGTGGTAGGTTTCTCACACTGCGTTTTGACGCAACACTTTCTCTTGTTGGTCTTTAGGCGAGAAATACAAGCATGACTATTATGTATGTTGGATATAATAAACTATATAAACGTTTTAATCTTATGACTATGTGCGTTATCAATACATTTATTATTATCTGCTATGTGTGATTTTCGAATATATGGTTGATATATTTTTGGAGTGACGTATTTGTTTGTATACATTATTAGTTAAGTAAGTAGCAATAAATGAGTATTTTAAGGTAATTGCTAAATTTATTGGGTAATGTCTGCGAGCTTTTAAACTGAAGTGTATAAATGTTATGCAAATATGTAAATTGTTTCCTAAAGACCAAACGTGAGATTGCATGATATATATTTTAGTTGTGTTGCTATTATTTTGAACGTTTTAAGTTTATTTATTAGTATAAAGTGTGTGGCATCTTGCTTTTGAAGCGCATGTGTGAGAAATAGATGAGTCTGCTAAATATGTAAAAGTTTAATTTAATCTTAATGCTTTTCCTGTGATTTCATATGTTCATACTTGCTTAATTTTGCACCAAGCTCTCAGCCAATCACCCTTTTATTTTAAAGTTTGATCACTGTTATCAAAGGAAGTTTACAAAACAGTTAGTAGTTAATGTTTATAAAGTGCTTCAAAAATTCCTTAATTTTAAATACTGTATTAAAACGGGTAAGTAAGATTTTGATTATTTCAAAGGGTTGCCCGAACTTTTTAATTTTCGCCAATCACAACAAGCTTAATCATTAATTAAACAATGCGTTTGGTCTTTAGTCAACAATAAATAAATATTTCATTTAATAATAAATGACACTTCACAAAATTCTAATTCTTTAATTCACAGGCTCAAATTATAGACTCAGAGCTAACTGCGAAACTATTGGGCCGAGGAGTAGCAGTATCTCCAGTAGTTACAGTAGAACCAAGGAGAAGGAAATTTCACAAAGCTATAACCTTGAGTATGCCAGCCCCCAGGCCTCATACTCAAGGAATGACGAACCAGTATAGCACTTCATCTGCTCCAACTCTTAGATTGCTATGCTCTATATCAGGTACGACTAAGATAGTTCGCTTCTTTTTAGCAGATCTGCTTGGTTATAGATTTGGTCAAGGGGTTTTATCAAATCAAACAACCTCGATTATATTGAGTACACTATTTATAACTTTTATTTATAAATTATGACTTTTTCAATTTTACATGATATATTATTCATCAACTCGATTGATAAATACTCCTTTCCCCTATTTAGCCAACCAAATCTGTAAAGTGTTGCAATGGAGTATGGCTTGAACTCGCTACCTTGATGATATAATAATATGCTTGCACAATAGGGAGGTAAGTACGCCTTATTGATCGGGCTTCCAATACTCCTTTGCTTAGTATCTAAGTTAGGTAAAATAAAGCAAAATAAATACATTGTACCAATATTCCATTACAACACCTTAGTAAAGTAGATAATTATCATAATTGTATTTAGATATTTGAAATTAAATATATACCGCCAAATTTACCGGATTAAATAGACTTACAATTGTATTATTTTGAGATCGGTAGATAATAGATTTAATCATGTTTCCATAAAGATTTTATAGAGTATGGATTGATTATTTTTAGATTTCAATGAGGCAGTTGATTACAATAGATTTTTTCTTGTTGATAAATTTTATTGAATAGTGTAGTTTAAATTTAACCACAGTCATAGAATAATACTCCCATTTTTATAGACAAAGGGATGAGCATGATAATTGGAAATATAGCGTAGATTCATTTTATTACTTAATAAACAAAATAATTTACGAAACCTGAATAACGAAATAGGAAAACGTTTTATTCAAAAATTACGAAATACCGACCCTTACAAAAACGCTTATAGCAAATACACCAAGCAGCTAAAGGGATTTATCCCTGTGTGTGCGTTTTGTGCGTGTCTACATTGTCTTTGTTCTCGTGTGTTTGTGTGTGTTGCACGCTCACCGTGTGTGGCGCTAATTAATGTGCTGCCACCTATCGGCGCGCACCAACAGGGGTATTTCGCAAACGATCTCTCGAAGGTAAAAAATTAAAAATACTATATAAATACAAGAAAACAGAAACGAAATGTCGGTTTCAGTTTCATTATTTTCAGTTGAAATTTTCTTTTTCCTAACTATGTAAATTTTTGCGTTGTTGATTTATCACGAGTCATTGTTTCTAAGATAGTTTTACTCTTGAGCTTTGACCTTATAAGAGTATAACTATCTAACACATTATTTACTTCCCTCTATCACTTTTTGAATGCTTTTTCATATAATGCTTCTCATTCATTCTTCCTTTCTGCACGGGCTGAAACTTTTACGCTTTGTTAATTCACATACACTCTGTATCATAACATAAATATAATTAAATTTTGGTACGTACGAAATGCACTACGACATGCTCACTGAAATTATCGGTATAGAACTATGTATAAATATACGAAACCTAGATTAATCAATATTGAAACGTTACGAGCACGTTATAAGAACTGTTGACACGAAATACTTACCTGTTTGTTTGTGTAATATAAGAGTGATCTGAATCAAACCATTCGACGCAGTTCCATTTAAGCCATCTTCATTTCATTCTTCTGCGTCAATGTACCCAAAATTTCCTTTAGTTGCTTGTACTAATCAAAGTTCTTTTCCAAAACGGCCTATCAGTTTTATTCCACTTCATCTTCTCTTTGTTTGTCTCATTTCTGTTCTTATCATTTTCCACTAAACACTTTTTAGTTTCACCGTTTTACTTTGTCTAATTGGATTTTGGGTTATGTTCAGTGAATGTCCTTCGAGAGATCTGTTTTCCGAAACGAACCAGACCAACAATTTTAACAATTTGTTTGATAAAGTAGATTCATTGTTTTCATTTTGAGGCTAAAGCACTATATTTTTAAGAATCGGGTGACAGTTTACAGAGTGCCACATTATCAGCCACTTTTTCATTTGTAAACAATACAAAATGGTACGTTATTTATTGTTTTTGTGTGATGCGTTGTCTTGCTTGTTGTGTGTTTGCTATAGGCCGTTTTGGAAACATTTTGTGTTGGTTATTATTTTAATTTCTAATTAACCTATCTCTCTGATTTTCTAATCTTTCTTCTACATTGGTTACAAAAAAAAGCATAAAGGGAATTCTTCTGTTTAGAGTTTACGAAATTATGAACAGTAAAAGTAGCTTCAAATCTGTATTAAAAAGCAATTTCTATATCTCTGTAGTAAAGCTAGTTTAATATTTAAGTAGAACAATAGAGAGGAAGTAACAAAATAGAAGGCCTGCTTTGGAATGCCACAAAATTGTAAGTAGGTAGTATCATGTTCACTATGGCAATTATTATTGCTAATTTTGCTAAAGGCTATTTTATTTTAATAAAAGCGTGTAATAAAGAAGTCTTATTAATGTTAGTTATATTTTGAATAGTATATCTTTTTGAGCATGATCTATTTAGATTCGTTGAATTTATATTAATTAAGTTGTTGGCACAGGTGGCACCAATCGCGCACACTGGGAAGATGTCACGGAAAATACGCCGCTCACATTTGTCAACGACTGCGTATCTTTCACTACAACTGTATCAGCTAGATATTGGCTTATCGACTGCCGGCATATCGAAGATGCCACTAAAATGGCAACTGAATTATACAGGTTCGTAAGAAGTACTTAAGATAATTTTAAATTTATTCCGCCTTATTACAAAATGTAGACAAAAGTTAAACCTGCACTTAAACTGATACTGTCACTATTGTTTGCCAAAATGAAGACAAAGGCAACATTAGGTTTAAAACAAGACACATTTTAGTCTGCGTTTTGGATTAAGGCGTTTTTTTTTTTATTTTTACCTGCTTACAATTTAATTTAAACCCCTTAATTTATGTGAATTATCTGAAACAGTCATACATTGATAAAAAATTAGTAGGTACTGAATCATAAATTGATTTTTCACAGGGAAGCTATCCACGTTCCATTTATGGCTAGATTCGTGGTTTATGCAAAACGTACTGATGAGTGCCAAGCTCAACTACGTTTGTTCTGTGTGACAGACGATAAGGAGGATAAAGCTTTAGAACGCATTGAACGGTTTATTCAGGTCGCCAAGAGTAGAGATGTAGAGGTAAAAATATCATAAAAGGTTTATCAATATGCTGTTAAAAAATAAGACTGTATAGTTAGTGAGTTCTTAATCTGTATTTTAGGTCCATGAGGGTAAACCCGTATATTTAGAATTCGGTGGGAATCTAGTTCCTGTTGCAAAATCAGGAGAGCAATTATCGATACCGTTCCGAGCCTTCAGAGAAAATAGACTTGCTTTCCCAGTGATGATTAAGACACAGGACTTAGAGCCGATCTGCAGGTGTCAATTTATGAGAGATCCTAAAGTTCCTAAAGGAGAACCATCGCCTACGCCGGTATGTGATACTTGCATTTTTTATTACAAAAGCCACAATTGCAGCTTACTATGCACCATCATTAACCTGACATTTACTAATTAAAAGTTAATATAACATTTATATTATCAGATCGCTGTTCTCAATATAATGGTACCTGATGACATGCCGGTAGAGAGAATCAGTCCTCCTCCAACAGATACAGAGGTACCAAGACGCACTGAGGAACAAGAGCTCATCTGGAGACAGCGTTTGAGTGATCCTAGGTATAATATTCATACAATACATATAGACATCTTGGATAAATATTGCGATCTAACCAACGAACTAATTAAAAATAGCTATCTAGTTAATTGCTATGCGGTAGAAGTAGGAGCGAGATGTATACCAGCAAAATCTATCTATAACCTTCTAAAGACTTCGGCCTGTCGAGAACTGCAGTAAGTTCAATTTTGGAACGAGTAACTAAGGCTGTTCTTACATGTTCCTATCAAATTTGGCTAGGAAGGGCGGGCAACTCGAGTAGTGAAGGTGAGCGTTGATGCGCATATCAAAGAGGGCCTCCTTAAACTTACACCTGGGTCGCAAGTCCCGGGAACTGCTCAGAGTTCCTCTCTCTCCCTCACGATGGACCCGGCACCCGCACGGCGAATCCATGGATTCTTAAGAAGTTCGTCTCTCTTAAACTAAAAGGAGCTTACTATTATAAAATATCTGTTTGGAATCTATATTGATTAAACATTTATTTTTCTATGTTATTGCATTAGGCTGGAAGATATATGTAACTTACTTGGCAAAGACTGGGTAGCGCTGGCTTATGAACTTGGAGTTAGTGTCGCTACAGTAAATCAAATACAGGCAAAGAGAATCACTGCTGCTGAACAAGCCCAACTAATGCTGAAGCTTTGGAAAACTCAGTCAGGAACCAAAGCTCAAGGTAAACAAACAAATAATAATTGTCATTTTAGGTCATTATTTACCATCAACTGTATTCCTTAAATTATTGAACATTGCTGAATTATAATACGTTTTGAAATATTTATACTATATTTTAGACACAAGTCTCGAGCTTGCTTTGTGTCGTATTGGTCGAGACGATATAATAGCACCTCAATCAGATATCACCAATGAAAGACGCATTCTACGAAACATTTATCAAGAGAGGCAAGCTTCAGAAGAAATCGAAGCTTATAAAGGTATGCAACAATCAAGTAATATGGTGATTGAAATAAAAACCCGTACTGATATTATTTTTATTGTAAGGCTGGCCATATATGCTTTGTTTCGTAATTTTAGCTGAAGAAGACAATAAGCTCAAAGATAAGCTATATGATGAAAACCAAATTGAAGAACGTCTCACTAGGGAATCAGATCAGGATCATGAAGATGAAGCTAAGTATTCACCAGAAGAAAAGTCTATAGTAGACAAAAGTGAGATTGAACGAACCCCCACACCAAGTGAAGATAGCGAAGAGGATGAAGGTAAGTTACTTTAACAGGCAATTTGGTCTTTAGATTAAGTTATATTTTTATTTATTTTCTTATTAATTTTAGATGTTAAGAGAAGCGTAGCAGAAAGAAAAGAACAAATAACTAGAAAACTCAGTTCAAGTAAAATACCCGCTTCGAAGCAAAAGAAAGAAATTCGTGAGGAAATAATAGAAATAAAAACTCAAATAAAACCTGATATAAAGAAGTTCCACGATATAGAACAACAAGTACGTTTGAAAATACTTATTGCTGCTATTAATTTTTTAAATACTGTTTATTAATTTTTAATTTATATATATATTTTCAGGTAAAGGATAAAGATACTAAACTAGAACGGTCACGGTCTAAAACATCGCCAGATGTAGTTGAAGAGGAAAACGAAGTTGAAGTTTATACACAAGAGACAGTAGAAATAAAAAAAGAAGAGGTGAAAGTTTTAGATAGGTCTCAAGAACAGTTTAGAAAATTCGATCCATTGTCGCCAGCGAAGCCTACGCCTAAACACCTTCAAAGGCATATGAGAAATGAATCAATGAGATTTCCTTCAGGTGACTTCTCAAATGTTACTATCACACCTAGAAAATCAATAATTGAAACCACAGAAACTAAACATATATCTGAAAAAACAGATTCATTTACAAAGGAAGTCATATCGCAAAAAGAAATTGTAAGTTCTAGAGTGGAAGAAAAACTAGATGATGGCGATCGTTCTCCTGATCTAGTCACAGAAGAAGACAAAGACATTGCGGAAGCTACTTTAAAACAAAAAATTAACTCTTTTGAATCTAAAATATCAAAGGAACCGTCAATTGAGCTACCTAAGACTACTGTCAAATTGACAAAAGAAGCTTTAAAAAAGCATACGATGGAACAGGACCAAGGAATAGAATATACACAAGAATTCGTGAGAGAGCAATCTAAGCAAACATCAAATGAAACACAGGAGGGCACAACAAAGAAAGTAGTTGCTGAAACTGTGGAAAGTACTGAAATTGTTAAATCTGTCAAAGAGACAATTCAGCGATTTGATTCAAAAATAAAGCATGATGATAAAGGTAAGGTGTTTTCAAAAGCTGTAAGAACAGACTCTACTCTCGTTCAAGTTTCATCGGAAGAAGACAGTGAGTTCTTGAAAAAATCAACGGACTCAGAAACTGAGACTGAGTCACAAACAACCGTAAAGGCTGATAAATTAGAACAAAAAAATCTGTCTAAATTTGATATGAAACCTAGCTTAGCCGAATTTGACTTTAAAACAAAGGATATTAAAGAAACTGTAAAACAGGACAAAAAGTATGACGACGACAATAAAAAGGATGATCAGGGGTTAGCCATCAAGCTTCAAAAACAACTGACAGAAGAGTTGAGAACAAAAGTAAGTGAAGAAGAAATAACGGAAGCGTTGGAAGAAAAAGATGTATCTGTTGGTGAAAAAATTAAAGACAGGGTAAGTTGTTTACATGAACTTATTATAAAGCTTCGCATACATGATTCTCTTAGTCACATCTATAATTCTTTTCTATTTAATTCCATTTTTTAAAGCTTATTTATTATATTTCTTACGATTAGATAATTGACAGTAGGGATTTCATAAATATTTCTTAATTTTTTTGTAGATTGAAACTCAACCATCAGTAGCAAGTACTAAATCAGATATAAGCAAACATACCAAGACTGATTCCATGGGTTCAGACGTACAAGATTTAGTTGCTCGTAAAATATCCCAAGAATCGTCATTACCATCTGGTATAGACAAAGCTGATTCTCTCGCTGACTTACAGCAAAGTACTGAAAAAGATTTCAGTTTTATTTCGCAAACTGAATCTAAGGTAAAGTGCTTTGAATAAAACCTAATGAATAAAAATACCATTATACAATGAAATAGATTCTTGAGCTTACGCGCACACTACTCATTTGACAATAAATACCCTCGAACTGATTGATATAAATCACGTATTTTTTTTGCCAACACCAACGGCACACACTCCGTGTGTTGTCAAGTAAAACCTGTAAGAAAAAGTTCTTTTACTTAATAATAATAATGGTATCTTCTGCGATAGAATCCTCTACGACATATGACACTCCGTGAAACTTCCATAGTAAACAATAGTCCAATCGAAAAGCACTTCAATTATCCTTATTTAAAGCCGATGGTCAAAGTACAAGAGATAGTCGGGGTGAAGTAAAAACTCTAAACGAAGATAAAACTTATTCACGTACACACACGTATTGCTTACGAACGACTACCTACGCTCGCGCACAACCCGGCGTCACCGTCTGTCTGTGTCGTTAACCAGTTTAATTATCCTCGCCCTATTTAATAAGTGCGAGTAAGACAGACTAATAATAAGACTTGTGGCTAATGACACAATTGATATACCTGTAGATTGGTAACTATACTACGTGTATAAAGCACAGGAATTCATTTAAATGGTAAAAATAGCATTACTTGGCTACTGTTATAATTGCCATGTTTAATTAAGGATAACTCAGAACGTACTAAGATTTGGAACTTTGCACCATATTAACTTTTATTCAGCTTAAAAATGCCAATCTAACGATATCACACACATACCTATTGGAAGAAGCGACCTAAGTGGGACCAGGATTGACATTCTCCTTTATCCAGTAAACATATGAAATACACAGTCAGACTTTGTACAGGAATTTACTACTACTAAAAATAGGAAGCTGAAATAAAAGTAACCATTTGGTAACCATAAAATAAAAAATTGACTTATCATAAATATAACACGAGTAAACATAAAAATACACTACTGGGTTGCGTGTTCCAATCTTTGTTAACTCCGCTATTTGTTTTTTTTTATACTTTACTCTTCAAACTTCGCCTTACTATAAATAAATCTTTATCTTATTCGATGTTTTATCGTATGAAACTAAAATATAAGCCCTTTAAACTCTTCCAAGGGTGTATTTAATGATTTAACAAACCAAATGCTCATAAAATAGTCAAGTAGCAATACAGTCTTTTGAAGGATACATGAGATTACTACAGTGAAACTTTCTTATTTAACTGATGTAACCCAGTACATTAAATAAAAAGTTCAATATTCAGGTAACTTTTTGTTTTCTGAACATGCTCTCAAGTTAAATTATTTTTGTATTTTTGTCCATATTCATATTTAATGCAATTTGAATACCATTATTTTAAAACTAGCCACATCATCCAATCATAATATAAAATATTTACCTATTTTCAGGTATATTCTAAAGAATCAAAACACCGAAGTGACTCACTGGATGAAACATCTCAATTTTCCGATTTGGAAGAAGCCGGTGCAAGTCCAGTACACAAACCTTTACAAAACAAAGAGATTGATACTGTAATAATATCAAAAACTGAAGTCAAAACTATTTCAACAAAAATTACGGATAGGACAGAAACTCGAGATCAAACATTGGAGTTTCTTAAATACGAAAGTGAATATAGTGCACAAATACATGCACCTTTTATTGGATCAGTGGATGCTGAAAAGGTATTAGCGAAATTTACTTAAAGCTATTTGTATATATAGTGGGGTCAGTCGGTCCTAATATAAGTGCTTATGGAATTATATTATAATTTGCGTTGGTTGTAATTTTATTAATTGATACTTAAAATGAAGCGATTTGTTTTTTCTCAACAGGTATCCCCAAAAGAATCTCCAGTAATAAGTGCAAAAGCCAGGCAATTTATTGAGACGGTTCCTGAAGATGATTCCGTACAAGAATGCTTCTTTTCCAAGCGGATATACTCTGATTCGTTAGAGGACTCTGAAAACACGGACTCACGTCGCCATTCCGAAGCAGAATCTTTAAAATCGGATCAGTCGGATATCAAGGCTAAAGTCTCATCGGGTGATTTTGATGAAAGAGCAGAATACGAAGAAACTGTAGATTCAGGCAGTGGTTTTGGTGATGAAAAATTCGAAGAAAGTGTAGGTTTTACTTCAATGAGAATCGAACCTCAATCTCTTGACTCCGAAAAACAAGATTCAGAATCAGATAAAGAATCCGATCCAGTATTTAAGAAAATGACCCCAAAAGAACATTCACGAGTTGAATCAGTTTCTATTACTAAGCCTAGCGCTATTCAGGCTGAAATTGAACCTCTTCAACTTAAACAAGAGTTCCAGATGATCATTACAGAAGCCGAAGATATTGATAAATCTTTCGATAAAGATGAAATTTCTGATAAAATATCTTCTGAAAGTAGCAGAGAAATTGAAATTTCTGAGAGAAAATCTTCAGAAGGAATATCTGAAAAAATAAGTTCTGAAGATGCAGTAACAGAAAAGAAAACATCATCTGAAGAAGATGTTCTAAAAGAAAGAGATCAAACTTTAAGTGACGATAAAGAAAAAAATGTGATTGCTGCGAAAGAGGTAGTCAAAGAAATGGAAAAGGCAGAAATCAAGGTACTAAAAGAAGATACATTTGAAAAAGGTAAATTTCAATTTAATTCACTGTCTCAAAATAACTGATGATTGGGACTTTATTTGTTTAGGATAATTGAATTTCAATGAAAATGTCTACTCCTAACCTTCTTCACCTTTACTGTACAGAAAAAAATGGACTATGTGCTTCTTAGAAGTTCCCTCTATTTTCATAACGTCATTAGTGATTGTATAATATACGCTATCTCTCAAATAAAATCTTGTCTCGCCGTCTGTTTGCCTCTTATACCTGCCTGGCCAAGGCAAACAAAATAAAGATTTATAGAGTGCACTATAACTATAATATTAGTAGCAAAATAACTAAATGAATGTTTCACGCTTAACTGAAGCCAGCAATTATTTTTCTCTTTTCATTCTGCAATTTCTATCTTCTTCTACTGAGTTATTGATTTGTTTCAACACACTTTAAATTATCACTCTCGTGTCTGAACCTACTTTAGAACCATCAAAAAAATCCTTGAAAAAATCCACTCGGTCAGATTTCAAACATTAATAAAAAAATCACATATAATTTATAGTTGGTGCCATTAAACGCCAGTCAGTTACCTCGGCTGGGTCAGGATCAGTAAGTGAATTACGTTTGGAAGAAAAACGCTTATCTGACGCTCATAGTCTGACGGAATCTAGGGACTATACATTTGAAGAATCTGAAGACGATATCGATACTCAAGGAACTCATGTTGACGCTTCAAAAGAAAAAGTAGAAATTAAATTAGAGACGGACAAGATTAAAACTGGTACGTAGAATTATTTTCATATAGTCATGAAATGGGAAATTCGTTATATTTTATATTGGATGTATATTCACCTTTAGGATATAATAAATAAATTGCATGGTTTCAGGAAAAGATTTAAAACTTGCTAAGTTAACTCATGGAGATTCTTTGGATGATGTCGAAGGATTCCCTGAAGATCATGTTACTGACTACGTCCATAAATTACCACAGATAACTGAAGTAGGGTAAGTATCTTAAATTATGTTTGAAATGTGCGTGTATATTGTTGAAATAATATAATGTTATTATGTTATTTATAAAGGAGATTGCTCAAATTGGCCCAAACGCACAAAAAATATTGACATACACGGTAATTCTTGGCGTAATTTATAATTTAATTTACAATCATTAGATTTCAACGGACACCTTTGTATAATATATTAACTTTAAAAAAGACTTTTAATTTTACCGGTTTGGAAAACATACGGATCATTTTTAAATGGCTATGGGTGTAGTAACATTCAGCCAAAGACTGATTGAAGTTGTTTATATAACATAAAAACAATTCTATTTTGTAAAGATCGATAAAATAAATCTTTTTTTTTTAACACTATGGTATTAATATCCACAAATGTGCTCAGATTATTATAGATGGTAGGCGACATCATAAAGTCTATTGCCATACATTTTTCGCCAAACACCTCCATAAACACATTATAATCTGTATATACTCGTATGTTAGATTTTAAGGTATCTATCTATGGGCCTTCGTTGCCTGACTATAAATTAATAAATAAATAAAATTATAAGGTGTGATACACTAAATATCTAAAATATGTTTATATTAAAAACATAATAATTCTTAGCCGGTACGCTCTTGACAGAGCGGTCGTGATCGCTATGCACTTGTAGTATTATTGGAGGGGGCAGATGTGATGCACTTCACTATGTTTCGCCATTGCTGCCTGCTAGAGGTCATCCTGCTGCATTCGTTTAGTGAACCTCCAACGAAATGACTTGATCTGGTCAGTCCATCGCGTGGGAGACCTTCCGCGCGGTCTAGTACCTTCCACCTTTCCTTGGGTCGTCCAAGGCGTTCTATGGATAGGTTGTTACGCCGAGAAACGTGTCCGAAGAATGTTAAGATGCGAGATTGTACTGTCGAAAATAGACGCTGCCTGATACCGAGTTCTTGAAGTATCGAGACGTTCGTGCGAAACTCGGTCCACGAAACCCCAAGCATTCTTCTCCAGCACCACATTTCCAAAGCGTCCACTTTCTGCCTTTCCACATCTCGCAAAGTCCACGTCTCAGCCGCGTAAAGAAATATGGGGAATATAAGTGTCCTCACAAGCTTGGTCTTTGTGGCTTTAGTAATGTTTCTATTCCTCCATATTTTCCGCATCTTGTCCATCGCTGATCTTGTGATGCCCATACGTCGTTTGATTTCATCGATGCATCCGCCATTGTTTGAAATCAGAGCCCCAAGATAGATATAAGATTGGACCACAGTGCAATTCGCGATTTGTGTCACTTCAGGCGAATTATTTCTGGCACGGTCAACAATCATTACCTTGGTCTTGCTGCGATTAATTTTAAGTCCAAACTCACGGCTCACTCGCTCCATCTTTGACAGTAGCTCATCCAAGTGTTGTGAACTGGTTGCAAATAAGGTGGTGTCATCCGCGTAACGCAAGTTTGCAATCCTGTATCCACCAATTGTTACTCCGTCCGTCCAGTGCTCCAAAGTGATGCGCATTATCAGCTCTGTGTAGGCGTTGAATAAGAGCGGGGATATTATGCATCCCTGGCGTACTCCTGCACTAGGATAGAAATCACCTGATAGGACATCATCTGTGCGCACTGAGGCTGTGCCTTCTCCATATAGGCGTCTTAAAAGGTGAACAAGATGTTTTGGTGTGCCCATATCTAGCAAGGTCTTCCATAATACCGGCCATTTCACCGAATCGAATGCTTTGGAGAAATCAACAAAGCAAATGAATAAGGGCTTATTGAATTCTCTCGACTTCTCGATGATCTGACGTACGATGAGAATTTGTTCCCGAGTGACTTTCCCCTTCACAAAACCGGCTTGTTCCGGAGCGATCTCCTTAGAAAGGTAGGTTTTCAGTCGCTCGTTGAGAATATGCAACATTATTTTGCTAGCGTGTGATATTAGAGCAATGAGGCGGTAATTGTTACATTTCTTTGTCGAACCTTTTTTGTGCAAGGGTGTCAAAACGGTGTGTGTCCATTCAGTAGGCCAAACTCCTGTCTGCCATACCTTGTTGCAAATGAGATGAAACATCTGGTCGCCACGATCTCCTAAGGCTTTAATTGTCTCTATCGGAATTGCATCTCTACCAGTTGCTTTTTTACATTTCAGGTGTTTTATGGCAGCTCTTACTTCGGACAGTAGAATGTCTGGTTCCAAATTCTCCCGTTCTGGGTCTGTACTTGCAAACTGTCGTGACTGCGGGTCTCGGAATAATGACTGACAGTAGTTCTTCCACGTTTCGGAGATTTGTTCGAGCTCTGTTACCACTTCATTTCTGTCGTTCTCAATGGCCCAGGTTCGAGCCGAATATGCAACATTATTTTGCTAGCGTGTGATATTAGAGCAATGAGGCGGTAATTGTTACATTTCTTTGTCGAACCTTTTTTGTGCAAGGGTGTCAAAACGGTGTGTGTCCATTCAGTAGGCCAAACTCCTGTCTGCCATACCTTGTTGCAAATGAGATGAAACATCTGGTCGCCACGATCTCCTAAGGCTTTAATTGTCTCTATCGGAATTGCATCTCTACCAGTTGCTTTTTTACATTTCAGGTGTTTTATGGCAGCTCTTACTTCGGACAGTAGAATGTCTGGTTCCAAATTCTCCCGTTCTGGGTCTGTACTTGCAAACTGTCGTGACTGCGGGTCTCGGAATAATGACTGACAGTAGTTCTTCCACGTTTCGGAGATTTGTTCGAGCTCTGTTACCACTTCATTTCTGTCGTTCTCAATGGCCCAGGTTCGAGCCGGTAGAGATTTGGTAATAAGACGAATTTTGTGGTATAGATCTCGAGACTCGTGCTTCAGAGCGTGTTTTTCAACCTCTTCACAAATGCTATGAAGATGGCGGTTGTGGTCGCTCCTGCAGCAGGCTTGAATGTTAGCAGACATCTTATTCAACTCCCTTATGTCTGTTCCTGCAGCTTTCTTAAGGCGCCTCTCCTCGATTAGAGCAAGAGTACTATCCGTCATCCAATGTTGACGTTTGCGGGTTTCTGATCTTGGATTAGACTCCGCCACTGCACTTTGGATGAGATGTTTAGCTTTATTCCATAGCATGTCTGGTGTAGCTTCATTGTGGTTTGCATCTGTCCATTCCATCCATTCCCGCTCAAAGGCTGCATTGAGCTTCTCGCTATCTGTTACTTCAATCCGTCTTATTTTCTTGGAGGATCGGGCAGCTTTGAGTTTCAACCGTATCTTTGCGATAACGAGTTCATGGTCGGAACCACAATCAGCCCCAGGAAGCGTGTGAGCGTTGAGAATGGAGGTGCGCCAGCGTGATCCAATCAGTATGTAGTCGATCTGGTTTTTGGCCTTACCTCCAGGTGAGGTCCAGGTGAACAGTCTACGTGGATGGTGTTGGAATAGACTGTTTGCCACCACCAAGCTGTTTTCGTCTGCGAACTGCATAAATCTTTCACCTCTTCCATTGCGTACTCCAAGTCCGAAGTTTCCCACACATTTACTATACTGGGCAGAGTTTGCACCAATTTTCGAATTAAAATCACCGATGATTATAAGCAGCTCTCTGCTGGGGATTTTGGCAATCGTTGTTTGTAGTTCTTTGTAAAAACTCTCCAGGACGGTGGGTAAGGCTTCACTGGTGGGAGCATATACCTGTATCAGGTTCAAATTTACAGGTGACGCTTTAAGCTTCATGGATATGATGCGGTCGCTAACTGCCCCATACCCTATCACACTGTTATTTAGACGCTTAGGAATAAGTATTGCTACTCCGTTTTGGCTACTGTCGTCATTGCCGGAAAAGTAGACTGTATTGGTGTCGGTAAGGAAATATGGCTATATAACCTAAATCTCTTAGCTTTCTTTGGTTAACGAGAGTTTAAAAATTCTCTCTAATCTGTGGCTCATTCACAATCATCACACAGTTTCTGTCACAGAGTACCTTATTATAACCGGAAATGCATAGATGACACCTGATTTTATAAGTTACTCTTATGCATTAATTCTAAAAACAGGCAACTATCTGTTAATCTACATGCTCTATATACCTGAATCTAATCCATAATTTCGGTACTTGGCTTGATTTCTCTAGTTTACTATATAACTTATTTGTTTTTTATTATTTTAATATGTTCAGTGTATATTTGTTTTTTATATATGGTTTATAGAAGTTCTCAGGGGTGTCCGTCAATAATATTCGTTTCTACAGTAATTTATATATAATTTCGAATCTAGGAAACAATTTTTCATGATTATTGGTCTTTAGGCCAAACATGTATGGAAGCTGAGCAATCTCCGTTTCGGCAGTTCTATATTTTGATTACATTATGTTTTCCAACTTAGTTTGTATATGCCTAAAATATTTTTTTGTTTGGCAGATCACTTTTAGACAAGGAAATTATAACTGCATTTTTAAATCGTGAAAGAGAAGAGCAACTTAAACGTGAAACCGTATTGGTTGCGTCAAAAGACATAGTGCAAATCTCATCTTCAAAGGTCATTGAACCTAAGAGTATAGCTATGGAAAGTTTTGTAATTCCATCAACAGAAATAGTAACTGAGAAAAAAGATATTGCTATCACAAAAGAGGGTAGTGGTAAATTCGATGTTTCCAAGATACGAACTGATACCCTAGGTAAATTTAATTTAGAAGACGAATCAGAAGAAACAAGGCGTTTTACGCCAAAGGACTTGGACTTGAAAGAAGTTCCCGAAATCACTAAAGAACAAGTTAAACCCGTTATTGATGATATTCTACAAAAAGGTACAATGGCTGCAGCTGCGAGAAGCCCAACTCTGGATAAAGACATTAAAATTGGAACAAAAGATAATGCGGAACCCGAAAAAAGGTCATATGATGCTAAAGTTCCACAAAAGGAGGAAAGGAGACATTCCTGCATCAGCCCTGCAATCTCTTTAGAAAGAATAGCAGAATCAGAAGTTGAAAGTGACGAAGAAGAAATACCTAAATTCACGAAAGTTATCACAGAAATACGTTCTGTTACCGAAACAAGTGCAGAAATGAAAAAATCAGATTCTGCTATGAAACAAATGGCAGACAACATTGAAATAATTATTAAACAAGCATCTGAAGATATAGATGGTTCCTCAGAAGAACAATTAATTGAGCAGTGTCAACCACAAGATATTTCTGGTCATGTATCTGTAGATTCTATTATAGAAGAAGCTGTTACTACTGTAGAAGGATATCTGGAATCCTCTCAAGAAGCAAAAGAAAGAGAAATAGAAGCTAAAAAGGAAATAATTTATGAGGAAACTAAAAAGTTTGTTAAGGACAGGCCTGGTTTGATTAAATCATTGTCAAGAGATAGTGGAGAAATAGTAATAATGCCAAAGAAAAAACACCCACGAACATTTTCAGTACAAAGTTCGCCAGATGAGGTCGAAGAACAAATTTATACTGACTCGGAATCCGGTAACATTTGTTTTTTTATATATAATACAAGGTCTAAGAGCGTGCGCTGCGTTAAACGGTTCACGGAGTGGGCATCCGTTCGGCGTGTTTGTTTTATAGACCTGCCTCACGCGGCGCGGATGGCGGAGCCTACCTCGCGGGCGACGGGCGGCGAAGCCTGCCTCGCGGGCGACGGGGCACGCCTCGCGTGCGACGGTTCACACTCGATTAGCTGTCTTCTTTACAGAAGCGTCTTATGCGTTCTTCTCGTATGCGTTCTTTTTTAACAAGGTATAATTACCAACAAAAATAATCCATTATCGACTAATCACCCACGTAATCGAAATTGAACTGGCGGTACTGCGAGAGGCATCCGCTTCTTGCGGGTACTGGAGCTCTACTCTCTTTCTCCGAAACGAAATTTCGGTAACGAACGAATTTCAAACGAAATTTCGCCAGTGTCTCTACTCTATTTCATTTTCGAACAAGCACATTAACTTCGGAACCATAAACAGTTTTCGTGAACGAATGGAATGAGTCATGTTTGTGAGTTCTTTTTATCTCTACTTTTAAGAAAACGTTTTTTTTACTTGGAAACAATATAGGTAGTTTACGGCAAATTTTTCGATGACATTAAAAGAACCTTCTTTGACAGTGTTAGCCGACTAATTTGTAGAGTCGATACAATCTACTGTAAGTCAACCTCAATTTGTAGTTTAATACTTTGAAGTATCGAAATTACAAAAAATAATAAAAAAATGGTTTATTTGTTAATTTTACATGCTAAAATGTTACTCGAGCTAAGCAGCTATTATTAAAAATACTCTTGCAAGTATTTTAGGCTTAATTAAAACAAAAATCTCAAAATGAAAATGAAAAGGTAAAACTTTTCATTTAAAATTTCGAACAATTATCTGTCAAATTCAACTTTTCCTTCGAAAGTTTTGTGAATTAGAGTAGGCTTGAAGAATTTAATTGTCAAAATATTTCGGACGAACGAATTTTCGAAATGAAAAGGAAACAGAGTAGGGAACGTGCGAAATTTCGATCGAAATTTCGTTTTTCGTAGAAATAGAGTAGGCCTCCTGTTACGGACTGTTTGAACGGGTCCCGCAACGGAGCATGGAGTGCTCAGCGACGGACGTCCGCACTGCGCTCCCGCTTAAGGCAGCACACGCCCTTAGCTGTCATTAAAAAGAGATTTTAAAACGCCTCAAAGTTTAATTTTATGTACTTAGATCCACTTCTGCATTACTTTTGCTAAATCTTAATTTAATTAAAACTAGATTTAGCTCATATATGACCTATTTCGATGTATTTTACTAGCATGTATGTATAAATAATAGAAGTAAAATTTACATTGAAGTTTTGTCATTTTTCTAGGGATAGATCTAGTTTTAGTTGAATCGAAATTTAGCACATTTGCTGCAAGTGGGCCTTAGAGTTTATATTTAACTGTAGGGAACTCATTCAAGTGATAACCCCTACAATGTGTTTAGTTATAACTGGCTTCTGGCGGCAACTTATAGTAAGTTTTTTTATAGACCCACATAGACCTAATATTCTTTCGAGACAAAAAGTATCAATCATAGAAGAAAAGTACATGTGTTCAAAATTTTATTCAGCCGCTTTAGCGTAATTGAGTAAAAAAATTTTACAATTATAATTTTAGAAAGAAAGTAACTAGGACTTATAATATGATAGCATTTTAACAATATCATTATACTACGTTAAAAATTGTTCATGAAGTTTGTGCAATTTTGTTTATATTAAAAAACATATTTTACTACCTTCGTTTCCTGTTTCTAGACATGGACAAAGCAAAAGTATTGGAAATAATTGAACCTAGTTCTGAACTCGATGGTAAAATTACTGCTTCTAGTTTTGATGCAAGAAAGATTAGAACTGACTCATTGGACGATGCTGACGATTTTCCGGAAAAAGAGGTGAACAATTTTTATTTTTATAATTTTTTTCATGATATTAAAAAAAACATTCTTAGCTTTATGATAGCGTAACTAATAATTTTGCTTTTTATATGCTTATTTTTAGACTGAATACTTTGGAGAAGATGAAAAATATATTGATGAGCCAATAGAGACAAAGTTAACAAATGATTTGAAAACAAGTGATATTGTTGCGCCTAGTAGCAGCGGAGCACAAATTGATACTGACGAGGACAAATCATCAGATAAACTTGTAAGGAAAACTCATTTTGTGGATAGAATACTACACACAGACTTAGTGTGTAAATCAACTACTGAATCCTCGGTCACAACAGTAGTATCGACATTAACAAAGTCATCTGACGAAGATCAAAAGTCTATTGTAGAAGAAGGCACATCCACAGAACTATCGAAAATCAGTGGGGCAGAACTCGTAAAAGATCCATCTAAAACTTCCATGGATACGAAAGAAGATTCGAAAATAGAAGAGCCTATTGAAGATCGTGGTACTCCAGATTTATCAAAAAAATCTATAGACTTGACGAAAGATTACTCAAAATCTTCAATTGATAGTAAAGACACTTCTCGAGACTTTGCTACTAATGAACTTTCCAAAGATTCTACAGTAGATTTAACGAAAGATTATTCTAAAGCATCCGTAGAGAGTGTTAAGGAAACTTCAAAATCTATTGATGAGAAGACCTTTTCTGAAGATCATTCTTCTTTAGATGTATCTAAAACTCTTGCTTCAGATGTATCAGATGGAATTACCATTAGCAGAGAATTCATTGAAGAAGAAAGATCTGTTTCTAGAATAGTAAAAGTATCAACTAGTTCTTCGCAAGAAACTTCCGTTATGACTGAAAGTAAATTACTTAGTGAGCAAGAGTGTTTAGATAAAACTAGGACTTTAGAAATGCAATCTGAGAGAGATTTTATGGGAGAAATGGATGAAAGAATAGCTGAACTTAAATCTGAATTTAAAAAAGAAGATATTATTAATCAAGAATCTTTAAAGCGTGAAACTTCTGAATTAGTACAAGAGGTACAGAAAATTGTGGATGATAAAGAAATAGAAAGCGAAGTGCCAGATATGAGTGAACTAAATAGGAGATGTTCTAATTTACTTGAAGACATATCACAAGGAGCTTTAATAAGAATAGATTCAACACATGTTACACATGGTAAGTAAAGTCCTCTGATATTTTTACGTTCGCAGATTTGTATTCAGCATAAACATGTGGTGTCCAAATGAATATTGTCTTGTATTTGCAGATCTTGCATCAAAGTTCTCTAAAACTCCACCTCCATCTCCAGTAGATCTTAATTTGAGAGATAAATCTAAATTGGAGGAAGGTGCTGGTGAAAGGCAAACCGGGCTACAACTTAGAGGTATGTACAATTATAAGGTCATTTATGGATTCTCGTTCAAAGTGTTTTATTTACAGAAGTCTGCCATGGTTGGAAGTAATTAAGTACTTAAAAATAAAAGTAGGAATGCACGTTTGGTTTTTACAAAAAAAGAGCACTCCCACTTGTGCTAAAACAACACTCTCATCTTACACGGCTGACATAATTTGTTCATTTAGTTGGCTAGAAGTAGATGCTAATGGTCCACTTCATTTAGGTTCCGATTCGTCGTTCCTGGATGCTAACCGTCAGTCTCCAAGAGCATCATCAGCTGGTGATAGTCTTATAAGTGAAACTGAAGCCCATCAAAGTGGTTAGTACTTTACTGAAGTAATTTAAGTTTATAGCATAAAGGGAAAACGCTGATTATAAAATTGATCCAAGTTGTTAGTACACTAGTACAGCCTTAATAATATGAACCTTGCATTATGTAACGCAAGCTTATTCAGTTTAGAGTAGTGGCAAAGTAGAGTCATAGCGAAACTTTACTCCTAATTTCCGTAGTCTACCATTGTCGACAGCCTTTTTGCCACACAATTTTAATTTTCTGCATGTGATTGAGTTTACCACTGAATAATAAAGCAGTAAGTAAAATAAAATGTTTTTATAATAAACGAAATCACGTAACCTTTTTATAATTTATACATTAAATTAGGACTTTATGGCAGCACTTATGTTTTACCTCAAATTGTAATGAATGTTAGAAAAATATTATGCGTTTTCGAATTCAAATCAAATTCGTATAATTTGCAATAGTCACACACTCAACGCCAATGTAATTGTTAGCACAGTAAATTTTACTTTCTTTCTTGCGGAGCCCTTACGTTGAAATAGGTAAGTGGACCCACAAGCAAAACCAAAATCATGATTTTTATTATTGTCGCTTATTAATAAAGCCGGTTGATTTCCTTGTCTTTAAGCCGCAATTTTTCATCTATTTGTCAATCACCTTTGAGTAACGTTTCGCTTTGATTCTTCATTGTTTTTATTTTACATTATTGTTATGAAAGCTTTCATCGCTGTGATTATTTCGGTTTCTTTCATCACCATCCACATTAATACTGTCCACGCTATTGGCGCTTGTATATAACTGGAACATCATTGTAACGAAAAAAGAACCTGTTTGAAAAATACATTCAATATTTAAAAGCAAATCAGGTTTAAAAAGTTTTTATCATTCTTCTTACTTATCACACTATTCCTGCATTTTCAAAAAAAATACAAAATATTGAAAAATCTAAGGAGTTTCACAGTTTTTATTTCTTCCAGATGTACTAACGGAAGCGTCTAAGGTACTGACTGAAGCCGCCAGACCGAAATCTCCCACAAAACATGTTGCTGATAATCTGTCATTTATTAATGTTGATCAACCTACACTCACAAGTGGTGCCATTGAACTTGTTGATCGAACTATAGAAAAAAGCATCGATGTCATTGATCAAATCAAAAAAGAACAACTTGCAGTGAAGATGGAAGAAATGCAAAAATCAACCTCCAGCGACACATTCTTTTCTGAATCGAAGATAGAAACTTCAATGTCATCTTCTTCGGTGCATAAAACATTTGAAGGGACCGAAATGAAGTTCAAGTCTATTGACCCACGAGCTGTCATGTCGGATATGGTGGCCAAATTTAGTGCTACTGATGAGTACAGTACAATTTTATCCCACAAAGAAATAGAAACAAGAAAAATTTCCGGGCAGGAATACTTTTCAGAAACCAAGCAAGTATCTTCCTCTGATGATGACTCGCTTATTATTAAAACTGAAACCACTCATGAGTTACGCGGACAAGAACATGAAGTAAAAGAAAAAACTGTAGTTCGCAGAGAAGGTGAACAAACTGAAACATCTCTAAAAAAGTTAGAAAAAGCTCATGAAGCCTCTGCCAAAAGGTCTGATGTCGAAACTAAAACTGTTTTCAAAAGTACAGATGATACAGATATTGTCAATGTGGAGCGTGAATTTTTGGAACAAGGTTTATATACAGGACGTCAGACTAAATCAGAAGAAAAAATGACTGCACTTAAAGATGATACAATCAAGAAAAAACATGAAATTAAAATTTCTGAAAGAGATTTGTCACATGAACAATGGGGTAAGGAATATTTCTCAGAACCTGGTGAACTAGAAGATATAAGAGAAGATGAAGATTCAAAATCAAGAACAGCGTTTGTTGAATCGTCTTTGAAAATTATAGAGAAGGATGAAATAGTATCGAGTGTCGAAGTTTCGGCAAAGGGAAAATTGATCAGTTCAAAGGTAGAACATCATAAGGAGGAATCTGTCATCGAAAGTAAGGAGCATGATGATCTTAGTTCCGATGCGTCACACGCAACAAGTTTTAAGAGTGAAACAGTTGAAAGGCGGGGTTCTTCTGAAACTAGCCCTAGAAGTAAATCAAAATCTTTCAAAAAAGATGATGAGGTATATGAAGTTGATTTCATCAAAGAAATAAAAGTCTCTACGTCCCCTATTAAGAGTACATTTAGCAGATCGGGAAGCCAGGATACACACTCAGAATCAGAAGCAGCACCTGAGTTACCACATGATGATAAAACTGGTGATACACCGAAAAAAGATAAACTTACTAAATCTCCAATCAAACTTCCACTACAGCAAATACAAGACCAAGTTTGGGAAGTTTCAATTCAAAAGGCTGATTCTTTTGAAATGGCTGATGACATTCCAAAGTCATTGAAACTTCAAACTACAACGAGTGAGACGACATCAAGTACCACAAAAAGCTCTGATAGTGACGGCGGTGAAGTAAAAACAGTAATGGATACAAAAACAATGAAAAGTGACATGTCTCCTAGTACACTTGAGATATCTGACGATATTAGTACTGTATCAAAAGATGTTATGATAAAGTCCGGAGAGAGCATTGATACTGAATATATGGTGAAGTCATTAGAATCTCACGAAGGAGAAGCATTACAGAAATCCATGGATTCAACAATGAGCGCTGAAACATTACATGCATCTGAATTCTCCACAGAAGCTGACTCAGCATTTTTAACAGGCACAGGTACTGACAGAAAGGAAGAAATTAAACTAGTGAAAGAAAAAAGCCTTGAGGATATATGCAGTAGCGGTTATGATACTGACCTCTCCTCTGCCGAGTTTCATGCTACGAAACTTGAGTCAGAACGGGTGGATTTTGATTCTTTAATGTCTGCTCAACCACTCGCTGACTTGTCGGTTTTAGAAAAAACTATTGATGAAGTTAAGCAGTCTCTTGAAGCAGCGCAAGTAGAAATAATAAGTGAGAAAAGTGATGGTAGTAGCAAATATAAACAATCACCCTCGGAGTTCCAATTCAAACTTTTGATAAGTCCCGAAAGACCAGAGGTCATAACAGAAGAACCAGTTCACATAGATGATCATACTGATAAAATTATTTCTAGTACCACTGTGGAAGAAAAGCATTTAGATAGTCAAAAGTCTGATAGTGTATCACAAATAATCAGCTCCCAGGAAGAAACGACGATTTCAGATGAAGAAAAAGATACAGTTCATATCAAGGAATCCAGCCCACCAGTAGATGGAGCTGATATATCAATAAGATCCGACAGTGGTCCTCACTCAATTTTAGAAACCGAGAGTGAAATTATTTTTTCTGATAGAGATGGGTCTTCAAAAGGAAGTCCCGAAGTAAAACTAAGGGTCCAAAAGCATATTAAATCGAAATTGGGAGTTACTGAAAGACGTTCTGCTTCAGAAGTTGAAGGGTGGTCAAGTTCTGGTGAAAGTCATTATCATAGTTTTGATAACACAGAAAGTCGGCCCCTATCTTCAGACGTGGAAGTTATGATGACAGCACAAAGTGCCACTGAATTTGAAACAGCACTTACTAGTCATGACGTGTCTTCTCAGTCTCTCAGAACATCAAAAGATTACTATACAGCTGCTAGCTCGCTTGCTTCAAGAGACAGTATGAAAAGCTTAGACTCAGATGGTTCTAGTCATGTTGCCAGCATTGATATTTCAGATGCATCAGAAACCCTCGTTCCTTCAGCAAATGAATTAAAAGAAGAATTAATGGAGAGTAGTACTTATGTTGAACAGTTTTTACGTGAAGGTGATAAAGACCATGCGCATAAGGTTAAAGATGTTAGTGACGAAGAAGCATCTGGTGATGAAGAAGAAGATAAAGAAGATATCGTAGGTGAACCAGTAGGCAAAATGAAGAGGTCTCATGAAATGAGATTTCAACCAAAAGAAATGATTCCCGAACACTTTCCTCTTGAAAGTATGTCTGAAAATGTGGAAGTAGACGAAGACTCTGCCAAAGAACGTGAAGGCTCTGATACTACAATTTCAAGTCAACTAAAAACCGATGAGATCTTGTCTTCGTCAATTTCAAGACTTGACATGCCATCATCACAATCTTTTTCAGAAGGTGATAAAAAAATCATAAGTGAAGAAATCAGTAAAAGTGCCGTTCACGAAATACAAGCAATACCTTTTTCGACAACAAAACTAGAGAGGCCTGAAAGGCAATTTGTTGACATTGAAAGTGAAATTATTCCAGTTGGGTCTGCAGAATATGACGAAATAGTCAAACATGGTACTTTAACTAGTGGAAATCAAAAAACCCCAAAACAAGAAAAACCAATAGTTAAAACTTCAGTTTATTTTGCTGATAAAGCTCCTGACGAAAGATTTGCTGAGCAAGAACAGTGTGAAGTTAACGAAGAATGTGTAAAAAAGATCGTTAAAGAGGTAAGCGTTACACCTTTTCCAATAACAGAAATACCTCCAAGTCAAAGAGAATTTGTTGACATTGAAGCTGAAATCATACCAGAAGGGTCGTTACAATATGAAGAAATTCTTAAATCTAAAAGTGATTCCTCGGTGCCTAAAACGAAAACTGAGAAATCAATCGTGAAAACTCCGGAATCTCAACTAGAGAGCAAACAAAGTTCAACCTCAAGTTTACGAACTCATGAACATTTATCTACGCCACAAACTCCTTTGTCTGCTCCAAGTCAAAGTTCTCTCTCTACTGATAATGGAAGAGAATACGTACTTGATGATATGTACGATATATCTGAAACGCCAGAATTGAGATCTGATTTAGTAACAGAAAATAGCAAATCCGAACTAGTTGTAACGACGGAAGAAAGAGCCATGCATACTTATGAAAAAGAACAAGAATCCCCTACAAGTGATGAATTTGAAATGGTTGATAAGCCCAGTGAAATGGACGATTTTGTTGTTATTGAAGAAGTAGCAAAAGAAGCTCAAGAAACTGACACCGAGGGTAAAAGTGTACAGATAAAAAGCCAAAAGTATATTAAGAAACATGATACAGAAGTAGAAGAATATTTATCAAAAACCTCTAAAAAACAAGAAAGTACTAGTAGCGGTACATCAGGGTCATTATCTGACGAAGAACTACTTCAGTATGAGATAGAACAGAAACGTCTGCAAGCCCAAGAGTTAGCTGAAATTGAAGCAGGAAAACGGTGGATACAAATGCAATTTGAAGGTGATCCAAGATATGATTATGAAAGAATACCACTCGAAGACATTAAAGAAGAAGAAATGACTGATTTCGATGCTAGCAGAATAGGTAGTCTAAGTTCTCAAAAAGAATCCATAGGGAGTTATGGTAGTTTTAGAAATTCATATGGTAGTTTATCTGAATCCGAAATGGCATCTCGTATAAGATTTCGTGTTAAAGGAGAAAATGATGACATATCCATCAGTTCGTTACAAGAATTTGAAAACCTTGAAAAAGCATTAATGGAGCAATATCAACAACATTCGTCATCATCACAGGATTCTTTGAATGGATCCTTACCTAGAAGGTATATTCTTAGTAAAAGTCAAGGCGATGATATATCTATATCAAGTTTAAAGGAATTTGAAGGCCTTGAATCTGCTTGTCTCGAAGCTTTGAAAGCTGAGATTCTTGCGAAACAAAAGGAAGCTCTATTGTTAGCGGATCCCAAAGAGGTTAGCGGAAGTTTCTTAGAAAGGGAGAAACGTTCTTATAGTGGAAGTTCAGAGAGCAGCCCTCCTCTTAAAGGTGGAAGTCCTAGTCAAAAAAGTGGCAGTCCTTCACAAAAGGGTGGCAGTCCTTCTCAAAGAGTTGGAAGTTATGGCAGTCCATCTCAGAAACTACTCACAGATTCTGCGGCTATACGTAAACTTATAGATCAGCAAATAGCATTAGACCAAAAGTTACAAGAACAAATAACACCTAAAATTGTTACAGTAAAAAAATTTGACGATAGAGGGGCATTTTTTGTACCCGAACCAGATCCGGAAAAAGAAGTCGAAACTAAACCATTAGAAGTTACAGAAGAATGCATCAAGTCGTCGTCTTTTATATGCGCAGCTGCGCCAAGTGACGGTTCAGCAGAATCTATCCCCGGAGATTGTGAGGAAATGATGAAGATACTAGACCAAGAAGAACAATCTAAACAATTGCAGGCTGTCACTAAGACTTTCACAGACAGCGGAACGATTGAAGTAGTTCGAACAACTACCGTCATTCAACAAAGATTTGTAGACGGAAAAAAAGTTTCTGAGACGGTGACGAGTACTGATAGTGCCGACAGCGGTGGTGCTGTAGATATCCCATCAAAACTTCAACGTCTCGATGAACATGCCCAAATGTCAGTGGGGTCTGAGATGTCATCGTCGATAGTTTCCCAATCTTCAGAAATGGATAGTATCATGACGGTGTTAGATCGACATACTTCAGATGGGGAAATCGTGACGGTTACAAAACATACCATAATGATGTCCTCTGAGAAACCCGAAGATTTGGAATTTTCTAGAGAAAGCAGTGCAGCACGTGAGCTTTCGCCCTCCTCTGGGAGGTCGATAGCTCACAGCGTTGTATCACTTTCTGGTAAACAATTCACAGATCCAGCTAGCGGTTCGTGGAGTGGCCAAGATGAAGAATTAAGCTCATCTGGAAGTTTTAGCAGGTAAAACCCTGAGTGTTGTAGATGTTTTAAAAACTATATAACGTAATCTTTTATATCTGTAGTAAAAGTCTGTCGACCGAATTGCTTGATAGACAATATATGTAGATGATAAGCTGCAACCTGTAAGAATTATGTAAGAACACAAAATATGGTATCGGAGTATAGTTGAAGTAGACTCTATTTGTGATTAGTGTGGCCTATAGATGTAAAGTATTAAATATTTTTGAATTTAAATATATAAGAAACAAAGAATTTCAATTATTCACTGTCACTTGCTACTGAAATCAGAAATTTCATTTTTTTGTTCTTAGTGTTTAAATAACGTTTGATGGTACATTTAATCTTCTTGCCCAAATAACCCAATCCCAATACCTCCTTAATATAGTTTTACCTTTGGTCATCCTTAATATATTTGTGTATTTATTAGTACATTATTTAAGTATTAATGTGTTTATATGTGTAATATATCAATAAAAAGTTTAAATTGAATTTGTTAGTTGAGGAGTAATACTGGTACATCCTGGTTACCTTTTCAATAATCATTTCTACCGCCGCCGCCTCTTGAAACAGATATCAATATGATAAAAGCTGTGCACAAATACAAGTACCATATATAAGCGTAAACTTCCTTTATGTGTATGAAATATATATAAAAAAATGAAAATAAATATCTTTTCAATATTGATCTTTCAACAGGGGAGCTCGAGCTGATCTTATGTTAGGCAGCACGGATAGTTTAGAAGCAACTAGTTCAAATGCCACACGAGCAACGTTTAACTATGAAGTCGACACACCTATGACAGGAAGCTTAACTTCTGGGGGTAAGTAAAAGGCTTTTGCTTCTTTATTTATCTAATACTTTTTCAATAACTTTTAAATAAATAAATCTCAGTCAATAAGCTAAGCATGTTGAATATATTTCATATTTACAATTATTCATGTAAAGGTGCTCCCTTCCCTCCCTCACCGGGATATTTTTTCTGCAATGTAACGTTACAGATTCGAACATTACAACAATGAGGGAAGAGAACCGAGCATTACAGCACGCAACCTGTAAAGATACAATCTGTTTTATTTTGATACAACTCGTAGCATCAATGTACGTATTTACTTTTTGACAGTATCGTGTCGCGGACAAACGTCTAATTTATGTAGTACAGGCAAAAGATTGTCAGTCAGGGAGGCAGAATTATTATGTCGATCATTCACACGACAAGGTGTTCTTCATATAATTTCCGTTACGATTTATAATTTTCATTAAATTCCTTGCACCGGCAATAAAACTTGAAAAACACGTTAAGCTTTGTAAATTTGTGCATTTGACACTTCCATTAACTGTATGGTTTTGGATTTATGAAGTGATATACTTTTGGGCGTGACGAAAATTAGATTTGCAATGACCGACTTTATAGAATTGCTCAATAAATTGTGAATTTTGTTTTAATAAGACATACTTGTAAATCGTCAACATGCAAAATCATTGTTCAGATGTGTGATGTGATTGAATAGGCACTGGAAAAACTAACCAGTAATGTGAAATGACAAAATGAAATCATCTCTGATCTGTAATATGATCATACAATCAGCTCAGTCCGCGATTATCGATTTATTCACTATGTATGTTGCAACAGAATCAGATAGTAATAAACAGTTTTTATTTATTTATTCACGTTTCAGCGTGACAGAATTGGCTGACGGAAATATGGAACATGAGGTTAATATTCAATTTAAAAAAATGGTTAATCATATTCATTAACGCTTTAAGGATGAATAAGCGTAATAGAATAAAATTAAACAAGTGAATGGAAATTAGAGAAATTGTAAACCATGAGAATGAAAATTACTTATTAATGTTATTTAGTGTTATACTAGACATTGACCGTTTCGGTTACTGTCGCAGCACTCCTGACGCACTCCTAATAGGTAATATGAATAGGTATAATTTATTCGGATAGTGAGATATTCATAATATGTTGCACGTGACAGAAATTGGGTAAAATGAAAGGACAAAATCAAAAATATATAGACAGTAATGTTAAATTATAGCTTATTATAGAACTATTAAAGGTGGAAAGTGTGATTCTGGTTACCTACTGGACAAGTAATGGAAATTAGGATAACTATTTAGAAAAAAATATGTTGGATGATGTTTTACCAATTTAAGTGTATTAGTATAATTACATTTCTAATTAAATAATTGCTAGAACTAATCCCCAAAAGTAATTAACCCCCAAAATATTACAGGCTTTGTACATATTCGTATGTACTCTCAAAAATCAGGTCAGCTGAGAATGACCGATGTAATACTTAAAATCTAATCTAAAATGTAACATTAGAAGCGAATGCTCGTTAGTCAAGGAAGCATTATTGTAACGTAATGCTCAGAATCGAATCTAATATGTTACATGCTCCCGGTGAAGGAGTTCCTTAACTTTTTATCTTTATTAAAGGTGATGAGCATGTCTTTTTAATGTACATAGGGCAATCTTTTCTATTCATTATTATTAGTGACGAAAATTTTGCAATGAAACTGCATCTGACTGTAAAATCTTAAGATTTTTATTATTTTATGTGAAAATAGTGGCAAACGACCATTTTGACACGCGGTGTCACTTCAGCGTTGAATGGTCACCATTGGCTATACCCCTGACTCCATCTCTTACTGAGTCGAGCTATAGTTACCTGACCAGAAAACAAACCGAAAGTATAATATTTACATGGCTGTTTTTACGGTGCAGTTAATTTCCTCAATGCCTTAATTAGAAATTCAGTTATGCCCCATGTCTAAATTTTACTTAATCCGAATTCTATAATTTAATATATTATCTTATGATGATGAAAACTAATAAACTGAATAGAAAAAAAATATTGACCAGTTTCAAGTGCCCTTTATTTTTCTATATAATTATCAGTTTATATTACAATATACTACAGCTATACTTAATTGTAAAGCTCGAATGAAAGCAAAAATAGAGTCATTATTTTTCTGGAAGGAGGATCCTTGAATACAGGTACCCTTATGATAATGGGCTTGGTGTAGCTTACAATCAATATTTCGTAATTTATATGCCGCTCACATGTTATTATATACTATGCTTCACCAAATACTAACTTGTCAAATTTGGTATGTTTTAAAAAACTTCTTTATCAGCTGCTTGATTTATTTATAATAATTTTCAATCGATCAGCATGAAAAGCAGTTAGTCATTTTATTAACACATCTAACCATGCTTGCTCTCATCCCTGCTTTAATCGCCTGTACATTTCTATCCAATGGAAAGTCGTTTTTTTTTACTTAAGGTTTACAGTTAATGAATAATTTAGAACTGCACAGGCAATTTATATAAAATAATAATAAATGTTGCTACCCCACCAAGCTTGATACTAATCAGAAAGATAACAGCGCTACGCCCTCCAGGATCGAACACGATGGTTTCATCACTGGATACACTGGATGCAGTGACAGCTGTCCAATATCCTGATAGCCTTGAACATCAATCCACGAGCGAGCATTTTTCTCATGACTACGAGGTTCAAGAGCCGGACTCTGACACAGAACGTCTGGTGAGGCTCCTTCAATTTATAATGAAATAATAATTCAATGAATTTACGGGAGATTCACAAGATTATAAATCACACAAATTTTCATCACATAGAAATTAAAACGATGTGTATGATACTGGCAAAATGTAGTTAAAAACTAAATCTTAATAATAGGAATGTGAAACAGTTTATTGGTGCAAGGCCAAGACGAATAAGAAGATATAAATTGAACCTTGAAAAAATCTTAGAAAACCTTTAAAGTGTTTTAAAAAAATACCTTGTTTCATTATAAAGTACTAACCATTACTGGTTTTTTAACATTAACAATATCGTAAATTTCAGGAACTCGACGGACGAGCTCCCACAGCTAAGGAACGCACAATAATGTTTGACAGCACTGATACCCTGAGTGCTGTAAGTGGAGATAGTTCAGTAAAAGAAGCCACTGTTGAAGCACCCGCAGCCACCTTTTATATTGGAGATACTCCTATAATGAGAGGTTCGTATATCTATTTCAAAACTCTTCTAGCTATTACTCAAGTTGTTGCTATTTCAAAGAATAACATTTCCTAAAAGAAACTGCTTTCTTTCTAATTAAAATTTAATAGAGTGAAATAACGCTTTACTTTAGAAATTGGATTTTTAACATCATAAATCTCTTAAAGGTGATCGACAAGGCGAAGAAGATGAGCACCAGTCTACTCTATCGGGCAGTTGTCCCGCATCATTGCCTCCGGTTTCACAATCTTCACCACCAGTTCCTGCTCAAAGAAGGTATTTGAAAACATTTTGTTTTTATTAAGACCCATTTAACCATAAGCGTTTAAATTCTGTAGATATATGTTCTTCTTTAGCAATAAAAAAATATATTTTATCTAGTATCTAAAATATAAATTAAGTTATTGACTATTTGCGTTGGTACAATGTTATTGCCTAAACATTAAGGGCAGTCGCTTAAACTTTAAGCGAAACATCTTCATGAAATTCATCACATTCAGTAATTTATGGCTATCATAATTATCTTCTTCATTTATTCAAACAAATAAATGTATAGTAATGCAAATTGATTCTTAAATACGATTTCATGATTTCATTTGACATTGCTTCTTATTTAATATATTTTTTTATTTTGTAAACAGCGCTATACACATACTTTGTACATTGTTTCCCTTTTTATTTTATTTTCAATATTATAGTTACTAAACATTTTAAATTTATTGTCATTGCAGCTGCTATTGTTTAAGTCACTCTCAAGAACAGCTCAACAAATAGGTACACACTTCGTATTGTACTGCTTTTTCTTTATGATTGGCTTCATCATTGATATTTAGTTTTTACCTACAATTTTATGTTTTGCTTTTTATTCAAAGACGAAAAGTGTGAAATTGATTTATTTGAGCATGTTGAGTGACATATTGTAATGTTTATGTTTGAAACGATATATTTTATCAAGCTTTATACCGATGGTAGCTCTAAAATTTATATTACATTCGTTAAAAACAATACATACATTTTTTGTTTTGCATTCTAAGAAAACAGTTCGAAATAGATCATCTACGATATTTGGTATTAGACAGTGTCTGTATATTAATTTATAAAATAAACTGTTACGATGATTTTCAAATAACAATTATCTTTCCAGATCTCTCACAATGATTGCTAAATCCCCACCATCAACATTGGAAGAGACTACGAAGAAGTAAAATCTTATGTTTTTCTTAAGAAATTTAATTTTAGTCTTTAGTATTATATAAAACTCTCTTGCAGCTGGAGCTATCATAGCTTTGCTGGAATTGATGCACTGCTATTATCGATACAAAATGTGACTTTGTATTGCGCGATTGATAAAGTACAATAGAATGATAATTATCTAGTCAAATGTTAACGTAGATGAAATATCAACTTTTATATATAAGTCATCTAAAGTAATAGTTTAAGGGCGGTGGTACTTATTAAACTAGGATTGAAGTCCTAATTTATTGATGTGATGATCTTTACTATTTCAATCAGAATTATTCTGGTGTAAAGTGTGGGAGTACTTGAACTGAATGACCAACATTTGAAATCTTAACGCGAAGTTAGATCTTTAAGATCATCAAAGTTTAATCATGTGTCGGTCGCACATTCCAAGTTTAGTAACGGATAGTATTTTGGTACTCACTTTTGTACTGAGCAGGCGGTTTTTGTACGACGTTGGTCCATATTAATTCGACCTATCCTTTTAGATAGCGCTTAGCTTTTAGTCTTGGAATTACTGCTTATTCAGTATGAAGTTAACTCGGTAGAATAAAAATACATAAACATTTCGTAAGGATACAAGGTAAGTACAGACGCATCTGAGTCAGTCATTTTTTTATATGGAATCACTATGTAATCTAGATCATGAGAAATGATCATAGCATTTTGTTTGAATAAAACAAATTCTGATATTATAATGCCTCTGAATATGATCTCAGTTTCTATTCTTGCACAATTTACTTAAGTAGATAGGTAGAAATACAAAATGTAGGGTAAGCATCTACGGCCATTATAAATGTTAGGAAACAATTTTAATTAACATTGTAAATTTCTCTAACGACTTCAATGAGTAGAGTAGATATTTTGGTGTTTATTTAAGTGGTTGTTTTACAAAGTGGATTGGTAAATGAATTTTTTCTTTTCTATTTTGGTCGTAGGTTATAAACAATAACCAGGTAAAGCTTGCTCACTTCCATACCTTTTGTATTATTTGTAAGTATAATGGAGTCGAAAAGATGGATGAGATATAAAACTTGAAGATACAATGAAGTCATCTAAATTACCAGTTATTTTCCCCCCTGATTTATTGTTTTCATTGTCAGCTCTTTCGTTGTTGTCATGACCAACAATGCTGATGCAGAATTTGATTGTATCGTCAAGTTTTATTTTAGGATTAGACTGAAGATGGTTCATATAAGGCTTAGAAAGCTTAGCTAAATTTTGTTACGTGCAAGGTATTTTCTTCCTTTTGATTCCTGGATATTGGTCATCCCTTAAACGAGGGTCTGCTTGTAATTATATTTATATATACATAGTATAATTCGAATAGGTCGGTGTGCTTTAAGATTTGATGTTAAGAATTTACTGCTAGCGTAATGTTGCTATATTATCGTATGTATTAAGTTTTTTAAAACCATTAAGTTGCCCTGTTCAATTGTTTCACGTTGTATTTGTAATATTGCTGAATATTCTATGGATTAAACTAAAATATTATTGAAAATTATTAATAAAATGCTATGTCTCATATTTATTTTGTTGTTTCATTATTTGCTTACGACAATGGAAGTAATAAATACAGAAAATAAAAATACAAATCTTCGAGAATAAATCATTTATCAACAAAACTTACAATTAAATTATGTTCAATTAGAATAACAATTTAATATTGTAAATATTTAAATGATCCTCAAAACAATAGTAAATGGTCATCTAAATAATACAATTTGTAACCTAAAAGTTAGGTTAAAAAATTTATAATTTCGAAAATCAATTACTATTTGCTTTTAAAATCATTTAAATATGAGCCTTTTAATATATCCACGTCTCACTAAAATTTACAAAAGTAAAAAAAAATGCCTCTATTTTGCCTCTCTCTCTCTCTCTTGAAATATGTCTAGAGAACTGGTAAAAAAAATACAATAAAGTACTGATGTCTTACACAAAATGTCATGAGTTGGCACTGAAAAATGTAATGAAATTTTAAATTTTTAGAACGAAAATGCTTCAAACGAGAAATCCAAGCGTATAACTTACAAAAATATACATTCTTTCTTGATTTCTCATTCAAATTATTTTCATTCGTCACGCTTACGATGTCTTAAAACTAGTTATGCTTAAATTTACTATGGCATTTTAATATAAAATTTTCAATCATGCTGTTGTGTACAAATTATTTTATTAACATTGCATAAATTATCAACAATAAGAATAAATAGTCAATAAATAAAGTCTTCCTTTGGTGGTTAAAGTAAAAAATTTCAAAGTTTCACAGATGAAAAAATTACAAGTATTTAAGTACAATCTTACACTATATTTATGACTTGTTCGTAGTTTACAGGGAATCAAATTCAGATACGTCACTCGTCTGTAAATAAGGAAAAAAAACAATTATTTTTTTATATTTCAGAAAATATTTATGGAGTCCCTTAAATTGTTTGTCGTTATAATTGTTGTATAAATGATGATGAATGATTATATTCGATAAATTGGTAAAACACTATTTTATCTAAATATATTTATGAAACTGAGTATAAGTCAAAGATTAAAGGACACCCGGCATTTTGTGCCAAAGTTGTATACTTTTTTATTTTTTTTATCTGTGTTTCATAATTGGGTAACGTAGTCTGGCAATATTTGTCATCAGCAGCTAGCTGTCAATGTCAAATACGTAGGTTTATCATCAAAAGGGTTTCTATATCAAATAATATTAATCATTAAATAACTTCTTTCCACGATTCACTAAAAATAAGGCAAAAATAGTTTTATGTAGCAAATAATTTTGGCTTTATTTTGAGATCAAATTCAACTGTATACAAGTCTAGCATTTTTTCTATGAAAAGTGCCGGGTCTCCTTTGTTCAATATTTGACTTTTTTTAATAAATGTATTTTTAATTTCATGGAATTGCAAAGAAATAATTAAAATGTTACAACATTTAAATAGCATACGAACATAAGTACACATTTTCGATTTACCATTTAAAATAAATATGATTTATATGATGTAGAAAAATAAAAATATAGCTATAATAATAATATAGCTTTCTACTGGATATTTCTTTAAAGGATTTGATGAAGCGTTTGACAAAGTGAAATTGGTGTTGAAAGAGGTGTCGGGATACCTACAAGGTCTGGCTTATAGAGGTGCACGTGCGGCAGTAGGAAAGTGGAGCCGAGGTCTCGTTCAGCCATCGTGTTGGCCTCCTGCATGCAAGACTCAGTTATATACAAACGTCAGGGGTTCCGCAAGGAAGAATTTTGGGTTCGCCTTTATATAAAAATCCTGGAAACTTATTTATTTTAAGACTCATGTTGAGAAGGATTGAAAGTTATGCTATGACAAAACGAAAATCATCAAACAAAACAAAGGAACAAAGATGAATCTATCAAGCTGCATGTAAAGAAAGTGAGTGCTTGCGTTTACACATTAAAGGGAATAAATAATAAGAAAAAAGAAAATTGTGCAAAAAAAATAGGTGTCGTAAAAAAACCTGATGGGTGAGACGAGTAGATGATGCTGCTCTGCCAGTGCTGGCTGGCAAAGTGCCTCCTACTGAACGAGCTTCTGATAAAGTCCTGCAACATAAATAAATTAACAAGGAAATAGTAAGAACTTCTAAATTCTATACACAAGCACGCCAAATTGTAAACAAAGCATCAGTAAGTATTATAATATTACGTACTCCATTATCATTTTGTACTTACAACTCTCCAATTCTTCTTTCTGCGTCAGTCCATTCTGACAATTCTTCTTGGCTGTTAATGAAAATGTTGACATTAATAAATGTATATTCTACTTGGCAAAATAGGAATGATACACTTACTTTGAATTCTTAATAGAGATAAACGTGACAAAAGAATACAAGAACATTTTAAAAATGCTAAAGAAAAGGTAGAGCAAAATTACACAATAATTACATAATAATAAAAAAAAAGTCAAATGGGTTTCATTTACGTTATTACCAGTGGAGACCAATCTAGTAAGTATATTAGACACTTGCATCAGGTAGCCTCGTTCTTCCTCAATAATACCATACTTAATCTAGACTGCAGCATTTGTAAACCGTGTATATTTTAACAAATTAACTACAAAGAAAAGAGAAATAATGTTTCCTGTTTATTATGTGTGTTTAGGTTTAAGCGCGCGTGCGCGTATGTGAAAACAACGTAAGCTTACGTTAAGAGATATTTCTTCTTGCTGATTCTGTTTTTACCTGTAGGCTTTCCTAAGCGAGTCAAATCTTGAAAGGTCTGTCTCCAAGTCTCCCTTGCGCACAGAAGACATGTCATCTCTATCGTCCTTTCCGCCTTCATCAGGCCTGATGGTTGTTGATACTTTAAAACCAGCTGACACTAGAGCTCCTAAAATAGTAAAACATATATTACCTTTAAGAATAACATAGGCAGATAAAGCAGCTAACTTTCTCCCATTATTTAAAAAATTAGGAACTTCTAGATCTATAACTGTAGTAACAGATAGTAGATCCGATGTAATGGCACCGCTCCTGCCTTCTGCTCCAAACATCCAGGGTCCAAATTCCTGTAGGAGCATTTATGTATTTGATGAGCCCAATTAAATAGCGAGTCTTATGAGCTTTGACTATTTTGGTATTAAATAAATACTGTGAGTAGGGACACGAAAAAAGTATCGATACTTTGTGGTATCGAGTACTTTTCCTTTCGATACCGATACTTTTGTACTCGATACTTTGTATTCGATACTTTTACTTATCGAGTACTTTTTGGCAAGTAAGTATCGATACTTTTAAAATTTGGATAAGCGCCTCATATTGTTATGATATATTCAAATTCTTTCCAATCTGTGACTGTGTTTATTTTGCGCTTTGTTTTGTTTCATAGTTATTTATTTAGCGACCATATTGTTAGGAATTGTGATTGATGATTCGCCGTTTATTGTGCTTTTCGCTTGACTGCATTTGATGTTTAATAATTTTGTGTTTAATCCGTGCGGTGACGGAGAAAGAATACAACTCACCGCCCCTTTTCTTCCCGTGGGTGTCGTAAGAAGCGACTAAGGGATGTCGGAGCTTCCATCCGCTCTTCTGGTGGTGGGGTGCCTAACACCCGCCTGGTTTGTTACCACCGTGCGCATGGTGAAAAACCCGTGAAGTGCTTCTCGCGCGTTTCGGGGTCAGCCAGCGTACAACCAGAGCTCGAGTGGAAGTTGTCGCGAAGGATTCGGTCCAGGGGACCGGGGCGTGGGGTCCCGGCGGCCACTCCCGGGGGGGTGCGGGGGCCCTTCCGTCCGGCGGGTCGGCGCATCTCCACTGCAGGCAGTCAATCCGCAAGACAAACCCCCCTTATTTGCCCGGACTCTTCGCGACGGCGTCCGCTCGTTTTCGCGTCTCTTTTTTTTTCACTTCCACCATGGCAGCCTCAATAACAAAGTTTGGACGTACAGCGGTGCACACCCCCACGCCTTCAACGCTGTTTGAGGTCGAGTTCTGCAACATACGCGGACTCCACTCTAACCTCAACGCTGTCCACCACCATCTCGAGACAGCACGGCCAGCATTATTGTTCCTGACGGAGACACAAATACTTCCGCCTGCTGACACAGGCTACCTTAATTATCCCGGCTACGTGCTTGAAGAGTCCTTCAAAGCGATAGCCGGTGTATGCCTGTATGTTCGGGCGGATGTTTGTTGTCGCCGTCTCCACTGCTTGGAAGATCCCTCCTTCTCCATGCTGGGGGTACACGTCGACTCTGGCCCCCGGGCCAGAGTCTACGTGTGCCTCTACAGATCCCACACCGGCGATGATTTCCCAATGCAGAATTGGTGTTTTTGGGGGACTTTAATGCTCACCACAATTTGTGGTTAAGTTCTTCCAAAACTGACCATGCAGGGATCTCTGCTCACACATTCGCTCTCACGCATGACTTGAAGCAACTGGTTGATCAGCCCACCAGGATCCCAGATATTCCAAGTCAAGCGCCTTCTTTACTGGACCTTCTGCTCACGACCCATCCACAGGGCTATCAGGTTGTGGTAAGAGCCCCCCTGGGCTCGTCCGACCACTGCCTGATATCTGCCAAAGCACCACAGGCCAAGCCTCCGCGTCCAGCAGTGGTCAAGCGCCGTATCTGGCATTATGGGTCGGCAGATTGGGACGGTATGCGTGATTACTTTGCGTCCGTCCCTTGGAAGCAGCGCTGCTTCAGTGACAGGGACCTATCGGGCAGTGCCGTTGCCATTACTGAGGAGATCATAATGGGTATGGAATACTATATTCCTCATTCTGATCTCATCAGTAAGGGCACACGTAACCTCTGGTTCAATCACGACTGTGCTGAAGCTGCTTCGCGTAAGCAAGCGGCATATCGTGCTTGGATCAGAGGCCGCGCTCTCAAGGATCCCGGGGTCGATTCACTCAAAGCAGCCTACAATTCTGCTTCCAAGGCCTGTAAGAAGGCTTACATCAGAGCGGATGCCCAGCGTGTTGCACGTGTTGGCCAGGAACTTATAACGCATCCTGCGGGCTCCCGTAGCTACTGGCGTTTGGCCAAGGCCGTGCAAAAAAACTTCTGCCAGCCCTCGCTGCCACCTCTGAGATGCCCAGACGGAACACTAGCTCATAAGCCGCAGGAGAAAGCCGATTTACTGGCAAAACTCTTTGCGGCTAACTCCCGAATCGATGATTGCAATGCACTGCCACCATCATTACCTCACTGTGGCACAACGATGCCTGATATTAAAATCAGGCAGCGTGAGGTTCGTGCCGAATTGCAATCACTCGACGTCCGGAAAGCTAGTGGACCTGATGGCATCCCAGCAGTAGTACTTAAAAAATGTGCAGTGAGTCGTTGGCTATCAGCCTTGACATTGCCAAGGCGTTCGACAGGGTCTGGCACAAAAGCCTTCTCTCCAAGCTTCCGGCATACGGTCTGCCAGCCCAGTTCTGTTCTTGGGTAGCTGACTTCCTGCATGAGCGTAGAATTCGTGTCCTTACGGATGGTAGCAGTTCGCGGTTCATGTCAGTGAATGCCGGCGTTCCCCAGGGCTCCGTCCTATCCCCCACTCTCTTTCTGCTGCATATCAATGACTTGATTCCTCTTGGGAATATTCATTGCTATGCAGACGATAGTACAGTGCATGCGGGGTATCTCGGACAAGCAGCGGCTGGGCGGGCAGTAACCAGGGAGAAACGGGAAAATCTTGTCATTGAGCTCAATCAGGCTTTGGACCACATTCCTGAATGGGGTACCAGGAACTTGGTTGGGTTCAATGCCAAGAAAACTCAGGCTTGCGCTTTCACGGCAAAAACATCGCCATTCCTTCCCCTTCCATCTCTTCAGGGCACAACACTACCGCTGCAGAGCAACATTTCCATGCTCGGTATGGAAGTTCGCTCAGACCTGAATCCAAAGGACTACATCGAAACCGTGATCAAAACAGCTTCACGCAAACTCGGAGTCCTGAACAAGGTGCGGCGTTTTTTCGCGCCCGATCAACTGTGCTTGTTGTACAAAACGCAAGTGCGGTCCTGCGTGGAATATTGCTCGCACCTCTGGGATGGCTCCGCCAAGTACTTGCTCGATGCTTTGGATAGGTTACAGCGGCGCGCGATCCGCATCATAGGCGATGAGGAAGTGACTAAACACCTTGAGCCTCTTCAATTACGCCGTGACGTGGCGTCACTAAGCGCGTTCTATCGTTTGTACCACGGCGAGTGTTCTGAGGAGTTATTCTCTCTTATCCCACCTTCCCCTTTCCTTCAGAGGACCACGCGCGCTGGCCTACGTTGTCGTCGTCTTACTGTGGCCACAATTCCAACGCGTACAAAGAAATTTGGTGACTCATTTCTTTGTCGCACTATCCGTAAATGGAATGCTCTGCCCGCTCACGTGTTCCCTCCCTCTTACAACCTGGGATCCTTTAAAAGAGGCGTGAAGAAGCAACATGCAGGCCGGCAGGGTGAGGATGGCTGGCGTGGCAGGTAGAACTGCTGTATCAGCTATCTTCGCGTCTGGACTTCACCTTCACTTAACATCAGGTGGGGTGGAGTCATTTGTCGGACCTAACTATAAAAAAAAAAAAAATGTATTCAAGTGTAACACTATTATTCTGTCTGTGCTGTGTATACCTATTTGAAACCACGGACCTGAAAAAAAAACGGACGTAACCTCTTCTATAATTATAATATTGAGTGAAGCATGCCAATGGCCGCCGTTAACTGCGTGTCAGATTCAAGTAACATTTTAATTATTAATGTGATATTAATGAACACTTTTTAAGTGTCAGAAATCACAGCTATTTTCTTTTCATTATATAATATAGCAATTTGTGAATTTATATGTCCTTTTACTGTTATTATACGTACTATAATAAAATTGGATTGTTTTTCTTTCAATTTAAAAATTGACCGGGGTGGGGGGGGGGGGGGGGGGTTTGCTCATCGGGCCACAGAGGATCCGATAAGGCCCTATGAAATGTACTCGATACTTTGAAGTATCGATACTTTTGTTTCGATACTTTTACGAGTACGATACTTTTTTACCGATACTACTCATGAGTACAGTATCGATACTTTCTATTCGATATCGTGTCCCTAACTGTGAGTTGTCTTGAATTGATTTTTCAGATAGCTTAACAGCACAAGCCAATTATAGGCCGTAGTTAAGCGCCTATGTTTGGATGAAAATATAGTATCGATTAGACAATGAACATACCTTGTTTATTATGTCTGTCCTTGTTCGCGCTATAAGAGGACTCCATGCTATGTTTTCTCCTCATCTGAAAAGTATTGATGTGGACGTATCAATATTCAATCGAATTCAATATTTCAGTGATAAACGCTGTTCCGATTTAGAAATTGATTTTCAATTGTTAAGTTATTGCGGTATTTCATAGTGTAAGAGCACCCAATTTTACTTTTTAGGCATAAAAATACTTTTTAAACACATTTGCTCAAAAATGCATTAACGGAGATTGTATACATTGTTCGGAAGTTAAAAATAAAAAAAAATCGAAAAAAAAAAAGTTCGGTAAAATATTCCTCAATGTAAATGTTATCCTTCACGGTTTTTTTTTTAATTTCGATCGAACCTCCTTGGAAGCGCTTTTAATTGTGTCTCACTTTGTTTCACTTTAATACTAAAAAGAAAAAGAGACGAAAGAGGCAGTTCTAATTATCACCACCCACAGGTGGCGCCATTTGGAAATACGCTCCATTTTCTTATTAGAAAAAGTTGCTTCATTACTTAAATTATGTTGGTACACTGTTTCCTCAAATGTGTTGAAAAACGTTGCATGACATTCGTGCAGATTTGGTCGCTTGTTATTTGACCAAGTTTCCGCACTAATATCAGAAATAAATAAATAAATATTTCCAACACTCACACCAATTAGCCTAGCCCCAAAGTAAGCACTGTAAGGCTTGTGTTATAGGATACTAGGGTAACGGATATAATACATATACTGTACATATATAAATATATTTGTAAAGAAATACATATGAAACATCCATGACTGAAGTACAAATGCTCGTATTCATCACACAAACATCTGCCCCCACCGGGATTCGAACCCGGGACCTCTCGAGTCGGCGACACCATGAAACGGGCGTATAAACCACTCGGTCAGGAAGGTCGTCAAATAAATAATTATTACATACCTCGTCATTGTTAATTACCGCACCCGATTCCAAGTAGCTGATCAGCTTAGCTTCACTGCTCAACTCCAAACTCAATTTCTTGGATATATTCTCCCGACTGTAAAGAAAATAATTATAAAAATAATAGCCGCCCAACTTTGGTTAAAGAAAACTTCTTACCTATTGAAAAATCCTTGCAAGAAAACATTAACAGTGACATAGATGAAGTTATTGTAGCGTTAAACTTGGCATTGCAACAAAATGTACAAAAAACTATGTATACGCAAAGCTCGACATAGATGGCGCTGCAAACGCTTGACCCAAACCTCAGCCGAATATTGCAGCTGTAAAATTTTGAACGTGTTTTTTATTGTGAAATAAATTAAATAAGTGGTGAAAATGTATTTAACATGGTCTATAATATAGCTGAAAACAGCATCTATGAAAGGCAAAAAAGCTGATCTAGTAGAAAGGTACTCTTTCTATTATTATGCTAGAATGCTCATTCTCGGCACATAGATGCATTTTCCATGATTATTTTAATAGTTCATGGATCTCAGTAACTTTTAGCGGGCTCATTAGTCAATCTATCTTAGTTTTACATCGGTCAGACATCTCATAGAGTTAGGTTACCTCGGGCTAAAATAGGAAGTATAACATTGGGTTTTTTTACAGTCTTGAGGCATAAGACCGCAATTTTAATTTTGGTGCAGTTTTTTTCTGATCAAACTGAAGACATCCAGATGCAATTACCTGCCCCAGATACATACCATGATGTAAACAGCAGCTCAGTTTTACCCCCCTTTCAAGGAAACGTATAAAATTATATTTTAGTTGGTAAGCGTGCAGTTTTCTCACAACAACCAAGAACTGCACAAAGCGGCATTTGTAATTTGTTTAATAAAAAGCTTAAAAATAAATATAAGCTAATAGGTATGTATTTGATAGAAGTTTTGGGTCAAGCGATTACAGCGCCCTAGTGACCAAATTTTGCAGATTTCTTGTCCACATCTATCTGTATGTAAATGAATATTGGAAGGAGTTTTAACTATTTTTACGGAAAAGATATTCATAATTTTACTAAAAACCCACGATAAAGATAATAGTTTTCTTGTCTTTTGTCACGTGACCCACAACGCTTGGGATTGGTGGAGCCTAAAATGACGTCACACGCAAGTAAACTTCCGCATAAAGTGACATTAGATTGTATGGTTTGACGTTTTAATGACAGTCGTGTGACGTCACACACCGGTGAGACGCCGTATTGTCCAGAGATACGTTCTTCGCGGCAACTTGAAAATAGAGTTTTTGATTTAGTTATATTTATATTAGTTATATTAGTAATACACAACATAATGATGAATATGCACTTTTTATGGACTCTATAAACATTAGTAAATAACGTGACATTGTTTTCTAAAACTTGTCAAATACCCTATTATTTAAAGAAAATATAACTAGAAAAAATTCCACGCGGACCAGGCAGCAGACGGGACTCGAACCCGCACCCTTCGCAATCCGGGCGAATGCACTGACAGTCCCGTCTGCTGCCTGGTCCGCGTGAAATTTTTTCTAGTTATATTTTCTTTAGATTTAAACATCAAGCAGTTACATGCTTTAATATAATAAAAAAATACCCTATTATTATTATTATTTTGGTTTATATTTTTCTTAGCTTGAGGCTGGTTTTAAACAATCTCTACGGGCTGTGCCAAGTATCAGATTGAATCTATAGTTTATTCCTCACTTAAAAACTTTCTAACTATTCTACAACTATTTATGATCGCTGCTTTTTGCATTGTCATGTATGTTTTTTTTGAGATCTAACGTTTTAAGACTAATGTGTAGTTGATTTGGTATAATTCCTGTGCTCAAAAGTGGAACGATGTATACTTTCTGGAGTTTCCATATCCTAAGAATTTCTTGTTTGAGTTCAGTGTATTTATGTATTATTATTATACCTTTTATTTCATTTAAAATACATACAAAATTATATTTCTAAATATTAAATTTTTACAATGTGTAACATTAAAAAAATAACATTTAAAATTGCAGTTCCCCATCGGCAGCAAGATCAGGGTCCATGCTGCCGGTGGATAAGGATCCAGAGACAGGAACTTCCTCACTATACGGGCCGTGTCCAGAAGTATTGCTTTCTGCATCTGACTCTTGACACAACCACCTAACGCGAGCCTCTTAAGGTGTTTATCGAGGCTCTTGGCTATCAAATATGACTATCGGCACAACAATTGCTGAATCGATTTATTATTATTATTATCACCTGTCTCCGTGCAACGGGTGGAGGCGCGCGCGCGGGATGAGCACGGCGGGCGGGGGCGGCGGCGGATCGTGCGCTGGCGGCTCGGAGATCACACACTTCTTGCCGGGAGACGAGCGCTACGACAATAAGGATGATTATTGCTTGTGCGAAATAGGGACGGTAGGAGGAGTCTCTTTAGTAATGGGGTGATCAAGTGCAAGGGAATTTCGTCTTAATTAGTATACTGGCGACTAGTGGGCATGGCACGGAGATTACGCAACTCTTGCAGGGAGACGAGCGCCGCGACAATACGGATGATTATTGCTTATACGAAATAGGGACGGTAGGAAGAGTCTCTTTAGTAATGGGGTGACCAAGTGCAAGCGGATTTCATCTTAATTGGTATCACCATCATCATCATCACCAGACTATTAATGTTCCCACTGCTGGAGCACAGGCCTTCCCTATGGATGGAATAGGGGACTGGGCCATGACCCACCACGCGGGCCCAGTGCGGATTGGCGGGTGGTTACGACTGCAAATGCAGCCGGGACCAACGGCTCAACGTGCCTTCCGAAGCACGGAGGAACTCGAGATAGAAGATTTTTGGTCACCCGTCCAATGACCGACCACTGCGAAAGTTGCTTAACTTCAACGATCGCAGCCGAACGGGCTAACCACCAGCGCCATCGAGCTCCTCCTCCTTAATTGGTAAACTGGCGTCTAGTGGGCGTGGCTCGGAGATCACGCACATCTTGCCGGGAGACGAACGCTACGACAATACGGATGATTATTGCTTGTACGAAATAAGGATGGTAGGAGGAGTCTCTTTAGTAATGGGATGATCCAGTGCAAGCTAATTTCGTCTTAATTGGTATACTGGCGACTAGTGGGCGCGGCTCGGAGATCACGCACGGGAGACGAACGCTACGACAATACGGATGAGAAATTAACAACAGGTAGGGTGGTGGATCTATAAAAAAAAACTAGGTCTGTACTGCTGCCAGTCTTCTGCTAGCTCCTTTAGTCGCCTTTAACGACACCCATGGGACAGGAGGGATGGAGCTATTCTAGGCCGGCTCATACACGGCTATATGTGATATTCTTATTACACGAACAATGACTTTCCTCAATACTTTCACTTTATACTATTTTAATAGTTACAGGCACTAAATTACCTTAGACGGCATATAAGGTAGTGATGCATTTTGGATACTAGACGCATCTCCAGCCTCTCTCTCCGTGATGAGAGCCCTCCGATCCGCTCTTTGCTTCGAAGGTATAGCAGCCTGTGAAATATAAACACTTATTGAGGAAATGAGAATTGAAGGGCTCGATGAAGTGGTCAGCGCGTTCGCTTCCGATCGTTGAAAATGGTGTTACAGCGGCAAAACATTCTCCAGCTTATGACATGCCATGACGCTGGTTTTCAGCCAGAGGCCAAGGTTGCTTCAGTCTAGCGTGATCTGATCTTAATACTTAACGAAAGTTGACTTAGAGTAAGTAATGGTTAGCGTATCAATAAATTATAAAATTTTAAAACAATAATTACCTATTGGATACGATTACAGAATACATTACAAAATTATGTCATGTTACAAAGTTACTTTAAGTGAAGTTTAAATTGTGATATCTACTACAGTCTCTTAATAATAATTGAAGGATTTGAAGGTTTTCCTACCTACCCCATCATGCCATCATTGTGGCGCTGTCGAGGACACGGCGCGGCACACCCTTGAGGAGTGCTCGTCGTGGTCTCGGCAGCGCCATGATATGGTCATGGCAGTGGGAAGGGATCTCTCGTTGCCCAGCATCGTTAAAGCGATGCTGGACAGCGACAGATCCTGGAACACGGTCGTCTCCTTCTGTGAGGAAGTCATCCTACAGAAGGAGACAGCGGAGAGGGCCCGCGAGGGGGACGCCCGGGCCGGCCCTCTCCATCGCCGACGACCGGGGAGAAGGCGGCGGCAGTACGACCGCCTCTTTCCACCCTAGTGGGACTGCGGGCGGCGGACAGGGTAGTCCGTCGCTCGCATTGTACAGTCTCACCCGTCGAGGGGGGATGCCTAGGTGCTCCCGGGCATCCCCCGGACCATCAGGAGGAGGAGGAACCTCTGCCGGGGTAACGTGGAGCGTCACCCGGATCCCACAAAACCCGTTCCGGCAGACGAGGTAGTACTGTTGGGTTTTTAGTGGGTAGCCCCCCCCCCCCCCTGATCCCGAGCAGCCGCCGAGCCAGCTTGGCTGGGCGGGTGGGCGCTATCAGGGGGGAGGAAGAGTCCCACATAACCCATAACCCCGCCACCTACCCAGGGCGGGGTATGCATAACGCATTTTCCCAACATAATAAAAAAAGGTTTTCCTACCTGGTGTAGAGCAGGCATGCTCTGTATGCAAGTCACAATAGAGCGCGGCTGACGACGCGGCCTCTTACAAGAGAGGACGGCACACGCTGCTAGAACCACTGACAGCAAAGCACCGGCCACCACTAGGGAGATCAGCACCACTGGAAACAAATATCAGAAGAGTCAACACCACTGCGAATTAAATAATTATATTAAATTTAAGTGATGATAAATATATGTATGATAAATGAGGAGCTCGATGGCGCGGGTGGTTAGCGCGTTTGGCTGCGATCGTTGAAGTTGAGCAACTTAATTTTTTTACCACGTACGACAAAACTGTGGAATATGTTGTCGCCAGCAGTGTTTCCGGACCAATACGACCCAAAAACCTTCAAAAAAAATAGCGTACTCCTTCCTTAAAGGCCGGCATCGCATTTGTGATACTCCTGGTGTTGCAAGTGTCCATGGGCGACGGTGATCACTTACCATCATCATCATAACATAAAAAAAAACTTTCGCAGTTCTCGGTCATTGGATAGGTGAAGGTCCCGGCTGTATCTGCAGTCGTTAGCACCAGCCAATCCACACTGGGCCCGCGTGGTGGGTCATGGCCCAAATCTCCCTATTCCATCCATAGGGAAGGCCTGTGCCCCAGCAGTGGGTGCTAACGACTGCAGATGCAGCCGGGACCAACGGCTTAACGTGCCTTCCGAAGCACGGAGGAACTCGAGATAGATGTTTTTGGTCACCCATCCAATGACCGACCACTGCGGAAGTTGCTTAACTTCAACGATCGCAACCGAACACGCTAACCACCTGCGCCATCGAGCTTCTCTATAAGAAGCTATTTAAATATGCCCGTGTGTAACCGGTCCCCATGACTTACACACAAAAGTCGTCTATAAGGACTATGTGCGGAAACCTTAACCCCTAATATAGAACATACCCAGGTGTATATCTTTTGACCCCCAGGTTATTTTTTTTTGGTGCCATAATAAAAAAGGCTAGTTTTTCATAGATCCATCGATTCATACTAATTACATTGTTGGCGGAGCTGGGTGCGTTTTGCCCATTGTCCTTTATATTCTACAATACAACAAATCAAAGGGTTTCTTGTGCATATTTTATTTTATACTATTACATAGATAATTTCCAAATGGCATAGCAGAATGGAAATGCATCATAAATGCTCTAAAATAAAATTTAAATAAATAAATAGGGTGCAGTTAACTGAAAGAAAAGGTACGAAGTATGAATGAAGCAATCAATAAAGTCTGATAAAATACCTTTGAGATTGATTTGACACGAGCTGCCGGCGTACCACTGGAAACATTCGCATAGCACCCGCCTATCGTCGCGTGTGTAGCAAGCTCCGTGGTAATTGCACCTTTCGCACCCAACCGGTTCAGCTGAAATCATCAATTTTAAAATCTGAAAGAAAGTCGACTCATAATGTATCAAGACATTCCTAAAGCCGTTAGAGTGCTTCATAGTAATCGCCTAGCTTTTTCAGGTGTAGCATAGGGCTTGTCTAGCATCCTTTTTAATTATGCCATCGTAATAAAGAAGAAGTCAGGTAACGTTTATTATGCTGTTCCTGCTAAATTAAATAAGGATGTGAACTCATTGAAGTTTCAAAAGGCACATCATGCTGTAAGAAATTATAACTGCCCCATTTTAGTTAACTATCGATGGTACTGCAAATAATGCTATTATTTATTTAATTCATATAAATTAGACTGTAGACACTTCTAGTACCAAAATCAAGATTCGGTCACTCGAGACTTTTATAAAAGCAAACTGAGAGAACAGCTTTTGTCTTCTCTGTTTTCTTCATTCATGACGTTTTTTAGTATCGGTTTTTTTTTATTGAAAGTATGGATAATAAGTTTATTTTTTCATCTATTTTGCATTCATTTCCATGCATATGCATGAAAAACCCATTTTTCAGCTAACATTGTTCAATGTTAACAATGCTAACGTATAATCGTTTATTATTAATTAAATGATAAATTCACCTGAACATATTCTCCCAGGGTAGAGAGTGTTGACGCTGAGATCGGCGAAGCCCTCCAAACAGCTACAAGTGTAAGTCCCTCTCAGGTTGAAGCACTGAGCATGCTCTGAGCAGTCATGGAATTGACCGCTCTTGCACTCATCAAAGTCTGTAAATATTAGAAGACAAATATTAGCGCACAAACGCAACAGAAAATGCTCAGAGACCGACGATCTAACTAAGTCACAGGATGAGGACAGTTAAGAACCGATTAGCGCGGAGATCTTTGAGGGAGGCCTATGCTCAGTATGCGTCGTGTGGTTGAATAATGATGATGATGCTAACATAACTAGCAGAATCAAAGTGTTTCAACGGATGGCGTCATCGCTGCAAGCAGTAGAGTAAAGAGTCATACAAAATTTCATACTTGAAATTCAACGATGTCTTACGGCGAACAAATAACTAAATATATTGTTATAAACTTTCATGGTCACTAACATTATAGTAATATAAGTTATTTACGGGACGGACTGTTACCATCAGTCAAAATCATCCATCGTGGAAAATTTGATTAATTCTGGTCCTAACCACTGGATTGAGTTTCATAACCCACAGATTATCTCGACAGAACGCCACTACATACCAAAATTGGTCAGGGAAGCGATTGAAATAACAAAACATAAAAATTTCAATCGTGAGGACGGGTTTAAATTGTCGAGTGTCTGGAATCCTATGGTTCGTATGTGTAAAACCGGAAATAATCAAAAAAGTGTCGTGTCACGATCCAATACTGTAAGTGTTGTGTGTCGAGAACAATTTCGAGTGAATAGTGAGAATGTGAACAGTGGTACGGGTATCGAACGCAATAAAAGACTTCGTCGGAGGGTAGACCGATATGTCTGCCAATAACAGCCTACCCGCAATTACTTCAGTTACTCCGTGACCATGGCGCTTGCAATAGTGCCGAAATATCGGAAACTCGCTAAAAACAAGGTACATGGTAACAGTCCCGTAAATAACTTATATTACTATAAATAACTAAATATTACATCTTCCAGTTGAAGTTTTTGATATTTTAAATTTAAATCAAACAATGAAATAGGAAAAACCCTTTACATAAAAATCGTTAAAGAACTGTTGAAAATACTCACCACTGACATTCAACCTATCAACAAGGTCAGCAGCTGCAAGGACGTCCGTACCACCCAAACTGTAGTTGTTGTTCCTTAAGTATTTCTCTATCACTTCCTTGAGACGACTCTCATGTGCGTTGTCAGAAAGCTGAAATGGCAAAATAGGCTCCTTTGTATTCTATTCCACAAAAAACCTTTATTCATTAAAACCTGAAATTACTCGCAATTTTACCTGTACATAGAAATCATTCATCACGCCTTGGTACATCTCTCCATCTGGTTTCTTAATCTGTATTGGTTGAAAGCCGGTGATATGAACTCCGTGGTAAACATCTCTCAAGTCTGACTGCATCACCATTCTGTTGATACCCTCATGTGAAGCCATCGCCAAAGCATGGTACTGTTTGCTAGTGTTGTCAGAGAGACTTTCGTGGAATTGAAGGCTTTCATTTCCTTGAGAGCCAAGAGCTAGTTTAACTGAGTATGTGTATGTTGCTAAAACCAAACAATAAATGATAATTTTCTTTGTCAGTTCTATGCTCTTTACACTTTCCTAAATTACAATGTGTCATTTGTAGACTAAAACTATTGTTTGTATACATAGTAAATATTTAGAGTATTAAAATATTTGACCACCTCCGTGGCACGAGTAGCAGCCGACATATAACTTAAGATTTTAAGATGTCGCCTAGTCAGAGGTCCCGCATTTGTACCTAAGTCATAGTTGTTTATATGTTTTTCTAGATACTGTATGAGTATATGTATTCTATTCATTACCTTAGTATCATATAATATAAGCCATACAGTGCTTACTTTGTGGCTAGGCTAATTGGTGTGAGTGTACTTATTTATATTATATATAAACAGAAATATTTCCGATACAATTGCTTTTATAAACTTTTGCCCCTAACAAAATTTGAAGCCAGGACATCAGTATAATAAAATAAGCTACATTTCATAAATTATCTATGAGGATTCGGACTATCCAAAAAAGTAATAAAACGAGTGAGCCTTACAGTAGTCGCGTATGATTTGTAACATTTGAAACCTCACCTTATATTAGTAAAAAAGAAATAAAACCTACTACAAAAGGAATAAGCCATTTGAAAAGGTCTAAAATCAAATCAAAATGGGCGCTTTCACGACTTCCTGTTACACAATTCCGTCCCATTTCACGAAATCACTCCCACAAATTGCAGGAAAGCGAGAAGAAAGATGTTACACATCAAAAATTATGAGTTCAATATTTACTTACGTTTACAAGGCCTATCCGGGAACATTCTAGCGAAGCCTGGTCTACAGACACATTTCATGATTCCATCAATTCTATGGCAACGTTCATTACGAGATGCTTTACAGTCCGGATGACACTCTTTACCATAAGAAACACCTGAAATTATCGATGAATGGTTATAAAATATTCTTTTCAAATAAAAAAAACCTATCTATGTTTTTAGTACCTAACTTACCTGCAGTATTAACAACATTTGTAGTTTCTAAGTAGGGGGTTCCAGCTAGAAGTATTTCTCCAAATAGTACTTGTGATACTCCATTATTATTCACTTGTTCATTTCTTGTAACCCCATCGTAATCTTCAGTTTCAATATCAGTGCTAATTGGTGGAGCGTGACCACCGTTTTGAGATTTATTCATTACAACGAAGAATGTATCATTATCACCTTCACCTTCGGTTTCTATCTTTTGTACATTCTCCGTAGTTTCTTTGTCCTTGAATATCAAATTATCATTATCTTCATAGGACATAGAAATATCGTCTAAAGGCAGCTGCGTTTTAAGTGGCACGTCTTTTACACTCGTGGGTTCTACTTGAGGTACAGGAATATGTTTTGTCACCGTCTCGATTATTGTTGTTGGTTGTACCTGTGTATGCACTTCTGTTACAACATCTACTATGGTAGAAGTATGAGTATTCGTTAAAACTAATGTTTGTGTAACAGCACCTTCTGATTGGCTAACAAGACTTGTCTTAGTATGAGTGACAGTCAATGTGTGTGTTAGGTTAACGTAATTTATACTTGAAATTGTTTTAGGTGGTTCTGATAAAGTTTTCGTTAAAGTAATGACTGTAGTTTTGTACTCTGTCTTTGTTGGTAAAACTTCGTCTGATATTTTTATTTCATTACCAGCATGATGCGTTGCCCTGACGCTTGATAATACATCATCTAAGCTGGGTGTGATTATGTTAGAACTCGTTTTTTCTACAAAGCTTGATACGTCTAATCGCGAAATAGAGGGCAATCCAGGACTCTGAAGTACATCAGTTGGTTTAACCATCATATCATCAATAAATGTTTCCGAGCTTTCTAAAATACTCGTGGATGTAGCTTGCGAAGCTAAATCTATCGAAACACGTGTTGGAATAGGTCTAACAATCTTTCTAGTAGAAACGTGTCGTGTTGGATATGCTACATCTGGGCGATAGTTTGTCTTTGTGGGCTTGATTACTGGTGTAGCAATAGAAGGCCATTTGGATTTACTTGTTATTTTTTTATTATCATTACGAAGAGGATATGGTTTACGTGTCCTATTTTTGTTGTTGATTGGAATGACTTTCATTTTATCAGTGGTTACTTCTTCTTGACTGTATTCTTTTTTATCAGAATCATTTTCGTTTTCATTCTCACTTGAAGTTGAAGTAGTTGATGTTTTTGTAGTATGTTCTGTGCTTATTTCTTTTGACGTTGTAAAGATTCTGTCTTCCGTTACATGCCTTTCTGTACTTGTAATATCAATGTGCTCAGATGAAGTTTCTGTTTCATATGAATTGGAACTGTCTGAGTGTGATATTTCAATGACTTCTGGTAATTTGGTTGGTTTTGTAAATTCCGGGAATTGTACAGATGAGGGACCAAAATTAAAGCTTGATGAGAATTCCACCCCAGAGGACGTTAGCCACCCTGAAGAAATTGGAGACGGGAAGACGACGTTAGAAAACGAAGGGGTACTAATTGTTGGCCCAGACATATCATTCACAACTACTTTCGTGGGAATTTCTTTAGGAGGAGGCAATAGTTGAGTAGAAAGAAAGTTAAAAGTAAAATCATACGGTGGCCTATATGTAGTTGGTTTTCTATTAGGTCTTTGTGTAGTTGGTACTCTAGGAGGTAGAGTTCTTGGTGGTTTTGTCCTATATGGTGGTGGTGTTCTTATTGGTAGAACTGGTCGAGAAGTAACAGGAGGCCTTGTAATAGGTCTGATTGCTGAAGGTGTTCTAGGCGGTGGTGGACTCATGCCCATAATAATTTCATCATTTGTTGAAGGTTTGAAATCATAATCCATTGTAGGTGGCGGAGGAGATAAATCAATTATTTCACTAGAGGATCTGTTTAAATCTAAGTCACCTGTAATTGTGTAAGGTGATAGAGTTGCTTTTTCTGAAGCTTTTTCGACTATTAATGGTGTCTTATCTTGAATATGAACAGTTGATGTTATTATATTTGATTCGTTAGGTTGAGAAATATTTTTAGGGCGTGTAAATATCGGTCTCGGTGGTCGTTTGTATTTGAGATCAGGCTGAGGGTGTCGGAACGGTGGACTTCTTTGAGTTGACGGAGACTGTTTTGTAGAAACAAGTCGTTTGGTAGTCGAAGGTCTTTTTGTTGTTGAAGTTACTTTATTAATTTCTTCACCAATATTTAATTCTAAATTCTCTTCATAAGACATATTTGTGGAATTTTCCATTAATTGGTTAATTTGCCAATGCGGCTGCTGTAATTGATGATCTAACGTTATTGCTGTATTAATAGTAAATGGTCTTGGTTTCATGTATGAATTATCTTCATACACTGGTTTTATCGAATTCGATTGGAAAATGTTAGTTTTATTTGATGGCTTAAAAGGTTTTTCAGTCTGCGTTCCTGGATTAAAATCTACAAATTGAACAGGCTTTTCTTTCGTAGTTTGTGTTGGTGAATCATATACTTCATCCTGCAATAACGTTAATTCAGTTGACGATTTAGATACATTGTCGATTTCACTTGAAGTGCTAACAACGGGAACTTTCATGGACTCTTGACTTACTTCACCATCCAGCTCACCATTGTTCTCAGATTCCTCTTCACCATCATAAATCTCCTCAGAATCTTCATAAACTTGTTTAATTATTTCTGTTGTTGATTTCGTAGGCTTTACTGTAGTCGTTTCTTCACTATTATCTCTTATAGGTATATCGTAAGCTGGCTGTCTTATAGAGCCAAAGTTAAAATTAGATGGCACATAATTAAAATTATTTAATGGCTGCTTACTCTTTTGTTTTTGTTGCATGGAACTCACACTGGGTTTTTCCGTTTGCGGCTTACTGAAGGGTTTCCCTATACTAAAACTGACCTGATCAGGCTTGGCGCTTGTATTCTGAGGCCAAAACTCTGAAGGAGGTTTACCAACACTTGAAATTTTTTGCCCAAAATCAGGAACACCGTTTATGTTGTAATCTTGCAATAATGGGATTGCTTTTCTAGTGCTTGATTCTAGCCTTATATTATTAATATGGCTCAAAGTGTTATCATTCATTAGAACACTCGAGTACCATCCGTGGGAATTAGTAGGTATATTTGGAATTACTTTAGGAGGTCTCTGTTGAATAATCGGTGTAACTTCTTGTGAAATTTCTGTGACTGGTTTGACACCGTCATCTGTATTTTTTGACGATGCATAATCATTGATCATAGGGAAATTAGCGTGACTATTTTGAGAAGGTGGTATAATTTTCTTGTCGTTAATCAAACTACTACCTTTTATAATACTTGGATACTTTACTTCTATTTTATCACTAGTACTATTATTCCATCTGTTATCATTTACTTTATCAAAATTAGTATGACTATTTAAATGGTCTGGTTTTTCAAATTCACCAAGATTTTCTTGTTTTTCTTGGTGGTAAGATTCAAAGGGTATTGAATCATCTTCTACCCTTATTGCAAAGTTTGTGCCGATTGGAATATCTGTATTCATTAATCCAACATTTGTTGATGACCCAATAGGTACAGACATACTCGATCCAACTACTTTCCCGGAATCACCAATATTATTTGCAATATTTGTGGCAGTATTTAAAGTCACCGAATAGGTATTATCATTGTGTTGAATTTCGTTAGCCTGCACTGTTTTGTTATTCACAACAGAAGGAGAATAAGCCGGGAATGAATTATGGACTAAATTAAAATTCGGATTTTTATGTTGCACTTTATTCAGCCCATTATTTTGAGAATATTGATTACCATACATTTTTGTTGGATGTGCAGGAGGAATATGAATAGTGTACGTAGGAGATGGTTTGGTATTAGGTGCTTGCGCTGCAAAATAAATTTCAGAAGTAACTTTAGGAGGTGATTGTTCAAGATTTGGAACCGGGTGTTGAACATTAAGAAATACTTTCATATCTTGTATAGGTTTGTTATGAACAATTGGTCTTTGAATATGGGGTTTATTCTTATTGCTGTCATACATCGTATCAGAATTAAAATGGGCTTTTGGAGGTGGAGGAGGTGGTACTGCCAAATAATTTTCATATTCTTTATCAATCACATCTTTGTTTTTGTAGTGATCACCTCTGACGGGTGGATATTTTTCAAAATCACCGTTATTATTTGGACGATATATATCCGGGTTATATACAGTTATTTGAGGTCCTACCTGTACATGTGTTTCTTGGTTGCTAATTGGTGGAGGAATCTTAAAGTCATAAGGACGCTTCGAATCTTTCCATTTTACTTTTAAGTCGTTTTTAAAAGGTCGATCTTTGTACGATGGTGACGTAGTTTTAATGGATTCTGGTGTACCTGGGTTATTATTAGGTCTAGGATCAAATTGTTTGTTACTGTTTGGAGCTACATTATGCACGTTAGTCATTTGTGGGGCGTCAATACTGAAACTTCCAAAATATCCTGGTTCTGGGTAAGGCAAAGGGTCATCAACGTAATCACCAGTTTTATGAGGTTCAGATGATCCTGCAAATACCAAAGCCGTCGAACTTCCATGGGGTATAAGCACATTGGCGACTCTTGATGGTTGAATATCTACTAAAAACGGCTTGTTTGAATCAACATTGCTACTTATTGCGTAGTTATTATCTGATTTCACTCTTGTATTTATAATTTCAGATGAACTTGGGTTATTATCTAAGATTTCTTCTTCTATTAAACCATCATTTAGAGGTCGAAAATCAATATGATGTTGAACTGCTGGCGATGTTGGTTTGGCTAATGATGGAATGTAATCTAAAAAGGCAGGTCGACCATGATTTCCCAATATAGTATGTGTATTTTTAATATGTTCTGTTTTCATTAAATTGTCATTTTGAACTTTCACAATAGATGAAGAAAGATGTGGGATATTATTTGGCGGCGAATAATTTTGTTTCATGTGTAAATTCGTATTTGGTCTTAAAGTATGAACTCGGTTTGGCTTGGGTTTTACTCGAGGAATTTCTGGTGGTCTTAGATCAAATGAATCATCAATCTTTGTTGCTAGTAGAGCTTGTTCACTAAACGGGGGCTTTTCTTGTATTAAATACTCTTCATTTCCGGCAGCAAAATTGTCTCCAATAGGTGGATTTACTGGATTTTGTAATTTGAAACCACTTGCACCTAAGGTCAGAGGCCCACCTACTGCTGGCTTTCCGACTATCACATCTGAATTAGCTGTAATTATCTCACCAGGACTAATCGGTATTCCACCATTGACAAGGGGGCTTTCATGAATTATTTTAGGCGGTACTATGTGGGCTTTAGGTTGTTTATGTTCTGCTGCCCATGCTAAGTTTTGATGCAATGTTGCATTAGTAAAAGCTATTTGAGACTCAGATGTTTCTAACTCATCCACAGGTATGTAAATAGGGAAATGGTTTGGTTTTATTTCAAAATCGGTATCTACTCTTTTATTCACGCTGTATGCTGTAAGTTTTTCTACTGGTTTCAAAGTAGTAGTAGAAGTCGTTTTGTTAACTGTATCTTGACGTTTTATAAATCCTCCAGTCATTTTTTCAAATACGGGTGCTAACTGAGATAAGCCTTTAATACCTAAACTACCAAGTTTCAGCAAGTCTGCAACAGCAAATTTATTTTTATTAGGTTTTTGAATTTTCTCTGGTTTGTTTTTGTCAGGTACTTTATTTGTAGTTAATTTATTATTAGGTGGGGATGGAGCCTGTTCGTTTGTTAATAATTCACTTTCTTCCACTGAACTGCTGCTATCTTTTTCATCAGAGTAGTCATTGACAACTTCCGTATATTTTTCAACTATTTTATCTGTGGGCGCTGTGTGTGAGCTCGTTTCATATTCATAAGGACCATATTGTGTTTTCTTATCAAGAGTTTCTTTGTGGGTAGGTCTTAAGTCCAATTTGGTACCTCCGTATTTTGATGTTTTGTAACCGTATTTTTGTAGAACAGATGTATCCTCGTTTATGTATTTAGTCTTTAAACCTTCTGTTTCCGTGTTAGAACAAGAACATGAAGTTGTACAAGGAGTGTGACTCAATTCAGATGGCTGTATCAAATCAAAGTTGTCACCTTCTTGATTGTCTATTCTTTTCTCGATTTTAGCTAAGCTTGCAAATGCACTTATTGGTGCAGTCGGTAAAATAGTTTTTACTTCCATGAACTTGGTCTGAAAAATAGAATAGTGCCATTAGTTTCATATTTGTGATATCACTTGAATGTATTTATTAAAATTTATTTAATCAGTTGTATTGGAGAATATAGTGTTAAAATTATAAAAGTAACCGTATCGTGATAAGGGGTCAATGAATTCGGTTGGTTTAATGGTTCGTATTAGTAGGCTCTTTTAAAAGCATTGCATTAAGTATCTTTAATTACAGCTAAGGTCCAATGCACAATTCGGAGTAAGGTGTAACTAGGTTCTTTTCATCCACACCGGGGTTCAAAATCTTACTTTTGTTGGCTTTATATCTGCTAATACATCTGAAGCATAAAGGTTTGTCAGAGATTCAGTTGTAACCACGGAGACTATTGTTTCGAACGTTGATATGGCACTCCTTTTATTCTGTACCACGGTCGTCAAATATGTGTATGTCGTCATGCAAGTCTTGATGATGTAATTGTGCTGCATGAGTTGGTGCATTGGAAACATAGCGCTTATCCGCTGATGATTAAACACCGTTGCCACGGCTGAAGATATCAGTGATTGCTTAGGTGGCATAGATGTGCTACCGTGATAGTGCGTTGGCGATGATATGTGCATAAGCTTAAGTTTACGCTGAGAAAATAAAATTTAGAGTGTTAACTTACCCACTTAAAATTTCTCATCAGGAAACTGTTCATAATTACGAGGGCGGGATGATAAGTAACTAGCCTCTGCTATTTAAAAAGTTAAAATTAAAAAAATATATATGTCATTTTTAAATTCGTATCTCTGGCCACCTGTGTTCTAAATTTGAATTTGGTGGCGCGAAAATTTTATTGTTTTTTTGTCATTTGAAAATATATTTCGTGAACTGTTTTCAAAATGGGTGAAATTGAACATTGAGTCCACTGTTTTGATTGAATTTTTGATTCTGGCGTGTAATGATGAACCCATGTTTCATCTGTTGTTACAAATCGACGTAAAAAATCGGCCTTATTACTCTGAAAACGGTCCAGACATTCTTCTGAGTTTTGCACCCGAATGCTTTTTTGATCGTGCGTAAGCAATCGCGGCACCCAACGGGCTGATAACTTTTTCATATTTAATTCTTCACTTAGGATATGGTGTACCCGTTCTTTTGAGATACCTTTAGTGTTAGCTATTTCAGATAACTTGAATCGTCGATCTGCTAAAACCATATCATGTACTTTCACGACCATTTCCGGAGTCGTGACGCTTTTTGGACGTCCGGGGCGGGCTTCATCTTGGACACAAGTACGACCACGTTCAAACTCAGCCACCCAGTTTTTTGTGGCATAAGAAGGAGCACATTCACCCAAAACATTCTTTAACTCGTCATAGATATCTTTCCCCTACATGCCCTTCATAATATGAAGAAACTTTATCACCGCTCTTTGTTCAATTTCATCCATTTTGAAAACAGTAGATGAAATATATTTTCAAATGACAAAAAATCAATAAAAGTTACGGGCCACCAAATTCAAATTTAGAACACAGGTGGCCAGAGATACGAATTTAAAAATGACATATATTTTATAAATTTTAACTTTTTAAATAGCAGAGGCTAGTTACTTATCATCCCGCCCTCGTACAACAAAACAGACAAATTATAAAGAGTAGAGTAAGATATATAGAGCAGCTATAACATGCATCACTTTTTCTTACCTGATCAACTACACCCGTAACTAAGTGCAAATTAAAATGACATCTTCCACTGTTTTGTTTGCACATACAAATATGTGCTTACATTTTGTTTAACAATGCCTTTAATGGTTTTTGTTTATGAAAATTATTACCTGCTCGGGTTTGCCATCGGGATTTTTATCTTTCACTAAGACCTCTACTCCGTTGGACATAATTTTAGTTGCCAGTTTCTTCAATTTCCTTTCATCCTCTTCTGGAACAGGTCGTTCCACGATCATATCCCGTCCAGGCCTCCAAGGAGAATTATCGTAAACTATCGCATTAGTGTTGAAGGCTGAAAGTTCACGTCGTATTAGATTTTTTTTTGTCCCTTACTGTCATTAACAGCCGAATATCAAGTACAAATATTTTTACTTATCAAAAATTTCAAGAAAATATCATATCCGAATAAAGGAAGGACTTAGTTCACTAAACAAACTGACTATACAAACTCTTCGTGGTTTTGTGATTCTTTTTCCATAACCTTGGTTTCAATAAAAAGACAATTCAAATTTGTGATCTTTAAATACCATATATTCAGCTTCAAAGAAAAAAAAGCTGGAATACTTTATAAATTCAAATACTAATATTGTATATAGGAGAAAGTAGAATTGCTAATACATTACCTGCTTTGGTGTGAAGTCTATAGCTAACAGCTATCTATACATAAAGCTATTTACAACCACCTCACGAATCTACAAAAAGTGTAATACATACATTTTGTGCTTGGTGTTAGAACTAATAAAAAATGGAATTTGAGACTTCTGTGAACAATAGATCATCATTATCAGAATATTTTTAATTAAGAATGAGCTTCTTATTCTTTTTATGTCTATATTAAAAAGACTTAATTTTTGACTTTATTAAAAGAGATTTTATTTACATAAATCTGTAATGTGAAAGCAATACAGTCAGCTATTGCAAATTCCATTTTTGTTATTTATTTACAAATAACTACGCTAAATAAATATACTACTAAACTTGTTATCACTAAAGTAATTACTGACTTATTAAATGATTTTTAATTTATCTACCTACTGAGATACCAGTCTTTATTTTCAGTGTGTTCTAAACTTCTTTGTCTTTGTTTATTCATAACACTGGCTTAATTTATTTTTCATGTGTTATTTCTAACTTAAAAACTTAACTGTCATTTGTTACTAAAATATATCCTTCTGATCTCCAGAGCCACCTCAACAGACAATTATTAAATATTACTATTCGCTAAAAATCAAACTAAAAATTTTTTTTTTTTTGTATCTTAGGGTCAAAGAGAACGACGCAAACTTTCACATACTTTTGCTACTTATATTTAAAATTTCATTTCATCTGTTTTTCTTAATTAACACCCGAAATAAGAGACTGGTTTGTTAATTATTATTAAATATTTATTTATTTTATTAATAATATATATAACACAACGAACTCACCTTCAAGGTGGTTGGAAGAGCGGAGATAGGTTTGGAACCATCCAGGGATTCTTGAGGATTCTCCAAGTGTCCAGGTGTAAGTGATCATCAACAGTCAAGTCAAGTTCATTCGTATGATCTTTATTAGTCACAGTTGGTGTATGGTCTTTTTCATTATCGACGATTATCGTCTAACAACATATTTGGCTAATACGCATAATACACTATTTTATACTTCTTTAACAAGATCTTTCTAAGTTACTTTTAATATCGATATTATTCTGATAAAATTAAAAGAACAGAAATTCTGTTATGTTGTTCTATTTCACACCAGTTTGATGGAATTAGTTATTGCAGAAGCTTTTATTCATTAATTTTCATCATTATTTTGTTATAAAAAATGCACAGTTTATCAAATAAATTATATTACGATTAAATACATATTGATAATATTCTGTTTGCCTATTGTATATCTTCGAAATAGTATATAATGCGGTAATACTTTCATTTTCTATTAAATGTTTTTTTGAAAATGGAAAATTTAAATAAACTTTAGATAAAAAACTTAAAGATATTTCCGAAATATCATTCCTATTAAAAGAATATGTTTATCGATTTGGGAAATGTTTAAATAAATAAACTCATTATACACAATCATTTATTATCTCAACATTATAATTCTCTTTGCAAATTTACAATTGTAAGCGGAAGAATTAGAATTATTACAAAATATATGTACTGTTGAAACTAGTAAACTAAGATAAGATTTTATTCTTACGCAACGAGTTAAACTTTAATACAATTTTTCACTTACCGCATTAAAGTCTGGTAACATAATGACGATATTTTTGGCGAACTTATAGAAATGTTAATACAACTAGTCAAGTACAAAGGAGTATTCTGTTCTTAAAACTAATATTTCGTTTAAAACTATAAGGCACTATTCATAGTTAACTTACTATGTTACAAATGTAAATAAATAACTAATTGCATTACTTTATACACCTAACCATATATCGTAATTTCACGAGACACCGTCTAATGAGTTTTGTATTGTATCGTCTCTAATTGACGAAGTGCTTGATAATTCCACAACGTATGTTGGTGAGGCGTCATATCTTATATGCTTACTGATTTCTCCTACTATGCTCTCTAGACTTTGTGTACCTGCTTGACTTTCATTGCTTGCATCTAAAAACTTTTCCGTTCCCGAAATGATAGGGTCATCAATAATGTTGGTTTCTGAACTAAGCAGTTCGTCCACTGAAGGAAGAATAGAAGGTATCACTTTGATATCTTCAAAGTAAATAGCTTCACGTTTTCTTACAGTTTGTGTATCTTCAGTTATAATGGTAGATAATACTGTACTAAACTCACCAGGATGTCTACCAGATACATATAAAGTTACAATGCTAGTAATTAGTCTCGGTGGGGAGGGTGGTTTTTGAATTTTCGGTTTATTCCTAGAACGCGGTGGTGGAGGAGGAGGTGGAGGCAGATCCTCTCCACTATCCTGAGATTCTTCGGGTAACTCTTCATTACTATTATAATCAGACAGTATATTCGGTTTAGGACTGTTGCTATAAATATCATTGTTATTCAAAACATTTAAGTTGTTATTTGAGAGAAGGCCTAAATCAGACTGACCTAATCCTAACAACGGGTTGGCCGTTTGCAAAGACAATGCCTGCTGCTGCTGTTGCTGCTGCTGGAAAAGGAAAGGAATCAGGAGATTACTTAGTTGAGGTGATTGTGCCAATGCCGTTGGAGTTGTTACTATTGTATCAGTTATGAATTCAGTTGCAGTAACGACGCTTATTGTAGGATCTACAATAGTTGTTACAATAGCTTTACCTCTGAAAGTAATAGGTAATACTGTTTCCCTAGCATCAGTGATAGTAGTGACGTAAGTTGTAGTTCTTGTTTTGTATTCTGTAACAGGTGTTTGTGCTACTTGTTGCTGAGGCAAAAGACCCTGCCCTTGGAGAGCAAGAAGAGGATTAATTGCTGGCTGTTGGTTACCAAGCAGTAGTTGAGATAGCAGTAAATTTGCTAATGGCACATTTGCATTAATATCAGGAGTAACAGTTTGTGTAACTGCTTCAACGTTATAAACTGTACTGGGTATTATGTGGGAATATGAAGTCTTCCGTCCTCTTATAGTAGTTGGGGTAAATAATACTGTTGTCGAAGGCGTTTCATGTAAAATATACCTAATTATTTTAGTAGCACCATTTTCTGCTATTTCCGTTGCTTCGTGAGCTAAAACTAATTGCTGGTTGCCAAGAGGTCCTATTGTAGTAGATACCTGATTCCTAAGCAAGGTTTCCAAGCTAGGAGTAGCGGACAAAACATTTTTAAATTCAGTTATTTTACCATTCACAACAGGTATTGTCACTTCTGTAGGAATTTGGTGTGTTACAGTAATTTTACCATCGTTGATTTGATGATTAAGATTATACCTTTCACCACTAGTATTTCCGAAAGAATTTCGCTGTCTACTTGAAGCTCTGCCTGTAGTTGTACGAGTACGGGATCTGCTATTAGTACGTGAAACACTAGACCTTGACGTTTCTGAACCACTCCTACTACTTAATCTCGGTGCTTTAGGCCTTGAAGCTGATGTTGACGTTCTTGAGGTTGGTCGTGAGGCCTTAGCCCTTCTATATGCAGGACTAGATGTAGTGGTCCTACTTTCTCCACGAACTATAAACGGTTGTCGTTGTGAAGATTTTGGTGCTGATGCTGTTGTAGTTCTAGTATTACTTGCACGACCATTGTACCTACTTGGTCTATTTTTTTGAGTTGACGGTGCAGGTGGTTCGGTTTGCGGCTCTGGTTCCGGACGACGAGTAACTGCTTTTGAACCTGGTCTTCGGAAATTCGTATATTTTCTGCTACCATAATCAACTTGACGTTTCGTTCGCCTTCTAAAGGAAAATGGCCTAATAGAAACAATATTCTTTTTTGGAGGCTCAGTAGATGGAGTTTCAACATGTCTTTCTTTTCTATCAGAAGAATCGTAATCATTGTCTTCTTCGAAATCTTCCTCCTCTTCTAACAACTCTTCACTTTCTTCTACTTTTTGTTCGTTTTCTTTGATTTCTTCTTCCGGTTCTGGCTCCGGTTGCTTAAAGAGGTTCCTTCTAGGAAATAATGCATTTGGCCTTTGTCTGCGCAGTGCCAAAAGGGGATTTGTGGTTGAGCGAGTAGTTGTCCTTCTTGTTGTAGTTGTCACACGTCCACGAGTAGTAGCTGTTCTTCTAGATGGCGGTGTAGTAGAGCGTGGCACAATCGCTGTACCAGGTTGTCTTCCTAACGGGGGTCTTCTAAATCTCAGCAAAGGATTATTAGTAGTCCTAACTGGACCTTCCGTTATTTCCTCTAGAGGCTCTGTAGCGCTTTCCTCTGGCTGAGTCGACAATGTTTCAGCATCATTTTGATTGGATCGGAATCCAGGAGTAAATAATGATGATGATGCTCTATTATTATTCAATCTAGATGAAGCACTTGGCCGAATTTTAGGTACTGCTGACCTGCTGATATAATCTAAGCTATTACTCCTCAATGAGCTTGATCTAAATCCTGTCCTTCGAGAAGTAGGTTGAATACTGCCTCTGGGGAAACCACCAGCTCTAGATGGTGAAGGTACATTAGATGATAATAAATTTGAAGAACTTCGACCAGAGAATCTACGACCTTGACTAGATGATCCCGGTGATGCAGACTGCTTTCTATTAGCTCCAAATCCTGATTGTCTAACGGATTTTAATGTAGGAGTAGCAGTTATCGTAGGTGGGGCATCTAATCGTGTTATAGTGGTTGCACTACTAGGTAGAGGTTGTCGCTTGGGATTGAAAGTAGGTCTATTTTTAGACAAAAATGGTCTTATTACGGGAGTGAAGGCTGGTTTTTTGGGTGTGAAAGACAGTCGGCTCTTTTTTCTAGTACTTAAATTATCCTCCTCTTCGAGTTCTGGTTTTCCTTCTGTGGTAGTATCGGAGTCTGCGACAGAACTTTCTATAATATCCGGACTAGCGTTAATTATTGAGCCCTCTGTGCTTGAAGTGGAACCAGTAGTTGTTGTTAGAGCAGGAGTGGTAGTTTCAGTGTTCAATGTTTTATTATCACTAGTCACAATTGTGGAATCGCCGGATATAACTGCCACTTGTGAGTATATTACCTTTGGCTTTGATTCAGGTGTAGGAGTGCTTTCATCGGGCCGATGTTCAGCGAACAGATTGTCTATATAAGTGCCTGCTAGAACAGTCGGAGGCACTGAACTAATATCAGGCAACGCAGTGGGCGTGATTTCTTCCTTGACTACTGTTGGTATTATTTTAGGCTTTTCACCTTTGTCCTGGATAAGATTTTTATCAGGAGAGCCGGAAGGTACCTTACGTCCTAATTGGTTATCTTCAACTACCTTAGTATTGTCGACAATATTGGTTACAGTCTCTAAACTACTTCTGATTTCAGAAGTGTTTCCTGCATAGAAAGTCGTAAAGTAAGTGTACGTAGTGTAAAAAGTAGCTTTTCCGTCATCTTGTTCTAAAGGATCGTCTACTAAAGAAGGTTTTATTTCAACTTCTAGTTCTTTAGGTGGCAGAACACTTTCGATATCAATTGGAGTCGTGTCTATTGGACTTACGGTTGGCAGAACTTGGACAGTAGGATATACTACATTTGAGACAATTTCCTCTCTACTGGTTATAGTAGTGGATTTGTCTTTATAAAGAGTAGTCCAATACGTAAATGTCGTGTAATAGGTTATTGGTAAATTACTTTCTTCTTCTGGTTCTTTTTTCGGCATTATTGTTTCTGTTACTACATTTGTTATAGTTTCCAAACGGCTTTTTATTTTACTAGAATCTTTTCCTATATACATCGTAGTAAAATAAGTAAATGTTGTATAACTAGTTTGTAAAAGAAGTGTAGGAGACGGCATTATTTCTTCAATGTTACTCTCAGAACTAATTTGATCTTCTAAAATATTATTGTTGTCTATCAGTTTTCGTTCACCCCTAGAAGAAGATGATTTTACATCAGTCACATAGGTATTTTCAGACTCGAGTGGGTTTGATTCAATGCTAAATAACATATCAACTTCGAGTGGGCTTGGTTGCGGAGTAGTTTCTTTCTTGTTTTCTATGGAATCATCATTATACTGTTCCATGCTAACGCTACTTTCAACTGAATCATTTTCTTCTTTATTGACTGGAGCCTGCATTTTAACTTGTTTGCAGTTTCTAAAATCAAACTGTGCTCTAGTACTTTCAGTAGCCAAGGGATTACTCTTTGTAGGTATTAACTCTTCGGGACCAACATAATTGGTATAAACTTCGCTTCGACTACAAACGTTAGCATCAGTACCAACGTAAATAGTTGTGAAAAATGTGTATGTTGTGAAGTATGTTTTGACAGCATCTGGTTTAATGCTCGTAATGATATCATCACTTAGGGATGGTGTAGGTGTGTGTGATAAATAAATGTCTGCATTTTCCACAGATTCAAGAACATCTTTGTTTTTCACTAAATCGATAATGCTATTGATTGCAAATGATTCTGTAGGTCTACCTATACCGACGCTTGTCGGTGCTATTTCATCTTCATTAAATGCACCTAGTAACGTGGGATCTAATTTTGATAAATCTATAGTTGAAGTAATTACGTTTGTAATAACTGATTTATGACTAGCTACGCTAGATGTCTGATCTCCGAAAAAGGTAGTAAAATACGTGTAAGTAGTGTAAAGAGTTTTATAAATAAGGTCAATTTCATTTTCTCTCACAGGTATTTCTTCTTCTTGTTCTTCGGAAGATGGTTTTTCTGTTGTTGTAGTTGAATGTTCTGTACTAAATGTCATTTCTACATGACTTTGACTAGTTGATGTGCGTTCTGTAGTTGTTGTAGATGAGGTTGTAGACGGTGAGTCATTTTCATCCTCAGATGCATCGCCAGACAGTTCAGTGCTGCTTTCTTTAACTGTCGTAAGTGTTATTTCTTCCTGGTGTTCAGTAATATGCAGTTCCTCTTCGTCTATTTCCGTAGATTTGAAATTTTCTTCTGTTACAGTTTCACTTTCCGGTGATAGTTTACCCACAGGTTCTTGTGCAACAATAGCAGGTAATTCTAAATTAGTAACTATTGATGATTCAGTACTCAAGGATATAACTGCTGTGGGTTCAATATTTATATTAGTTCTACATACAACATTTGTATAGTATCCTACATTACTTTCAACAACGACATCTGATTTAATTGAAGTAGTTGTTTCTGTGTCTAAAGGTATAAAATAAGTTGTTAGATAAGTAAGTGTTTTATATTCTGTTGTCATAGTTGACATCGTTTCTAAGCCATCTGTGCAGATAACATCCTCATAAGATTCATGTTTTGTTTCAGTGGTGGTTTCCAAATCTTCTGATGATTCTTCACTATGACCACTTTCAGTAGTAGTAAATATATCTTGTTCAGTTTCTGTAGTATTTTCTTCATCAACTTCTTCTCCCTCTTCCTCCTCTGATTTCTCAGTAACCTCGGCAGCAGTATTTTCTGTTTCTTCTTCAGAATTGGCAAACAGATCTCTTATATTGTTTTCTGTAACAGCTGAATCAGTGAAAGTTTCTACTATAGTAGAAGATGGATTTAAAAGGGTAAGCGGTTCAGTTGCACGGGAACTAGATTCTTGAAGAGGTATGACATCTAAATCTTCAGTAAGACGAGTACTCTCTGTTATAGGTATCACAGATTCTGATGGTTGAATCACATCTAAATTTAGATTGAATCCACTACCATGATTGATATTAATGCTATCGGGAGAAGCATCAACTTTAACTAGCATCTTTTTTAAGCTTTCGTTATCATTAAAAACCGGAGATTCAGATTTGCTTTCTTGAAATCCTGGTGTAGTAATTTGAGTGGCAGAATTTATTTCATGAGCTTTAAAAGTTGAAGATGCGACCGGGATATCAGCAGCAAGAAAAGTAATTTTAGAGTTAAGTTTGTCAACAGGTCTAGCTGAAGGAAAAACATTAACTTTATTCGGATCTTGCGGCCTACTAACTTCTGTATTAGGAGAAAATATAATAACTGTATCACCAACAACCGTTGTGAAATCAGCAAAACCGGAATATGTAAATGTTTTTTTTGGTCGTGGCTCACTTTTTTGACCAAATAATTTTTTAGGGAGTTTTGTTTGTTGAGCCTGTTGCTGCTCTGGGTTCTTTGATTCAACATTATCGATATAATAAAATATAGGAGAAAATTCGTTCTTAATAGTAAAAGTCGGTAAATCGTAATCTGGCTTAACTTTAACAATGTTCGATTCGTCTATGATGTCTTCTTTGATAGGGTTTGGATCTGTCTTTATAGGTTCAGTTACATGCTCATAAGCTTTATTTTGTCTGTGCAACGTATTAACGTTTTCTAATATAGATGGATTAACAACAAAATCATATTTCTTATCACTGTCTATGATCGGACCGTCAAGAAAGTTGAGTGCTTCATTATGGACATATCGAGGTATTTCTTTAACAGGCTGCACTCGACGTGCAACAGGCTCATCGAGTATTTGATTTTCAACATGTTCAGGTGAAGTTGGTGGACTCCAATATTTAACATTATCATTTGCCGGTTTACTGGCATATACAATGTCCATTTTGCTGCTGGGAGCTAAGTAATCAGTATTTTTTATAACAAACTTTTGAGGATCTATGAAGCCCAAATCTTGCTTGACGTTCCACTGTCCATCGAAATCGGAATGTATACGTGTTGGTTTCACAATAACAGGGTCGTCTACGTTCGAAGGCTTATTATATAAAACAAGAGAAGATTTTGTTAGAAGTTGAGCGTAAATTCTGCCATTGTCTAAAGTGGTACCGAGAATCTGGGTGGCGAACTCCGTAGTCACACCGTCTTGGATAAAAGTCCGAGCCGTGGACGTGAGAAGGCCAATCAGCGGTTTTACACTGTGATATCTTCCGGTTCTAGAGTAGTCGTTTCTCTTCTGGTCGTTAACGAGTAGAACTGTCAAGTCTGAGTCGGATCGTTGTCGTATCGCAGTCGTGTCGTGTCGTGGATAGGATAGTGGGTGCGATTTATTTTACAATAGTCCATTTGTTGGCGTCCACCACGACCCGAGGATTAGATTTGAAAGAGAAAGAAAAAAAACATACAATTAATAATGGAATAAACTTTAAGAATAGATATAAATAAGACGCTAATAGGGTAAGATTTTCTTGCAATTGTGTTAGCACTAAATTTTTACATTTCATTTGCGCAGATGCATTAATAAGAGTTCATAATATTGATATTAAGTAGTCAATTTAAAATACTTTAATCTATTTCGATTAAAGTAGCTACTTTAGGAACTGAAGCTTAATTGTTTAATCTCATTAATCGACTACGTAAAAATACCAATATCATAAACATCAAATTGCTAAGATACAAAACAAAAGACTGAAATAAGAAGAAATGTTAAGCTTAAATTGGGGAAAATTAGATTGTAATAGTAAAAGATTAAATAATATTAAGACAGTGGCTTTCGAAAAGTCAGTGATATAACAGAACAGAGTACTGGATAAGTAATCTTTTGACGTAATGCATTTTAATTTATTCCACACAATTATCTACGTAAGATTAATATCCAGTACAATTCAAGTCTTCATTCAAGCATAGTATTGTAGAATAGAATATATTACAGAAATGTTTATTTATGTACTTCAATGTGTGTAACTCACCCCTGTTTTCCGGGACCCCTTCTCTTTTTATCCTCGTTGCTTCAATTGATTCATTTTCATATATATCTGTAACAATAAAAAAAACTAAATGAATATTCTATCTCGAACTGCAGTGACTGCATTTTTTTTGGCAATGCCTAAAATTAATTGCACCAATAAATTAGGTATCTAAAACTGATTACAGGTTTTTGTCCGACTATACCAGTCGGACTTATTTCCAATGTCACCAATATAATAAAGAACGTTGGTTATATTTAAAAAAAAATAGGATGAGATAATCTCAGTCATCAAACTAAATACGGTCCTCGGCATAAACACAGAAGATACACCTAATAAATAGCTACTTTTCGTAGTATTGTTTTGAACTTGCAAAATCACTTGATAATATCGCACTAGACTTGGAACTGTGAAAAAAGTATGTAATCATAAAGTTGCAACAAGAATGCGAAACATCTCGAAATCTTAAGGAAGCCTTTGTCTGTAATTGTGTGAGAAAAAAACACACAGCCATTCGTAGGTATTGTGTTTTTGCCTTTTTTCCCAAAGGGAATGGTTCCGTGTACATACACTTTCGTAAGAGAAATTACAGTTGTGCAAATGTTGAATAACAGTACTTACTAGAAGGCTGTTAAAACTTAAGTTATTTGCCAGTTTCCTGATTGGTTAACGGTAAGGTGCGTTGCAAAATTTTGTGGCTAGGCAAACACAATGGGGGATGTGCTGAAATATTTGGCGTTTATTGTAAATCACGTATATCGTATTACTGTTTCTTAGCCGACAAAGTTCGCCAGTTAACCACTATAGATTGTGGCTGGAACCTTTTCATAATAATCTATTTAGTAAAAACTGATACACAACTTAAGTAAGATTGGGTGGCATATTTTACTGAAAAAGTAGTCATGTAATTAAAAATGTTAATATAATTTATTGTTAAATCCGTTTTAAATCCAACTTCTGTTGTTAATTTCAAAAGGCTATTTGCACTAAAAACACAATTACGAACAATAATTTGTTCTTATTTCAAAAATGGTATCGCTTTCGAATACGTGAGATTTTATTCTAACATAGGTACCTAATATTCACAGCGCGTATCCCTGTCACCGAGTCACGGTTACTTTTACATACCAAACCTTTCGAAGACATATTGAAACACCTACTTAATTCATACAGGAGAAAGCTTTATTACCTTTATTTTAGTATTATAAAGGAACCTGCAATTATTTTTATTTTAAGTTAGTAACAAAAACATTTAAATTTGTTGCAATTACCAAATAAATAACATTTGTTTATGAAATGGGTCATCACTATTATGAAGTGGTAATAACAGTTGCACAAAAATGATCTTAAATAACTGCTCTTAAACTTAAAAACACAGAATGCATAATTGTGTAAGATTTCTTAAAAAAGAAAGTCAGATATAAATAGTCATAAATTAGCAATATTACAATAATAAATACGTAGATTTCATGGTTGGTAGTAAGTTATACATTAAGTTGGGTGGGGAATATAAAATACTAGTATTTTAATGAAACAGTTTGGAAAGGTTTTGGTAGCTGCATTAAAAGTGAAAGATATTAATGAAAATTCAGCATTATCTCTATACATTTTAATATGACACTTGTCAGATATTTCCACACTTGTAAATCAATGAGAGTTTGAAAAATCTTTCATATATGAAATGTATTGAAATCAGACTATTAAGAGACACTTTCGTCTGATAAGGTATCAATTAAACTGTAACTGTAAACTGAGTTGAATTTTTAATACAAAAGTCTATTTGGGTATAAAGATCTAGCAGATCAATGTTTGGTTAAAAGGTATAGTGTTAAGTCAGAGGCAGCTTCCACACCCAAACCACCCAGACACGAGACAATAGAGAATACAAAAATGGCTGTTACAAGCCTTTGGAAGTTAGACACTATGGCTATGGTTAATCGCGTCGGCAGTACTTGTACTGAGAAGAACCGTCAAGAAACTCAGAAAGGGCTATTTTATCTCTCCCTTTTTGTTTCATACAGTGTTATCAGTTGAAAGTTGTCATCAAAACCTGAAAACATGTGTACAGACAACTTTCATCCCATTAATAAACGAGAGAAAGAGAAAACATTTCCTACATCAATAATAAAACGAACGTCAAAGACGCCAGTAACATTCAAAGCACGTCACTTCGTATCGGATCGGTGTTTTCGAGATCACTTTCGTTTCCATGAAGGTGGTTTTCTAAACCACACAAATAGGCTATTTAACAGTATGAAAAATTAAGTAACAGTTGTTGGCATCTGTATTTAATATGAATATTAGCAGCGATTTTACTATTCTGAGAGAACACAACACTTCAGAAATGATTTTTTGTACTATGGTCACGGGACCGAAAACGCCTGGGATTGGCGAAAAGTAAAATGACGTCACACGGTATTAAATTTATGCTCAAAGTGACATTACATTGTATCATTTGATGTTTTAATGGCAATCGAGTGACGTCACATGCCAGTGAGACAGCATCATGTCCAGTCCAAAAAATCCATTTTTAAGTTGCCATTTTTAGAAATAGAATTTTTGATTTAGTATTTTTAACCGCTTTTTATGGACTCCTTAAACATTAGAAAATAACGTGAGATCGTTTCCGTAAACTTATCAAATACCCTGCAGTTAGGGTGAATATTTAGGAATTTTATAAGTCATAGCAAAATGCCTAACATTTCTATAAAATTCCGTACTTTTTTCTCTCAAATATTGGAAAAATTACTAACTTAGTTACAGAGGTATGGTAGGCATAGTAGGAGACGCTCGCATTGCGAAAAATACTGACAAATTAAGAGCCGGACAAAGTCTGGACTAGAGTCTAGAGTATGGACTAATCCTAGACACTACTCACGATAATGTAGTGCAAGAAACCAATTCTACCTGGACCGGAATGTGTCCGTTTCTACTGACACAGTATGCGACGAAGACGGAAACCGAGCGGACGTTTAATGAATAATGATTTTGCTTGTAAATATGTGTCATTGGGTCTTGGCCAGCTCAACGGAGCAGTAGTCAGCGATTGTGATAAAGAAGCCACTTTTCTAGAGCGAGGTTAACGGAGGGGTGATCATTTATGGAACGAAGTGCCATTTCGGATGGTATCGCGACTTGAGGCTTTACCGTCACAATTTAACGAGGCAGCTAGCTCGGCAACTAGCTTAACAGCTGGGTGAGTAGCTAGATGGGCAGTAGCGTGGTGGGTGACCAGACCACTGAAGGCGGTTTTTGTGGACTTGGATTAAAGTTTTTTTTGGTAAGTGATGGACCAGGAGCATGTTTGATGGACTAGGAGCGTGTATGATGGACCGGAAGCGCCCGCATTGGGTCCATTCCACACTGGGACCATTCGATTATTGAGATTGATAGATAGATTACTTTTTATGGAATATGGAGATTGGGCCATTAATCGCCACGTGGACCCAGTACGGTTTGATAAGAAGGAAACTTGTTTTAGTGGAATACGAAGATTGTGCCTGAATAGGATGATTTGCCACGCGGGCCCAGTGCGGATTTATATTTTTAACTTCGTTCCAACCGAGTTTTTTAGCAATTTATTGTTATCTGTAAATCCTCCGTTAATCTGAGGATGAAAAAGAAGTTGGTTTTTATTAGCGCTTGATGGCTGATCCACCCAGTTTCATATCTCTTTATGTGTTAATGTGTATAGGGAATGTCTAACCTCCCATAACAGAGAAGACATCAATAGATTAATTAAAACTAGTGTAAACTGATGTTATTTTTATTAGTATGGTTTTGGGACCCTAGCAAATACTATTATTTAAGGGAATACCGGGTTTTTTCCACAAACATTAGGGCCTTTACGATATTTAATATAGCCAGGAATGGTGCTTCACTCTAACATGCGGGATTCTTCTTCTTATAGCACTTCTCTATTACTGAAGCTTGGCCGTCAATTCAGAGAACTTCTCTCTGTCCTTCGCAAGGCGCAACAGTTCAGCGGCGCTGTTGATGCAGGCAGCTCGCGAATATTTCGCAGGCATGACTTTTTTCTTCGGCCTACTTAACTTCATCCAGCTACTTTGCCCATCATTATGAGTTGAAGCAGTTGATATCTATTATGTCGTATAATGTGACTTACGTACCCAACTTCTCTCAGTTTGATGGTCTGCAAGTTTTAGCGTTTCTCACAAGCAGCCGTGCTACTGGTGCCACAAATTTAACTAACACAAATGTTCGTATTTTATTTCAGTAGTACTGCTTTCAGTTGTATCGGCTAGATTAGACTCATATGTCAAATATTAAAAAAACTACAAAATTACTTTATAATTGCCAATACTCTCTGGCATCCAATCTACATCGCAATTCCGTCTCAGGACACCATAGTATCTCATATAATTATATCAAAATATAGTGATCTTACATATCTGTCTACGTAAGCATTGTTATATCAAAAGCATTACACACGATCATATTTTACGTGATCTTTGACGGTGATTAGAGATTACGCACCGACCACAGATTTGATAATGAGACCGTAATCATTAACCAAGAATTCACATAATTATACTATTCACCCACTAACCATTCAACCTACTTGAAGTAGATTAAGGACAACTATCATTTTAAAAGAATACACTTCCAGTTTTGACTTCCTTCGCTTGATAATGTAGCATAATTATAATTAAACGGGAAAATAAATATGTACAAAACACTACTTTATTCCATAAGACGAAAATATCAAAATCGTTTACCAAAAAGTTTCCCGCTTCAAAACAGTTTTGAACAAAAGAGTTTACACGCATGAAACTGTCAAAATACTAATTATTTCGCACGCTCTCCTTTTGAAAATTATTAATAACCAGTTTTAAATCTAATAGCCACTTTATCTTTATTGCTGCAAGACTTGAAATGGCATGTAGTCTTACAAAGACGGTGTTCTAAATTTAAATAACGAATGATGGGTGTCTTATAATAAGCGTCTGGGAACTAATACGTACGGAACAGTTATTTCATGCAGAGTACAAAAGTAACATCAGATGGTATCGAATAGTATTTTCCTCGGTCGATTTTAATGGTCTCGT